GACAAGTCCAAATGTAAGAATCAGACCGGTGCAGTGTCTATTTCCGGAGTTAAATACAACAACATCGTCGGTAGTTTCACGGTGCAACCGGTACGTATCGCATGCAGCAACAACGTACCATGCATGGATGTGGATCTTCTGGATATAAGGCTAAGACCTTCCGGAGGAATCAGAGGGTTACAAACTCATCAACAGCAACAAGCTTTGTGTTGGAACTCGTATGGGAAAACACAAGGGCCTTTGGTTCCTTCAAGCATTGGTTATTGCTTGAAGAAGAGTAATACTGGCCGTGGTTATTATCCCAAGAGATTTATAGCTTCGTCGTCCCATGACAAAATTTGCCCTTCATAAAATCTTTAATCAAATTTAGGGTCATTAATTGTATTGGCTGAAAAGATTTTAACTTTTTTGTTATGTATCTTCTCGTGCTAGAGATCAGAAGAGTGCTCGATCAGAGATGCCACCGATTTTAGCCCTAGGTATCTAGTTTTTTCTTTCTTTTTTTTCCCTTTTTAAAGTTATGTTTATTTTGAGTGATTATGGTGTTTCTTTTTGCTTCCCTTCTGCAACTTTTGTGGATGTGAGAAGGTGATGGCTCTTGTACCAGCTTTTTTTTTTCTCTTTCTATAGCATTATGATGTATGATTCCAATTTTAGAGGCTTAATAAAATATTACTTTACATATTGCATGTAATATATAGTTAACAAATTTTCTTAGGTTCGCGTATCTAATATTAGTTTGTCACTACAGTTTAATAATATCATTACTATTTCTGTTTCACCATCTAATTAAATCCAGTGGAGTGTAAAATGTAAATTAACGGAAGAAAAAATGTATTACTGTCCAAATATTGTTTAGGATTTTTGTTAATATATGCTCGTTGATATCTAAAAAGAAACAAACCTCTAAAGTGAATGTGCAAGCTCTGGTTTTAATAGGATTGAATTGATTAGCAAGTTGATATGAAGGAGAGTTAAGAACACTAGAAACTGCTAAGACGAAAAATGGGAAAAATTGTAAGATAGGTCAGGATTGAGAGAATATTGAACATTCATTCACAAAAGATCGACAAAATTACTTTTTAATTTTCTTAAAAAAGCTACAAACAAAATGGACTCTTAGCTAAAATTTAGAATTATTTGTTAGAATAGTGGAGGGTAGAACCAACTGATAGATAATGCTTTGGCTTCGGTGGAAAGACCACATTCTCTCTTCTATATATAATTTTATTGGCTACTAACCACGAAACCTAACTTTTGATATAACAACAATCATCCATTATTTAAGAAGGACTGTAAAGAAAAGTAAGATAGAATATTGGAAGTAAGAATCTCTACAAAAGTCATGAGTAATGTGAGGCAGACGATGAGAGTGATAAGAGTGTATCTTCACTCTTCACCGTCCATTTCGGCTTGTCGCACGCGCATGTGATATCTCTCTTCTTTTAATTGTTTTTGTTAATTAATTTCCGATAAAGGGATATGATTACATATATAATTAACCAAATTAAAATATTATTTTTATACGTCAGTGAAGAAACATTATCAACAAGAATTTGCAAACTGTAAGTTTTAAAGACCGTATATACACGTCCTGGATTATACATGAACACTTAATTTAATTAAATACCAATTTATCTACTTTTTTTTTTAGCTTCTACGTGCTTTTCTTTTTGTTGATATCAACTCGAATTATCCTTTTCAAAAAGAAAAACAAAATCGCGCCGTTCATTGTCCAATTACAATGGGCCTTTTATGCTTTAGCCCATCTACAAGTTTTAATTTCAGCCCATCCATTTTTAACGCGGTAATTTTGGATGTTGAAGCTAAAAAACAATGGAATCAGTTATCATCAATCCTCTCGGATAATCCGTCCCGCGTTAAAAAAAAAACAAAAAAAACGGAATCGAAAATTACTACGTTTCTTCACGTGAGACTCACGTGTTCATTTGGAAGGAAGGTAAAACAACCCTAAAGGAGAGTCATTTCTGGGTCGAGAAGCTGCGAGTTCGAGAATCGCTGATAGCGAGAGAGAGATAGTGTGGACTGTGGAGATAGGTACGTGAATCTGCGCTTTTTCGATCTCTGCGTATAGAACCAATCTGTTCATGTTAAAAGTTTCGATTTTTTTTTTTCTTACAATTTCAATCTGGTGTCTGCTTAAATCAATCGATTCCCTTTCCTCGTTTAGTCAATTTCAAGCTGTTTAAAGATGAACAGAAGCTGATGCTTACTTCTTCTAAAGTTTCGAATTTGTTGTTTATTCTTTCTTTTTATGTTAGCTCATTGTTTCGATTCCGTTGCTCTGTCTCAAGCTTGAAGGAAAGAAAATGGCAGACCAAGAATCAGATAAGAACATCGAGATTTGGAAGATTAAGAAGCTAATAAAGGGTCTTGAAACCGCAAGAGGTAATGGAACAAGTATGATCTCTCTTATAATGCCTCCACGAGATCAGGTATCTCGTGTCACTAAGATGCTCGCTGATGAATACGGAACCGCTTCAAACATCAAGAGTCGTGTAAACCGTCAGTCTGTTTTATCAGCCATTACTTCAGCTCAACAGAGGTTGAAGCTCTACAACAAAGTCCCTCCCAATGGTCTTGTTCTGTACACTGGAACCATTGTAACCGACGATGGAAAAGAGAAGAAAGTGACGATTGATTTCGAGCCTTTCAAACCCATAAATGCTTCCTTGTACTTGTGTGACAATAAGTTCCACACCGAGCCTTTAAACGAGCTTCTTGAGTCTGATGACAAGTTTGGTTTCATTGTTATGGATGGAAATGGAACCTTGTTTGGTACTTTGAGTGGGAATACAAGAGAGGTTCTTCATAAATTCACTGTCGATCTTCCTAAGAAGCACGGAAGAGGAGGACAATCTGCGCTACGGTTTGCTCGTCTTAGGATGGAGAAGAGACATAACTACGTGAGGAAAACAGCAGAGCTTGCCACTCAGTTTTACATTAATCCAGCTACGAGTCAGCCAAATGTCGCTGGTCTTATACTAGCTGGTTCTGCGGATTTCAAGACCGAGCTAAGCCAGTCAGAACTGTTTGACCCTCGTCTTCAAGCTAAGATATTGAATGTGGTTGATGTTTCTTACGGAGGAGAGAATGGTTTTAACCAAGCGATCGAGTTGTCTGCTGAGATTCTATCTAATGTGAAGTTCATACAGGAGAAGAAACTGATTGGGAAGTACTTTGAGGAGATTAGTCAAGACACAGGGAAATATGTTTTCGGTGTAGATGATACTTTAAAGGCTCTAGAAATGGGTGCTGTTGAAACTCTTATAGTGTGGGAGAATCTGGATATAAATAGGTATGAGTTAAAGAACAACACGACCGGGGAAATAGTGGTTAAGCATTTGGGAAAGGATCAAGAGAACGATCAAAGCAATTTCCACGATGCAGAGACCAATGCGGAGTTGGAAGTTCAAGATAAGATGCCTCTGCTTGAATGGTTTGCTAATGAGTATAAACGTTTTGGTTGTACGCTTGAATTTGTGACTAACAAGTCCCAAGAAGGATCACAATTTTGCAGAGGCTTTGGTGGAATTGGTGGATTGTTGAGGTACCAGCTTGATATGAGGTCTTTCGATGAATTGTCGGATGGTGAAGTTTATGAAGATTCAGATTAAGTGGGAAAATTATGGTTTAAGGTCTCAAGAAGGATTTGAAGTTGGGGAAAAAAAGAAAGAAGAGAACTTCTGTTTGTTTTTACTTTTACTTAGTCATCTGTATTATCTTCCTTTTTGAAAGTCTCTCTATTTGATTTCATCATGTCGTCTCTTAAAATGGTTTTGAAACAGTGGTTAAACATAAGAGAAATTTGATCCTCTTTATCTGCAATTTTGAAGACCTGTTTCTCAAGTTCATCTTTTGCTTTGACCAAGATCAACGGCAATGTACAATTTTTTTTTCTCTTTGAAGGTAATTAAGCAACATCAATGTTTTCTTTAAACAAAATTTAACACTTAACGGTAATATTCTAATTAGTCACAATGAAAATCACCATTAATAAGCTTACCTTATGTAAATGTTCTCAAAATTTCACAAACTGGAAAGTAGCCGTTGGATTATTGGAAAAGAAAAGGAAACCAAAAAAGAATACAAATAGCCAAATCCTTGTTCTAGATTTCACAATCTTTTGTATCTTTTGTTTTTCTTTCTCTATAGAATCTGTGATGAATCCTAAAAGATGTGCTGCTTGCAAATATCTGAGAAGAAGATGTCCAAAAGATTGCTTCTTCTCACCTTACTTCCCTCCAAACGATCCTGACAAATTTGCATATATCCACAGAATCTATGGTGCTGGAAATGTTTCCAAAATGCTTCAGGTATGTAAATCTCTGTTTGTGTAACTCTTCTAAATCCCAAATTAAGATAACTTTATTGTATAAATAGTTTATAATGGACTTTGGTGATCTTTTGACAGCAACTTCCTGTTCAGACAAGAGCTGAAGCAGTGGATTCTTTGTGCTTTGAAGCGAAATGCAGAGTAGAAGATCCTGTTTATGGATGTGTTGGGATTATTTATTTTCTACAAACTCAAATTCAGAAAACCGAATCTCTTTTGGCTAAAACTCAAGCTGAGATCGCTGTTGCTCAGATCAAGCATAGCCAAGCCCAAAATTCTGAATTTATGTAGTATCTTAGTTTCATCTATAAATTTCCAAATAAAGTCTCTGTTTCTGATTGCATCTTCTCTCTTGTATGCATTACGATCAAACATTTCCTGTTTCCTTCAATATGTATTTCTTTTTCTTAAGAGTTAATGCTCATTTTACAACAAAAACAGAATAGTGAATGATCGATATGAAAATTCCACTAACATTTATATATCAAACTCATACATTTGAAGACCGTTTACGATGCTAAATTAAGGCCATTAATACCCCAAATCCAACTTCATGTTTCTACGTTCTACAGTTATTGAAACATTTTAAGTACTATTACGCACAACAGGTGTCGAATCAAGTTTACTATTTTCACTACTTCAGCAAATCGATACTCCATTCCTTTTACAGTTAAATGACATTGCACTACTTTTCCGGGAGCTTTTCTTGTATAGTTACAAAGATTACATATGAATCTGTTTAATAGAGGAAAAAATTATATGTCAAAAAGACACTGAACCTTCAAAATCAGCCTGCATCCCACTTGGAGAACATAATGTGATGCTGGCTCCACGTTTCGTGCCTTTCATCCACTCTGTCCCTGCTTTCGGCTTCAAACGAAGTATTGGTGTTTGGATCAGAATACATAAAATCAACCAAGTTCGAAACTTTATCCACTTCCCGTTCCCGGGCTTGCTCCAACAGTTGGATCATACAGGCATTATGTTCTTGAATAGGATTGATACTATAAACATGGATCATGCGTACGAAGTACCTCAAACCGTCTTTTACATTTCCGATGTTTGCACAAGCAGATAAGACACCGACAAAAGTGATGGCATCTGGTTCTACGCCTGCTTCTTCCATCTGATCATACAGATCTAAAGCTTCTTCTCCACAACCATGTACTCCCAAGCTAGTGATCATCGAATTCCAAGTCGCTAAACTCTTACTTTGCATTGCATCAAAGACTTTCCATGCGTCCTGCAAGCTTCCACATTTGCTGTACATATCGATCAGAGCGGTTCCAAGGAAACAATCAAGTGGGAAACCGTTTTTGTGAGCATAGTCATGAACCCATCTTCCCATAGACAAGCTTCCTAGCTGAGTAGAGGCCTGCAACATACTAACTATTGTAAACTCATTGGGCTTGACTTCATCAACTTGCATTCTCCTGAAGAGCTGAAACGCCTCGTCGGGTCTACAGTTCTTGACGTAAGCAGTGATCATTGCAGTCCATGAGACAACGTTTCTGGTTGGCATTTGGTTGAATATGATTTCTGCAGAATCTAATTGCGAATTGGAGACAAGACCATAGAGCATAGTAGTCCATGAAACAATGGTTCGTCCAGGCATTTTATCGAACACTTTACGGCCACAATCTGGTTTTCCACACTTTAAGTAGAGATCCATGAGAGTGTTTTGGAAGAACACATCCGAGAAAAACCCGGACTTGATGGCTAAGCCATGGACTTGGGTGCCTAGACGAAGAGATGAAGACGCGAGACAAGCTTTGATAACGAAAGGGAAAGTGAATTTGTCAAGCTGGGATTGATGAGAGAGCATGAGGATAAAGAGAAGGAGAGCTTCACGAGGCTTGTCATTGACAGAGAGAGATCTGATCATAAGGTTCCAAGTAAAAGTAGAGGGAGACTGAAGTTGACTGAAGACGAGAGAAGCGTATCGGGTCTCTCCCAAGGAAGAAGAAACACTGATGAGCTGACGGACAAGTAGCTGATCGTTGGTGAGATTGTATCGGATGATTTTAGCGTGAATCTGTTTCAACTGAGAGAAATTTGAACAATTTCTGAGAAAGAAAGAAGCTTTGTCAGATCGAAAATGCGGAGGAGAGAGAAGACTTGGTGGGGAAGACGGCGACGGAGCCGCCATGGATTAACGATAATCCCCCCAATTCACGCTCTCTCCTCGAGTGATCTTGTGTGGATGATGAATTGATGATGAAGATGACTCGCATTTAAACGACGTCGTCGTAGGAAATGAAATTGTTTTTTTTTTTTAAAGAAAATATAAAAATGAGTGAATATCCATTAGAAGTCGATCCTCTCGAAGCAGAAGAGGAGGAGGAGGTTTTTCTTAAATCTAGGGTTTATGCTTAGGGATCAAAGTAGATTTGGGGATTTTAATCAAAAATGGTTACGAGCAGCGATCAAATCCAAGATGTCTCCGATGATCAACAGAAACGATCGGAGATCTACACCTACGAAGCACCATGGCAGATCTACGCAATGAACTGGAGCGTTCGTCGCGATAAGAAGTACCGTCTCGCCATCACCAGCCTCATCGAGCAATACCCGAACCGCGTCGAGATTGTGCAGCTCGACGAATCCAATGGTGAGATTCGATCTGACCCTAATCTCTGCTTCGAGCATCCTTACCCACCAACCAAAACCAGTTTCATCCCCGATAAAGAGTGCCAAAGACCCGATCTTCTCGCTACCTCAAGCGACTTCCTTCGTCTATGGCGAATCTCCGACGACGAATCACGCGTTGAGCTCAAGTCTTTTCTCAACAGCGACAAGAACAGTGAGTACAGTGGTCCACTCACCTCTTTCGATTGGAATGAAGCTGAGCCGAGACGAATCGGGACATCTAGCATCGATACGACTTGTACGATCTGGGATATTGATCGTGAAGTTGTTGATACTCAGCTTATTGCTCATGATAAGGAGGTTTACGACATTGCTTGGGGTGGAGTCGGCGTCTTCGCCTCTGTTTCAGCTGATGGATCGGTGAGGGTTTTCGATCTCCGTGATAAAGAGCATTCGACGATCATCTACGAGAGCTCTGAGCCGAGTACTCCTTTGGTGCGTCTTAGCTGGAACAAGCAGGACCCGAGGTATATGGCTACTGTGATCATGGACAGTGCTAAAATCGTGGTCCTTGACATTCGGTTTCCGGCTGTTCCTGTTGTTGAGCTTCAGCGACATCAGGCAAGCGTAAATGCCATAGCTTGGGCTCCTCATAGCTCCTCACACATCTGCACTGCTGGAGATGATTCTCAGGCTTTGATTTGGGATATTTCTTCCATGGGACAGCATGTTGAAGGTGGTCTTGATCCGATTCTTGCTTACACAGCCGGCGCTGAGATTGAGCAGCTTCAGTGGTCGTCTTCTCAGCCTGATTGGGTTGCCATTGCCTTTGCCAACAAGCTCCAGATTCTCAGGGTCTGATTTTGTTGGTATGGATCTCTGGCAAATATAGATGACCGTAGCTTATTGTTTGTTTGCTAGATTTATGTTGGTCATTGTCTTGAAGAATGTGAGCCTTTGCACTGACTCTTAGCTGTTGTTGATTAATGATTGTTATAACAAGGTTGATTGATCTTCCTCTCACAGTGTGATCTTTACAAGTATCATCTGCAAGGACTATGTACCTTCATAATTGTGAATAACTATTAGCTTTGAATTTAGTCTTGATAAAAATCTCTCTTTTTCCCCCTCCCAACCTAAAATTAGTTAGCATAACTTGGAAGTGGTTTTAAAATAGAGAGCAAGCTACATGGAGAACTTGATTATCATCAACATTTATGTTTCTATGCCCCTTGAGCTTACAGAGTTGCAAGATTCTGAAGGCATCTATGATGGTAGTTCTTAACAGAGTTGTTTCTGCCTCACCATAGTTTTGAGTGTTTAGCTTTCTTCTTTAGTTGTTATAAGCTTTGTCTTTGATGTCCATGCCGAGTTGCGCATTTTTCCAACGATGCTTATACACTTTACGGGTATGTAGATCAGGGGCAACATGAACTATGTAATCATCACGTTTTACCCTCCATACTTTTGATATTTATTAAGAAAGTTGATATTATGTAGTATGGTTCACAATCATATGATGGTTTGTGTTCATCGTAGACTTATAATTTCGTAAGACCTCTGCGCTAAAAGTCTGAACTTTCAAGGCAGACAAATGGAGAAGACTCAGCCTTATCTTTATATAACCGAAACCACACACACACATACGATGAAGAAGCCCAAAGTGAAAAGCCCAAAATCAAAAATAGTTTTTAAGGAAGAGACTGTGTGAATTTGTGATCATAAAAACGTGAAGATTGCAAGAGTGATAACCACAACCATACAAACAAATAAGAAAGCTATCCGGAATCTAATCTTCTTTGCCTCCAACTCATCATTTCCTTTTCCTATATTACCACCTCTCTGCTTCACAACCTTTTCTGCCCTCTGCTGCTGAAACCTTAACTTTTGGATCGTTTCTGGTTACCATGGCTTCGGCTACTTTCTCTGTCCCCAAACCATCTCTTCAGGTACATTCCTTCTCCTTCTTCTGGTTTTCTCTTACTGGCTCTTCACGAGTTAAGTATCTGTTGTGTTTCTGTTTTGTCTTCAGGGTTTCACTGAATTCTCAGGATTGCGAAGCTCATCTGCTTCTCTTCCCTTTGGCAAGAAACTTTCTTCCGATGAGTTTGTTTCCGTCGTCACTTTCCAAACTTCTGCAGTGAGTTCTTTGTTTTCCTCCAACATTTTTCTGCAGCTTACGTGATCTGTCTTATGTTGCAATATCATTGGTACTCTTTTTAGAGCTGTCTCATTCCTCTACACCATTGTTACTGATCGTCAACTATGTCATGCTTATACTAAGAATTAGCATGAATGTTGATAGATCGTGTAAATTCTGCGATGAGACTCTGTTTCGCTGTTTTGTAAACCATTTAGATGGTTCTGTATGTGTGTGTGTGTCTCAGATGGGAAGCAGTGGTGGATACAGGAAAGGTGTGACTGAGGCTAAGCTTAAGGTGGCCATTAACGGGTTTGGTCGGATCGGGAGAAACTTCTTGAGATGCTGGCATGGCCGCAAGGACTCTCCTCTTGACGTCATTGCCATAAACGACACCGGAGGCGTCAAGCAGGCTTCGCATCTCCTTAAATACGACTCTACTCTTGGAATCTTTGACGCCGATGTGAAACCTTCTGGAGACGCTGCTCTCTCTGTTGATGGAAAGATTATCCAGGTTGTGTCTAACCGCAACCCGTCTAATCTCCCCTGGAAGTAAGTCCAAAAAAGCAGTTCTGTGTCTAAATTCTGTATCAGTCTTTATCCAAAATCTAAGTTTGGTGATTGATGGTTTCTTAGGGAGTTAGGCATCGACATTGTCATCGAAGGAACCGGAGTGTTTGTGGATAGAGAAGGTGCAGGGAAACACATTGAAGCTGGAGCCAAGAAAGTTATCATTACCGCTCCAGGCAAAGGAGACATTCCAACTTACGTTGTTGGTGTCAATGCCGATGCTTACAATCCCGATGAACCGATCATCAGCAATGCATCTTGCACTACTAACTGTCTTGCTCCCTTTGTCAAAGTTCTTGACCAGAAATTCGGTATGCAATAATAGTTCTGCTTTCCTCTGCCTCTTTTGGGATCACATGAAACGTGAATTAATGTGTTTGTAACAATGCAGGTATCATAAAGGGTACAATGACAACTACTCACTCTTACACTGGTGACCAGAGGTTGCTAGACGCGAGCCACCGTGATCTAAGGAGAGCAAGAGCAGCTGCGTTGAACATTGTTCCCACATCTACAGGAGCGGCTAAAGCTGTGGCTCTTGTGCTTCCTAACCTCAAGGGAAAACTCAATGGAATCGCTCTCCGTGTACCAACACCAAACGTATCAGTGGTTGATCTCGTTGTGCAGGTCTCAAAGAAGACTTTCGCAGAGGAAGTTAACGCTGCTTTCAGAGATGCTGCAGAGAAAGAGCTTAAAGGTATACTCGAAGTCTGCGATGAGCCGCTAGTTTCCGTTGATTTCAGATGCTCAGATGTGTCCTCGACCATTGATTCTTCACTCACTATGGTTATGGGAGACGATATGGTTAAGGTGATTGCTTGGTATGATAATGAATGGGGTTACTCACAGAGAGTTGTTGATTTGGCTGACATTGTTGCCAACAACTGGAAGTGATTTGTAACTTTTGGAATCAACTTGTTTCATTTTTTGCTCTCTTTTTTTACATTGTGATTCTCAAAATATCGGTCAAGACTGTATAATTGTAGCCTGAGTTGTGGATTTGTAATAATGATAAACTCGATCCAGACTTGTCTACATATGAAACTCTTTTTAACAGGTCTCAAACAAAAGATAATAATATACAGAGATGTTATATGTAATACATTTGGGTTTTTGCAAGAATACACAATCGTGTAATGGTTTTTTTTGTTTAATGGAATCCTAAAAACAGATTTTTGCTACTAAAGCCATATGACAAGAGAAGAATGTACCTGAGAATCTGTCTCATAGCTCTCTGTTTTTACTAACTAATTACGCCTTTGAAGAGTGATGAGATGTCTTTTCAAGCATTCTTGTTCCTTCTTCTTCCATGGCTAGTTTGCTCCATCCTGATCCTCTCATGGACAAAATCTTTGCCCGTTCAAGACCGTTTCCTCTAAACCCTGTAATCTTTGAAGATACCATAGGCATCACGAGTATCGCAGATGCGTTTATAGAGTCTTCGCCAAAGCCCAATGCCGCTAAACAAGCAATCTGCAACACACACACACAAAAAAAGCAAAACATTTTGTTTTAGTATTGTTGATAATGCTTACCAGTGAAGATACTCATGCTTTGTGGATACCTTTGTCTTGGCGATGAGGTCAGCTGCTTTCATATACATTCCTTGTACAACTACTCTTGTGTCTTTGCTGTGTCCATCTTCCGATGATTGTGATATCAACCTGTTATAAAATATCAAAATGTCAATAATAGCTAAATTATTGAATGACTTCTTAATTTAACGATTTAACAAGAACATGTTCTTTTACCTGTCCTCCTCAGTTGGTACGCTTGAGGACACTATGGAGTCTAGAGATGATGAATTTTCTTTCGTCTCGTTGCCTCTTGTATCATCAGGTGCTAGTAAGGAAATGCCTATGAACACGCACATCATTCCTAATATGAACATTGTCGTTCTTAATGCATCGAAAACCTGTTTAGAGTAAGAAGACAATAAGCCCACATTCATACCAATCCAGTACAAAAATGACCAAACTAATTATCCAGATCTGTTTTTGCCCAAGTAGAGAAAAAAAGCATCCCAATTAAGGTAATAGATGAACCTGAAACTCTTGAAAGTAGATGAATCCTGTACATATGGAGAAAAAAGTCCAAGCAATCTGAAACATTGGAACAATGAGAATTGCATCATATAGTGACAACCCTTCGTTTAATCTTGTCATCTGCAAGAAGCACATAAAAAGACATTTTTACTTTAGTAACTTCATCGTCTCAATGGCACAACAAAGAAGACAAAAACATCATTATTTTTAAGGCTTTACCCAGAATCCAGCTGTGCTAAGAAATAAGAGAAGCATAGAGTATGTGAACCAACTGTGCAACTGATAGCTACTAGACATGGCCAATCTCAGCAAGTTTGAGCTGCAAGATGAAACTCAAATTACCACTTGAAGTCATATACATAACTTATCAGCTTAGACAAGTAAAGCCAGCAGATCTACAAACTCACAGTGACTTGGCGAATAAAACCGAACATGATCCTATAGCGCCGGAGACCACAGCATATGAGAAAGGGAGCAACATTTTCCAATAGGAGCTAATCTCTTGTCCAGGTACAGATATCAAAACTTCTCCCTTCCTGAATATTTCAATTAAACATATCAGCGCGGATAGTTGAAAACGAGCAGCGAGACTACAATTTCAAGTGCAAGACTCACCTATAGAGGAAATGGTTCACGGCTACAATTAAAATCAAAATCCCACAGTATATCAAGAATGTCACATTGCTGTATTTTTCTGCCAACTGGTCGGGAGTGAATACTGAGCACAGAAGATTTGCATTAGGTCACGCTTTGTGAAACACACTAAACCAAAACCTTCTGTTCAAGAATACTTTACCTGGTGATTGGTGATTACCAAATGCTACAAGGAAAACGTTTCCAAGAACTATAAAGGCTGTAGCAACGAGTACTCTGTGACCAAGGCATACCAAAGAAATAAGAAGAGTGAGGAATGAGTAAATTGGTATAGCTAAAGATTGCAGCGAAAGGATGTTTACGTACTTAACAGTGACCATTTTGTTTAATACAACATAAGCAAACGCTATGTTGGATACAAATTGAATGGATCCAAGAGCTGCTAAAAGGGACTGCAAAGAGAGAGCGTGAAGGTAAGAAAACCAAAAGAGAAACCGTAACACAACCATCTAAATCTGACAAATCACGCAAGTAGGCAATGTCGAACACATCACTCTACCTGAGCAGCATAACCAAACGAAATGAAATTGAGGCAATTCCCAAGAAGAAAGACAAGGATCCCTGTAAGTTTCCAACAACATTGGACTCAGAACCAGCTTTATATAAATTTCAAAGGGGAAAAAGTTTAAGACCAAAGCATACCAACTCTCCATGTCTGAAAATGTATAATCGGCTTCAATGGCGTCTTTCCTCCGCCACCATCCTGTAGAGCTAACCTTTCTCTCTGATAATACACAGAGTCAACACAATGTAAGCTTCGCGAAATCAAATGTAACCAAAACAGTGGTGCCAGAGGCAAATGCAAACCTCATTATGTCCCAATTTGAGAAGATTTGTGCCGAAATTAATAGCAACGCTTCCAAAAATGTTGATGAAAGCTCCGATGACCCACTCTCCCATCGTTAAAGAATGCAGACAGCTCAGTTACGGATCATCTAACTCGGGCAATCTCTAGCTCAGGCTCTCATGTGATCTTACTAGCCTTCGAACCTGGAAGAGAAGAACCCTCTGAGCAAAAAACCTAAGGAAGTTGCAAGAGAGGAAAAGAAACGCAAGCTTGCAGCTTTGATAAGGAACAAAGAGAAAACCCTTAAACTTCATCAGAGAAGGAATAATGGGGTTCTTCAATCGTTGAATCTATTCAAAAGGAGATCAAATTGACAAATTGCGGCAATACAGAACCGGGAAACGAAAGCAGAGAGAGGCAAAAACAAGGAGTTTCGGTGTTTAGAATTAAGGAGGCAAAACCTGCGACGAGAAGATAGAAGAGCTTCAGATCCAGATTGATTCTAACAGCAGAGCAGATTACAAGTCCTCCTCTCCCAACAAAACTATTTAGTTTTTCTTTTTTTTTAAGAATTGAAAATGGTGAGGTTTAGCTTTTAACCAAACAAAATGGCGTCGACTAAAAGGAAGAATAAAAATTGAATCTTTTCGCAAATCGAAAATTCTATAAACAAAAAAGGTTTGATTTTTCTAAGGAAGACCCAATCGCCGAGAAATTCCCAACGACGGTGACGGGTTAAAGGAAGGAAGTCGACGATGATGAGATCCGATCAATTGTTAGCAACTTCCATCATTAAAAAATGACGTTGTGGTTGGGCCCTTTGTGTTGATCTGTCTTCTTGCTGCTCCTCACGTTTTGTTTTGGGCTTTTTACCATTTTTACTCTTTCTCTCTCTCTAGCCGACGACACTCAATGGCCAAAAGCATCCCTTTGGCGGGCGCGTAAACTATATTCATTCGCACGCAAAATTGACCCTTTTGACCTTTCGTTGTCTGAGAGAGAACAAAGAAAATGGATGTTTCCGATGAAGACGACGACGAAGGTTTTGGTTCTCGTTTCAACGACGAAGAAGAAGAAGAAGAAGAAGAAGAAGAGGGTTTTACTTTCTACGACGATGTCGTTGAAGAAGAAGAGGGTTTTGCGTCTGATTTCTACAAGGCTGGTTCCGATTGGTCTTGTTTAGTGAAAGACGAAGAGACCGCTTTGGTTTCTCCTGAGAATAAGAAGATGAAACAAGCGGACTTGTTTCAGATTTGGGGTTTACAGAAGATTTCTCCTGAAACGAAGAAGAATATGAAACAAACAGACTTGTTTCAGATTTGGGGTTTACAAAAGCCTTCTCCTTCCACTTCACCTGCTTCTTCGTCGGCGAAAAAAACTTCGAATGTTCTTGGAAAGAGACTTAGGAACTCTCCATTGACCAATGACTCGCCTCGACAATGCCCTTTTTACAAGAAACTTCCAGGTCTTGCTCCTCTTCTTCTTTTTCGCATTCATATGTTCAAATCTGCTTCTCTGTTTGCCAATTTTGCGCCATTTCTGTAGGAACACCGTTCACTGTGGATGCCTTTCGCTATGGTTGTGTCCAAGGATGTTCTGCTTATTTCCTTACTCACTTTCACGCTGATCATTACATTGGCCTCACTAAAGCTTGGTCTCATGGTCCAATTTACTGCTCCTCTCTCACTAGTCGTCTTCTCAGACTTAGTCTGTCTGTTAATCCCTCGTAAGCTCTTTGCTAATGCCATCTATGTCTGAATACATCCATCAAGTTTGTGTATTGAATTTTTGGTCTGGTGAATTTTCTGTGCGCAGGTTTATTCATCCATTGGAGCTAGACGTAGAATACACTATTTATGGGGTTAAAGTCACTTTAATTGAAGCTAATCACTGTCCAGGTGCTGCTCTTATTCACTTTCGTCTCCTAGATGGGACGTGTTATCTGCATACTGGAGATTTCAGGGCTTCTAAACAGATGCAAACTCATCCTCTCCTCTTTAAACAACGAGTTCATGTTCTGTATTTGGATACAACATATTGCAATCCGAGATACAAGTGAGAGGAATTTTCAAAATATTATAACTTATGATGAATTTTTGAGTGAGCATGCTCGTAAATTTTTATTCCTGTTTTTTTGTTATGTTTTTTTTTTGTTTTGTTCAGATTCCCCTCCAAAGAAGATGTATTAAGTTATGTTGTGAGAATCACAAAGGAGTTCCTCAGGAAGCAACCGAGGACTCTGATTGTTGTTGGTTCTTATAGCATTGGAAAAGAATGTGTTTATCTAGCTATTGCCAAGGCACTTGGGGTATAAATTGCTGGAGCCATTCTCTCTCTTTTTTTTAGTCATCTTTTGTAGACTTTTAATTTCTGACCTCGTGGGTTTTTCAGATCAAGATATTTGCAAATGCTTCAAGAAGACGGATACTCCAATCTTTTGGTTGGGATGATATCTCAAAGAATCTTTGTACAGATGGGAAAGCCACATGTCTTCATGTTCTGCCTATGTCAGCACTGAGAGTTGAAGTATTTCTCTTAAAATCAAGATGCTTATCTCAACTATTATTTTATAGTTTTTATGTCAAATTCTCATGATCTTATCTCTGTCTAATAATTTCTATGAAGAGACTCGACGAACACTTAAAGGTTTATAGAGAACAGTATGGAGCAGTTTTGGCATTTAGGCCCACAGGTGAACTATTTTTGCTTCTTTTTTAAGGTTTTTGTTTAACCTATATGGGTACGAAAAGTAAGGTTAGTTTTTCTTCTTTTTTCTCAGGCTGGACTTACTCTGAGAAGATAGGTGAACACCTTGATCTGATAAAACCAACTTCAAGGGGGAAAATCACCATTTATGGTGAGTTTGATTTTTGTAATGCACATTCTCTATGAGCTTTTGGTGGTTGTATATAATGCACACAGCTCTATTCAATTTGTCTAATTGATTGTTATCTTTCTAGGGGTTCCATATAGTGAGCATTCAAGCTTCACAGAACTTCGTGAGTTTGTTCAGGTGTGTACCATGAATGCTGTTCTTATCTACCTGTATCTGTCCTGGATAAGTTTTACGCATTAACTGATTTATTTGTTACACAGTTTTTAAAGCCAGACAAGATTATTCCTACAGTGAATATCTCAAATGCTGGAAGTCGGGAGAAAATGCAGTCATGTTTCAGAGAATGGCTCAGACGCTAAGATTCAACTCTAGGTTGATAGATGATTGCATCCTGTTGGTAAGAAAATCAATAGCTTTGACTGTTCTATCTATAATACTGTTTCTATTTTTTTAATGCAGTTTCTGAATCCCAAAAATGTTTCTCATTGAAGCTTTTAACGGTTGCTTGATGCTTCTGTGACATCTTTCGATATTACTACTGGCGAATGTAGTAGAATTGAATTACTTGAAGGATTTAATCCAGAAGTCTTATTCTTAGTTATTCTCTTGTAACATCTTGGATATTGGTACAAGTTAATTCTTTTAGTTATGATGGTTGGGATAGAAAAGAGTATAAAGAGAGACAACACTTTCTTTATGCTACATTTACTTCTCTTTACCTAGAAGAAGGATTAGCGTCAAGAGTATTTTTGCAGTTCACACGAGAAGCAAAAGAGTAGACAATGCAAAGAGGGAATAAGGTAACCAAATCAGATGAAAGAAGAGGGAGATTGGGTTTGTTGCTGAGAAGAGAACTCCGAAGATACATCATATTATTGTCTCGTTTTTGTATCTGTTGTTCCTTCACACCAAGATGCCAAAGATCCCAAAGACACAATGGAATGCAGTAGCATATTGAGTAGCATCCTCGGCCAGTGGCGGAGCCACGTTAGTTGGGAATGGATCAGCTTCCCAGTAAAAAAAAATCACTAGTGTAAACTTTTAAGGATAATAATTCTTGCTCCCATATTAAATAATATATTTATATCCCCATTAATTTTTCCCTTTGTTCAGTTACTTAATTTGATACTGTATAATTTTTTCTTTTTGTTCAGTTATCGGTTCAAATTTGATGCCCAAATTGATTTACTTACATTTTTAACTTGGGATCACTTATATTCATTTATAAATTTTAGATGTTTACTCCATAAATATGTAAACATATTACACATAATATTAGCATATCTAAAAGTTAGTATATACAAATACAGTAACATCTTTTCTTTCTTACACTTTTACCAGTTTATGCAAAGTTTATAAGATTTGAACTCTAACTCTTTTAAACAAATTAGCACATGAAATCATATTTTCTGTAAGGCTAATCATTTATAAGAAAATATTTTTAAAGTATTTATCATATATACTGTAATTTTTCTGTATACTTACTAATTAAAGTACAATAAATCAAAAACAAAAATATGTTTGTTTTATTTGCACACTTTTGTTATTGTTGATTATTTGAATGATATTTTTTCGAAGCGATGTGAAAAATATATAATACATTAAGTTTCTAGACAACAAAAATTTTAGCTCCGCTAACTCGGCTGTGTAAAAATATTCCAAGCCAATGTCTTTTCTGTTGTGCAATGGTTGTTGACCTCATCATTGGTCTGTGAGTGTTAAACTCTTAAAATGTTATTCTCGTGTGTTTGGTTGTTTCATTGAGCATCTACAACTATGGATCCTATGAGTTAACAGAAGTCTCTCTAGGTAACTTTGGAACAAATTGGGTCTTAAATCATTAGCTTCCCATGTTTTAACTTTGTTTACAGAAGAAGCTTTTCAACAATCCAGAAGTTATATTATATAAAAATAACAGTTGATAAGTATTTATCTGCCTAATAGAAATGTAACTAATTAACTACAATTTACAAAGCAGTACCGAGGATCAATTTGACGATCTCCTCGATTTGAAATGCTGGAAATGGCGAGAGGGTCTTCTTGTGTTCCCCCTGGCCTTCCGTCTTCTGCCATTACTCTCAGAAACTCTTCAAGAGCACTCTGCATCCACTCATACCGACACAGTTCCAAAGCTTCTTTAACATTCAGCTGTGCATTGTACAAAACCCCACTATCAGTAATTTTATAAACATAAATATGATGCAAAACAAAAGCAAACATTTGCGCTTTACCCATCTTCTCTCGCGGTTTTCTTGCTCTGGCCATGTCTCAAGTTCTTCCTTCACTTCTAACGCGAACATATAACCTTTGCATCCACCACCTAAGCAGCATTCAGCTTCCACACTGCTACTCTTGCTTCTAAATTCCCAAACTCCTAGTGGATCTTCCTATAGAAAAAGACAGATCCAATATTGAAACAAATCTATACAACAACTTTCGATGAAGGATCTGTGTTGAGACAGAAAACATACTCTTAGTATTCCTTTAACTCCTGCTTCTTCCATGGCTTCGCGAGATGCAGCTTCAAGAACAGTCTCATCATCTTCCCATCCTCCCTGAACAATACACAAAGTCATTTATATGTAACATTTTGCATCTAGTTTCAGAGGCATCAAAACCAACAAATAATTAAGGGAAAATATATATTTTTTTTAAAAAGGAAACCTTTGGGAAGACAAGATCGTGTCGGTTAGGAGATGAAACCATAAGAACTTGTAGCCTATTTTCAAAGTCAACACTTGAGTCCTCTTCATCTTTCATCAGCCTATACGGAATGCATCTGTCATCATATCAACACACAAATTTCTTCTAATTATTGCCTCTTTGATTTCCAATATTGAAAATTGAATTTAATTAAAAAAAACAAATAAATCTCATCACATCATATCAAGAACGATTCCAAGCATTAATAAAGTCAACACAAGAAGCTAAAGGAGATGTAAAAAAAAAAAAAAACCAAATTTATACCCAGAAACGAGGCGGAAGTTGTTGTCATAACGTTGACGGTCTCGTCCTGTTCGTGCTGAAAGATTCGACATTTGATAAACCTGCCAAGATGAAAATAAACCCCAAATTTTTCTGTAAGACGAAGAAATCGAGAGAAAAAACCAGAGAGAAGAGGAAAAGCTATTTACAAAAAAAATGCAGCTTCTAAGCTTTGACAAAAAAAAATCCTGTCTTTGTCTGTTGTTGATGTCAGCAAGAAACATCACCGTAGCTTCCATGGCGAATCATCTTGTTCAAAAAAAGTTAAATCTTTTCTGGTTTTTACTCAGAACAAAAGAACCAACCAGAGAGAGAAAGAGAGAGAGAGAAAAAGCTGAAACCCAAACAAAAAAAAAATGGAAAAGAAAGGAACCGTTTTGGTTTGTTTGCCATCTATAGAAATGAAGGAAAAGCTGAGATTTTTCCGGGGACAAATTTAAGAGCTGACGAAGGAGCATTCAATTCCTTAGTAACCACTCATCTCTATCTCACGTTTCTCATATTTAAAATATACTTTATATTTCCAAAATTGGAAACAGTGTTACCAACTTTCATTAGGAAAACATTTTAGTTCATGATAATGATACAAGTCATGGTTAAGTCTCAGTTCAAACTAAAACTTTAGAATTTGAGTTTGAGTTATAATGTGTTATAGTTTATTTACAGTTTTAACTTATGTTTTTTTTTAGAAATGGTTAACTCAATAGTTGACTCAACATCATGGTGTATTGGTGTAGTAGTAGTTAGTTAACTTTTGAGTTAGATTTTACAAGATATATTTGGTCCATGCTTATACTGGATGGAGGGTCTGGTTTAATGGATATGGGGACACTTGAGTATTATATCCTACTTGTTTTTAATATCATTAGTTGATAGACAGACAAGTCAAGAGCGAATCATAAGATGTCCGGATGTGAAAACCATTATTTACAAGATACATACTCATTTTTCCAAATCGTTTTTCATTTTTTAAGACATTTTTTTTTCATTTTTTTTTAGTATCATGAATGTTTTATGGTAGGTGAGAATATGATAAGTTTAACATGTCTACGGATTTGAACAGAGATAATCTTAATTTTTAAGAATGTCATTTTAGCACACAAAAAAAAAGTTTGTCCTACCCCTTTGTAGGTACTCCTAAACTTCTAAAAGAACCGAGTGCAAACATTTTTCATTCTTTTGAATATCAGAATATGTTTTCAAAAATATATAAAAAAGTGCTTGATTCTATATGTGTTCCGAAGTGATTTCTCTAAATTACTGTACACATGAGGCTAGATGTATATTCCAATTTCCAACAAATCCAAAAACGAGCCAAGGAAATTGGCTAGAAAGCCCAGGTATCATGATATGATTGATTAAAACGCACAATAAAAATTAATGGGCTATAATGGGCCTTTTAAAATGGATAGAGAGGCGGTTGGTGCAGACTACAATTGATTTATTTTTGAGTCACTTTTCAATCATTTCCAATTTGTATGATTTATTCATGATGACCACGACCGCCGCTTCAATCATTGGTCTCGTTTCAAAATTTCAATTTTCTTTAAAAAAATGTGAAGAAGAGAGAGAGAAATGAAATAAAAAGTCAAGACAAACGTTAAACGCAGAGTGATACATAGATAAACGCGAAACGCAGATCGTGGAAATGTGAGTTGAAACGTTAGCGTCAGTAAACTAACGGGTATATAAGTAGAAGTAGAAGCAAATGTCTATACAGCTGGCTTGTGGGTCCCTTGACCCCACCTTTTACTCTGTCGATGTAGAATGTGGTCCTACTCCTAATTTTTTTTTTCGTAAAAGTGAGTTTGTTGTTGAATTTTATATTTAAAGAATATTATTATGAATGTTTGTTCGCTGGATTTCTATTTGTCATTAATAACAACGTTAATTATGTATTTTCTTCTATAATCAGGACTATTTTATACTAGTACCAATTTTTTTTTTCTTTCTCGACATTACTAGTACTAGTTAAAACGACAGTAGTTCGTACTTGTTTAAATATAAATATGTCGCTCTCGATTATAGTGGTTGCGTTCAAGTTATAATTCGTAACAGTCTGAAAATGTGTCATGATTAAGAGGGTGAAATGTTTAAGTGAAATTTTTTGACTGAACTAAAAAAATTGCAGCATTCCAAATTTCTTTGATTTTAAAAGTATCGTGAAATGTTTCTGCCTCGATTTCACAAAACCGTATCATTAATATCTCTTAGTACAATTGCATATTATCAACAAAAAGTTTTAAGACATCTAATTCAACTGTACTAAAAATTATGAAGTGACATAATCATTTTGTGAAAGAAACATAAGAGAATAAAAGAATAATGACAAACAGTACAAATTCCAATTGTAAACTGATTGATAGAAAATACAAATTCTAAGAATTATAGATCTCTGTTTGGTTATAAATTCCCCCATCTATCATTTGTTGCTTATTAATTTTTCAGAAAAAAAAATATCTCTAGACTAATTTATTGAAGTAGTAGAAATTACCCATTTAAAGGAGGAAAAAAACATGCGAAAAAAGGAAAGAAAAAAGAAGGAAAAAACAGAGAGATTTGCGGAGTAAAATAAAAGAGGAGAAGGCAGAGACAGAGAGGTGTGTGTGTGTGTGTGTTCGTCTCTTCAAACTTACGGCGGCGGAAACAGCGTTTCACGGCGGTTTTAGTTTCTTCCATTCTTCTTCTTCTTTATAGTTAAACAAAAAAAAAAAAATTCCCTTTCGCTGTAATTGCAAACTGGCGAAGTGACCCACTTGTGCTTCTCTTGTCTTCAAAGGTTCTCTTTTTATTCCTCTTTTCCCCGAAATTAAACAATGGGTTTTTGGTGGTTGGAGAAGAGTAAAAACTCTGTAAATGTCAATTCGAAAAGTCATCTCTTGAACTGAAAATAATAAAAATCGTTGGTAAATAGTTTGATTGTTGTTGTTGTTGTTGTGGTTTCTGAGTGAATAAATTCCAGTCTTAAGAGAGAGAGAGAGTTGTTGTCTGCGCGATGTCACTTTCTGTCGGCATTGTCTGCGTTCCGACACAAAACTTAATTTCTTCTTCTTCTTCTTCTTCTTCTTCTTCTTCCCTTTACCTTCGAGTTCTAGAAACTGCGGCGGAGATTTGATTTTTCCAAAGCTCCTCCTTTTCTTCTTCAATTCTCCTTCCCATTTTCACACCAATCTTCTGGTTTTTTGTTGGTGTTTTCATTTTTCTCTGTGTCTGATTAAAAATAGAAACAAAGAAAAAACAGTTCGATTCTTGATTCTGCCGATTAAGGAAATTTGCTCACGCTCTCATTCAATGTTGTTGGAGAACAAAACGTGGGGAATCACGCCGTCGATTCTTGATGTTGTGATATTTATCCGCCGATGAAGTTGAGTTTTCCTGGAGATCTATCAAGGTTTTGTAATGAAACTTCTCTCTATCTCTTTTGAATCTTATTTACTGCATGTTTGAATGATTGATTGTCAAAAGAATCCTAATTAATTTTACAAGTTGACACCTTTTGTTTTTTTTTTTTTACCTCTTAAACAAAAAGATGTATGTATATCCACACAAGCTTTGTTTGCTTTTCGTTTTGTCTTGTCTTGTCTTCATCTTCTTCTACTTCTCTTTTTTTTTTCGCCGACATTCTCGTGTTTTTTCTACAGAGTTATCGCATGGTAGTAGCTTGGAGCATCGCAGAGATAGAGAGAAAGAGAGAGGCTACTTTGTTTCCAAATGTCAGCAATTCTTGCAGCAGCCATTGGAGGTGCTGTAGGAGCTCTTGCATTCATTGCTCTGTTGGTTTTTTTACTATGGTTTTGCATCTTTCGTCGCAAGAATGTGTCAAGAACTTCTGAGACAGGCTCCTCTGATCCATCAACTCAAGGTATTTAAACCACAAATCCCATCAATTCATCAATTGCTCTCTCTCCCTCTCTCTCTCACTTGACTTTCTTGGATGATATCAGAAGATTTAGACTTTGTCTTCTTTTTTTGTGTGTTTTCAGAAGGAAGAAATGTTGCAATTGAGCTGTCTATGAGAGAAGCTAGAAGGTTTGAAATGGAGGAACTTGCTCAAGCCACCAAGAGTTTCACCAATAAAAGCCTTATAGGCATAGGCAAATTCGGCGAGGTTTACAAAGGTTTGCTTCAAGACGGTGTTCTTGTGGCCATCAAGAAAAGGCCCGGTTTGCCTACGCAAGAATTCGTTAACGAGGTTTTACAATAAACCCTTTGTTCAATGTTTGGTTATGATCTAGAAGAACAAAGTGTTTTGAGAGGCTTACAAGGTATTGGGAAATGGTTTTTTTCAGGTTCGTTATCTATCTTCTATCCATCACCGAAATCTTGTTACTCTTTTGGGTTATTGCCAAGAAAGCAACACGCAGTTTCTTGTCTACGAGTATGTTCCTAATGGAAGTGTTTCCAGTCACCTGTACGGTAACTCTCTGTCCTGAATAGAGATTAGTACTAATATTCTCATTTGGTAAAAGATCAGTTTTTGATAACTGATGAGTTTAGACAAATGTAAGCATCGTTTGGATCTTTTCTTGTACTAGGTGCTGGTGGTAAAGTACCTGGAAATAGGCTAGAATTCAGAAATAGGCTTGCGATATCTATAGGAGCAGCTAAAGGTAAATTCTCTGCAAAAGCCTTGAGAATTAAGCTTGTTTGTGTCCTGATCTTGTCTATACCATCTTCTTTTTCTTTATCTCTAGGCTTGGCACATCTTCACTCGCTGAGTCCTCGATTGATACACAAGGACTTCAAAACCGCTAATGTTCTTGTGGACGAAAATTTCATTGCTAAAGTTGCTGATGCAGGAGTCCGTAATTTCTTAGGAAGAGATGATGTTGGTACATCATCTCACGTTGTTGCAGACCAGAATTTCCTCTCCCCAGAGTAAATTGAGCATTTTTACCTTTTGAGACTCACATTTTGTTTTTCCTCTTTTGTATCAAAGTTTCTCAGATTTTCTCCCTCGTTTTCAGGGTTCAAGAGTTCAGAAGATTTTCAGAGAAAAGTGATGTCTATGCTTTTGGGGTATTCCTTTTGGAATTAGTAAGTGGAAGAGAAGCATCAGAGCCATCCCCTTCAAGCTCAACACAAACTCTAGTTGAATGGGTATGTAATCACACTCAAAACCCAATCTTTAAGTAATGTACCGAGTTAGAATCCAGATCACAGAATGTTGCCGATATGAAATCTATATTTTGAATTTTCACTTGTACACACTGGAACTGTAGATGCAAAACATAACAGATTACACGGATATACCCGAGATGATCGATGAGAGACTAGGCGGTACATACACAGCAGAAGGAGTGGAGGAGGTTATTACACTGACACTGAGCTGTCTTGATGTTTCAAGTGAGAAGAGACCAACAATGAGTTATGTTGTGACAGAATTGGAGAGAATATTGGACAAAGAAGTGAGCTTAACAACAGTACTAGGTGAAGGTACTCCAACTGTTACTCTTGGAAGTCAGCTTTTTAAATCATCAAAGTGATCAAAAGAAAAAAGGAACATCTTTACATATATATACATATATATATTTATATATAAGTTCTCTGAGACAAAACTAATCAGAGAACTTAAGGGGATGAAGAGGATGAAGACTGATCAGCTGTTTTGTGTTAAGTGTATAAAGAACAGCTGAGCTATTATTATTCGTTTGTTTGTTTGTTTTTTTCACCTTTTTTCTTCCTTTGGAGGTTATTTTCAGCAATTTTTTTTACAATGAGTGCAGAAAATATAACTTTGTAGAAACATTATTTATTGATATAAAGGAAGCAAGAGTGGAATGTTGTGTGATTTGTTTGTTGTTGTCACAAATCATTTTTTTGTAGCACAAGCAGAAATCGACACAGTATAAAGTTTGGACCAATAAATTACAGTGTTTACTTTCTCTAAAAGTGGAGTAATAATTTGAGGGAAATGTTGACCAAACCAAGTTGGTCTTGATCAAAAGATTCCAATTTAGTTAACTGTTGAACGAGCAGAAGCCAGAAGATGATAACTTTCTGTTTCAAGAACCCTAGTTATTATGTTTGGACCAAAAAAAGTCCTGAGTTACTTTTTGTACAAAGTAGCAATTTTGGGAAAAAAATTGACCTTAGCTTCAACCTACCTATGCTTTATAGCCTTTATTGCCAACGAGATAACAACTAAGTTGGTCCAACAAATTTGATCAAAGATTCTCCAATTCCAATTGGTAGTGAAATTTGTCAGTCAACTGTGTTTTTCATTTTTTGTCTCTAAAAGATTCTTGCTTTCTCACTCTCAGTGACTTATTGCATATTTGACTCAATGCTCTGTTTTTTTTTTCTTCCTTTCTTTTCTATTAATTACTGTCCCTAGTTTTGCTAAAACCTTTGTGGGCACACAGAACTATAAACAGTCTTTGAACAGATTCCAAATCATGTTTGGGTCTGATTTTGTCGGGAGGAAAGATCTAGTGATAAAGACTCTTCTTCCGTAGATGGTGAAATCGTAAATGCTGGTGGGTCTCTCATTTATCTACTTACCAGATCTTGACTTCACTATGAAAAAAAAAACATTACTGTTGATTGAAGCTGAGAAAGGAAACAAAACCAGAGATGGTCTTACAGTTACAGAGAAAACAGAGTTTATGTATTGCAACGACGTCATAAATTTAAATTAAAATCCGTTTGAACCTTTTTTGAAAAATAGAAATTGAAGGAAAAAATGAGAACCACTCGATTTTGGATAGACTCATTTACGCACACACGATCATGTAAAGGCTTAAGCTTTATTTTTGTTTAAGCCATTGAGAAGCATTTTTCTTGACAATGGCGACGAAGCTGTTCTCTCCGGCGTTGTCTTGTCCATGGGTGACTTCAAGAGATGTAGTAATCAAAGGGCTTCTTCCACGGCGGAGACGGGGATGTGTCACGAAGAAGAACAGAGTGTCCGCCGTCACCGCCATGATTGTGGAGCCTCTCTCTGCTGTTTCTTCATCGGCGATTCAGATTCATCAATGGTGGGAACAAAGCCCTAGCTCCTTACTGTTAATGGCGGAGACTGGTGGTGGTTACTCGTTGGCTAGCTACTACACGTCTTTGGGTTTGTTCGTTATATCAGTTCCAGGTCTTTGGTCTCTCATCAAACGCTCTGTTAAATCAAAGGTTCGAACTTTTTCGAATTACAAAAAAATCCAATTTCATCCCCAATTTCTGAAGCTCGAATCTAATGTGAGGGATTCTTTTTGCAGATAGTGAGAAAGACGTTCGTTGTTAGTGAAGGAGAAGGAATCAAGAAGGAGCCGAAGCAAGTTGCTGGAGAGATTCTCTCTTTCTTCACAAGGAAGAATTTCAACATCACTGATCGAGGAGAAACGATCACGTAAGCTAATTTAAGAAGACAAAAATTCGAATTTTTTTCATATGGGTTTTTGGTTTGGTTACTGACACTGTTGTTATTGGATTTTGAAAAAAAGGTTCGAAGGAACGATGGTTCCAAGTAGAGGACAAGCTGCTTTGCTTACGTTCTGTACATGTATAAGCTTAGCAAGTGTGGGTCTTGTTCTAACCATTACAGTCCCTGATTTTGGAAACAATTGGTTCTTCATTACCATTCTCAGTCCACTCGCGTAAGCTCACTCTCTATCTTTATCTCTCTCTCTGAAACTGTTTGTGAGTGGTTGGTGATGGTTGATGTGTTGCAGAGGAGCGTATTACTGGAAAAAGGCGTCGAGGAAAGAGGAGATAAAGGTGAAGATGATGGTGGGAGAAAAAGGGAAATTGGATGAGATTGTGGTTCAAGGAGATGATGTACAGGTTGAAGAAATGAGGAAAGAGCTACAGCTTAGTGAGAAAGGCATGGTTTATGTTAAAGGTCTCTTTGAGAAATCATGAAAACTGAAAAACATTTCACCCTCCCATTTTTGCCTTTCTTTTGTTGGGGAAGAATATGTTTATAACTGAAATTGGATGAGAGACTTGATGACCTATTGACTCATTTTCATAGTTTCACTTCATACTAAATGAATCAATTTACATTTAATGTCATGCAGATGTATTGTTGATATAGATCAATTAGTTGAGCAATTTTGTTGTCTTCTTCATAATAAATGGTGTCTTTGTTCCCGAGTAGGACATCGAAATTCGAAGATTGAATATTTTCTGTATAAATGTATCATTCATATGTGACATTTCAAGTAACCCATTGTATTGCATTGTCTTTTCTTTTCTGTCATCAACATATATATTATGAAAATTTAAATTTAGATGATGGCATAATAATGATGTCAGCACAAAGCCACAAACTACACTAGCTACATCACCCTGTCGAATTTGTTTTTCTTTCCGGAGGGCAATTCAAACGGTTCAAGGTTCATGCATAACTGTAGGTTGTGTGTTGTATACTGGACCAAATGTTCTCATCAAGAATGGCCTTTTACTAGATATGGGTTGGGCTCAGCTTAGTTCGATCCATATGAAATCAACGAATCCCTCTCTCTGCTAATCAGCCTAATATGTTGTATATTTTGCCTTAAATTCGAAAGGAAATTCATCATTCAAATTTTTCTTTAGGAGAAAAATCATCACCATCATTCGATTTGGCTTGCAATAATTTGTTATCAACACAATTCAAATATTCAATGGACCATTTTATCACTTCTCCCACAAGCAACACTAGAGATTTTTAATCAACACATTATTATTGAATTAAATTTTGATATTTATCTGATTGGTAGGAAGTGGATATAGTCTATCTCTGACTCTCATTAAATTACTAATACAATAGGGTTAGTACACAAATTAAATAAATTATCAGAAGAAGAGTGAGAGTGATATAGATTAGTGAGAAAACAACGTCACTTTTTGATTCTCCACGCGCGTCTCTCCTTCTTCCTTTACAAAAACACTTGTCTACACATTGATCTTCACGATCCTCTCTACGATCCTCTCTCTCTCTCGCTCGTCTTCTTCTTCTCCTCAGAGCTCTCGCGTCTATGGCGGTCCAATGTTTCATCTCCTTTTATCTCTGTCTGTTTCTGGCGACGATTGTAATCGGCGGCGTCTATTCCGAGTACATAGAGTACAACACAACACCGAGAATCGTCCCTGAGAAAATCAATGTTCACTTGGTTCCTCACTCACACGACGACGTTGGTTGGCTTAAGACCGTTGACCAGTACTACGTCGGCGCCAATAACTCCATTAGGGTACTCTTTTCACATCCTCCTCCCTCTAGTTCCATGGAAGAAGAAGAAGAATCGATTATGCGATTTTTTAGGGATTAATTTTGTTCTGGATTTTGAATGAGCAGGGAGCTTGTGTTCAGAATGTATTGGATTCTGTCATCGCTTCTTTGCTGGACGATCAAAATAGAAAGTTCATTTATGTTGAGATGGTAAGATTCCGATATACATTTTTTTTTTTTTTTTGCTTTTTTCCTGATACAATTGGTAATGGCTGAATACTGTCTTAGGCATTTTTTCAAAGATGGTGGAGGCAACAAAGCAACGCCAAGAAGGTTAAGGTCAAGAAGCTTGTTGACTCTGGTCAACTGGAGTTCATGTGCGTTGGATTGATCTCTGACCTTTTTCTTGTTTTGTTTATTGTGTCTTCTATGTGTTTGGTGTTTTCGTTGTCTTGATGTGCGGTTTTGCAGAAATGGTGGAATGTGTATGCACGATGAGGCGACTCCACATTATATTGACATGATTGATCAGACCACACTAGGCCATCAGTTTATCAAAAGTGAGTTTGGTCAGGTTCCCAGAGTCGGTTGGCAGATCGATCCCTTTGGACATTCTGCAGCACAAGCTTACTTGCTTGGGGCAGAGGTATAGTTTGTGAATTTAAAATGAGTTCAGTATGTGAATGATTAGCCTATATCAGCTCAATTTGTTTTGATTGGTCAACCCCTTTCGTTTCTTCTGCAGTTGGGCTTTGACTCGCTATTCTTCGCTAGAATTGACTACCAAGATCGTGCAAAGAGATTAAGAGAGAAGACACTTGAGGTTATTTGGCAAGGTTCCAAGTCGCTTGGCTCATCTTCACAGGTTAAGACCATTAGAGCTCACATTATAGTTCTGTTGTTTACTTGTTCCACTGTTTAGCTAGCTTTATCTCATTGCTATTCGATGCTACTTGTAGATATTCACCGGTGTATTCCCAAGACATTATGACCCCCCTGATGGTTTTACATTTGAAATAAATGACGTTTCACCTCCTATCCAGGTAAAAGCAATTGAACCTGATGTGCTGTGTTTGAAATTTGTTTGAACGTGCACTGATACAACATCTTGAATATAGGATGATCTTCTCCTTTTTGACTACAATGTTCAAGAGCGAGTCAACGACTTTGTAGCTGCAGCCCTTGCTCAGGTATTTATTCTTGAAATCAGCAAAAATAAAAGAAGTTCTGCTATGATATGTCTCATATTTTTTCTCTTGGATTTCTCTTGTCAAGGTCAATGTGACCAGGACAAACCATATCATGTGGTTAATGGGAACTGACTTCCGTTACCAGTATGCATATTCGTGGTTCAGACAGATGGACAAGTTTATTCATTATGTTAACAAGGTACACTGACTTTTTATACTAGCAAATTCATATCAGCTGGATTTCACTAGTTTCAAGGTAAAACAGATACCGATATTTGTTACCCTTTCGTTTGCACAATCCAGGATGGGCGTGTCAATGTTCTGTATTCAACACCATCTATCTACACCGATGCAAAATATGCTGCAAACGAGTCGTGGCCCCTCAAGAATGATGATTTCTTCCCGTAAGTATGATAGCTCGGGTTCTACTCTCTAAAAATTGAAATGCTTGTTGATTAGAATTTATGACATGTACCTGTGCCAGGTATGCGGACAAACCTAATGCATGCTGGACAGGGTACTTTACGAGCAGGCCAGCTTTTAAAAGATACGTGAGGGATTTAAGTGGTTACTATCTGGTATGGCCTAAATTTTTTCTAAAGATTTGTGGTTTCTTTTTGCTCCATTCTTACATGCAGTGGTTACTATCTTGTCTGGTTTTAAATAGGCAGCTCGACAATTGGAATTCTTGAGAGGTAGGAGTAGTTCAGGACCAACAACCGATATGCTAGCTGATGCTTTGGCAATTGCTCAACACCATGATGCAGTTAGTGGTACCCAAAGACAGCATGTGGCTGCAGATTATGCTCTTAGACTTTCAATGGGTTACCTGCAGGTATTTTTTTAACTAGGCCTCTCATGTGATTTCAGGCAACCCTTTTCTCTTGTTGGTGCAGCAGTTTAAAAATTTCTCTATGATCATTACTAGGCCGAGAAGTTGGTTGCCTCTTCCCTTTCCTTTTTATCAGCAGCAAAATCAAGTACTGAAGAGAAGGAACCCAGCACAAAATTTCAGCAGGTAACGTGCTTGATTAGGATTTTTCTAGGATTCAAATAATATACTATGGCCGTGCTAAAAGAGTTCAGAAGATGCCGTTGCTTCAGGCAACAAATTTTATTAGTATCTATTTTATAGCATTTTAATGACTCAAGTTCCAAACACTTACTGAATTCTAATGGGCTAAGCCTGATTCTTGTCTTGTGCATCATATTGGCAGTGTCCCCTGCTTAATATCAGTTACTGTCCTCCTTCTGAAGCTCGTTTGTCCAGCGGGAAAAGCCTGGTAAGTCTGTCTGACAGGCTTACTTTCAGTCTGTGAAGTCTTGGGTTGCACCTCTTGGATAGTTGTTCTATCTGTTCACATTAATTTCTCCTTGTAGGTGGTTGTTGTTTACAATTCTCTAGGATGGAAACGAGAGGAAGTTGTCCGAGTTCCTGTAAGATTTGTCAATCCCCTTCGTTGATTAGTGCAGCTCTCACTTTATAGTTGTTTATTATCCAATATTATTTCCCACTCATTCGAGCATTTACCAAATGTACCTGATAACTTTATCAGGTGTCGTCTGAAAATGTTATCGTGAAAGATTCATCTGGGAAAGAAGTCGTGTCTCAGCTTCTACCTCTTTCAGACATCTCACTGAGAATAAGAAAGGAGTATGTCAAAGCGTATTTGGGAAGATCACCAAGGGAAACTGCAAAACATGTGCTTGCATTCACAGCTTCAGTACCACCTCTTGGGTTCAGCTCGTATGTCATCTCAGACACTGGACGAACAGGTTAGCTATGTTCCAGAATGTGTACTATTGTGTGGTAAATTATGAATGATAGGATCTTGAAATAGAATTTCATGCATTTTATCTCTACTAGCCATGACAATTGGTTCCTCACTGGTACCAACAGACATATTGTATTTATTTGCATCTTTGTTTTCTAACTTGATTCAAGCGCGTGGACGATCTGCGCCATATGTTACTTCTGGAAGCTTGAATCAAGATGTAGAAGTTGGCCAAGGAAATCTTAAGTTACACTATTCGGAAGAGGGAGTGAAAATGACTCGTTTTATAAGTAATAATAAGCAGGTGTGCCGTTTTTTTTAGTCTAAACCTCCTTCCTTTTCCATTCGAGTTGAAAATGATCTGATATTGATTTGGGGTAAATTTTAAGGTTACTGCAGAACAGTCATATGCTTATTACATTGGAAGCAATGGAACTGACACGGATCCACAGGTAGCTCAGCTCTCTAATAGATACAATCTTATCTACTTTCTATCTTCTTGTCGTGTTTCAAACGGTTCTCATATATTTCTTAGGCTTCTGGAGCTTACGTTTTTCGACCAGATGGTCAACGTCCAATTAAATCTGAAGGAGAGGTAATACCTATTAACTTATTTCCTGACCGTATGTCAAAGTACGAAAGAAAACTAACTGTCTTGCCTGTCTCAGGCTCAATTGACTGTTCTTCGGGGACCTTTGTTTGATGAAGTGCACCAAGAGTTTAACTCCTGGGTATCACAGGTCATTTTCTCTTGCTAGTATTTATTGATTTCTTTAATTACATCAGAGAAGCTATAACTGTGTGATCTATCTTGTGACGGGTCTGTTAATTTACAGATTACCAGAGTGTACAAGGGAAAAGACCATGCTGAAATTGAGTTCACTGTAAGCTAATCTCTCTTTATCTTCACTCATGTCTTCATGCTAAACTGATGAAGACAATTTCAGTCTTCTTATTTCCTGCTTTCTAGGTTGGGCCTATACCAGCTGATGATGGTATTAGCAAGGAGGTTATCACAAAACTTACAACCACCATGAAGACAAATGGAACATTTTACACAGACTCTAATGGTCGCGACTTCATCAAACGGGTATAGATATAAACTTCAAGTGTGTAGTGTATATATTTTATTTTGTAACAATTGTATGCTTGTTTATTGTAACATACTTTGTTACATGTTCTTGCAGATCCGGGACTTCAGAACAGATTGGGACTTGCAAGTTTACCAACCAGTAGCTGGGAACTATTATCCTGTAAGATCAAATTCATCTGAGATTCCTTCGTGATATACTAAGGTCTTTTAGTATTTGTACTTTACTGAGCCTCATTATATCTGCCTTTTATTGTCTTACATATTCTTTTCTTCCAGATAAATCTCGGGATATACATGCAAGATAAAACCTCAGAGCTATCCGTGTTGGTGGATCGTGCTGTGGGCGGATCCAGCTTAGAAAACGGCCAGATCGAGTTGATGCTTCATCGGTCTGCCGACTAAACTTTTTCTATATACACAAGACAAGTATATGTTGTTTTGCTTGTGTTTTACCTTCCTTGGTTATCATTCGTGTAGGAGAATGCGTCATGATGACATTAGAGGTGTTGGCGAGGTTCTTAATGAAACAGTCTGTCTCCCTGATGGATGCAAAGGATTAACGGTAAGCTTAAGTTCTCATCTCAATTTTAGTCGTTCAAGTTGCAAAGTATCAGCTATTAAGGGAAAATGCGACAGAGCTTGTTTCCAAGATACGACCAAATCTTCTCTTTTTAGCCTAAAAGAGTTTGAGATTTTTTCGCAGATACAAGGGAAGTTTTATGTACAGATAGACAAACCTGGAGATGGGGCAAAATGGCGTCGAACATTTGGTCAAGAAATTTATTCTCCACTTCTTCTGGCATTCACAGAACAGGTTGCTCTTTAGATAAATAAAAACTATTCCCCTCACTTCTTTGAGATAGTGAAGTGAGAATGTGAGATAAGGTATTTTGCTTGTAGGAAGGAGATAATTGGATTAATTCACATAAGACTACATTCTCAGCGTTTGAACCGTTATACTCATTACCAAAGAACGTCGCATTACTCACCCTCCAGGTAAGTTGATTTATTTTTTTTATGTTAATATGTGAAATACATTTTTTTTTCGTTGACTACACTAAGCTTAAATTCTAAAATTTGCAGGAGTTGGATAACGGGGAAGTTCTTTTAAGGCTTGCTCACTTATTCGAGGTTCTTACTCGTCCTCCATATGCATTTCCATGAATTACATAGCTATATGCTTTTTAGTTGTAGACTTGTAGTTTAACACTAGGCCTAAGTATAAGATTCCGATTAAGATAGCAAATAATTAGAGATCTTGGAAAACTAACATTACATAGCAGAATAAAACCTAAATCTTTCAGTGCTAAAAAACCAAAAACAAACTTTTGTACAAGTGTAGAGAATTAGTACCTAAACGCCAAATGCAAAGGTGATCATGCGGTTAATCTTCGTGCTATGTCATTTCTCACCACGATTATATTTGGTTTTTGTTTGAAATGCCATACCAAGATGGAACCTAGAGTAATATTCAAGGAACTTAGGTCAATCCATTAATTGTCGATTAATTTTGAATTAAAACCTCCCAAATGAACTTTGATAGTTTTGCTTCTCTGCTGAGTCACTTTTTGGTTAACCTGTGAAGGCTGGGGAGGATAATGACTACTCAGTTATGGCAAAAGTGGAGCTAAAGAAACTTTTCCACAACAAAAAGGTAGGCAAAGAAGAGACAGATCATCTCTTTATTTGTCTCATTGTTTCCAACCAATAACAATGATGTTCTGTTATTTTTAAATGTTTGAACAGATACACGAAGTGAAAGAGACAAGTCTGTCAGGGAACCAAGAGAAAGCGGAGATGGAGAAGAGAAGGCTCCGTTGGAAAGTAGAAGGCTCCGCCGGGAAGGAGGTGAAGAGAGGAAAAGCGGTGGACGCGGTGGAGCTAGTGGTTGAGCTTGTTCCGATGGAAATCCGAACTTTCTTGATCAAGTTTGAGAATCACACCGAAATGGTTGGTGAAAAGAGAGCAACCTCATAGGTTTTTGAAGTAACACACGTTGTGGTCTTTCACAAGTCTTCACAAGTCTTTCACAAGTAACCAAATCTTAAATTAACAACAGTGATCGTTGTTTCGTTCATTTTTTTCATCTTTTAATTGTAGCTGTGACGATTGCGTTGGGAGTACAGACTCTGGATTTGCGTTTCTAAGTTTTTGAAATATAAAACGTTTTTCTTTTTCCATAAAATCATTTTGCTGAATGTAAATCCAAACCCCAAATGCAAATAAAAAAGAAGCATTTATTCCAAACCGTCAACATTATTATTATATTTATTTACTTTGATTTCAGTTTTACCACAATAGGCTGGTTATCGCTGGTTTTAGCTCAAACTCTAAGGCCATGTCCATTGGTGAATCCATCAGATATTAATTTCTTTTTTTTTCTTTTTTTTAATTCAAAAATTAAAAAAAAAAATTTCGCCCGATAATATTTTGTCATCCGGACGAACCTGGACAAACCTGGAGTCTTCAGAGTTGTCCTGAAGACCCGAGTCTTCCTTCTTAAACTTTTTTTTTAATTTATTTTTAATTACATTTACATATGTACTCGAACTAAAAATGAGAAATGCACCCACGAAGTATGGAAAGTGCCAAACTGTAGTGATGCCTGACTAGAAAACAAGGATTCTCGGCTCGAACCTCCACGCTCTTTAGCACGAGATTTTGAGTCTCGCGTGTCTACCATTTCACCACCAAGGCTCTAGACTACCAAGGTAATAGATAAATACAAACCGGAAATAATACAGTAATTTTCAATTATAATATTCGGTATATCCACCCGCCTAGAAAGGAATCATATTGTCGGGTTTTCGGATTCGGGTCGGGTATACGTCGGTTCATGTTATTATGAAAGAAAAAGGCAAAAACACGGCGACATGTTTGGTCTTGTGTTAAAAAAAATCAAAGTGTACGCAGAGAAAACAGAAGAAGCGGTGGCTCTGAGCCGGCGAAGTTTTTTTTCTCATCCCTAAAATTTTCATGTCCATCTTGCCTCATTCGCATATCCAAGGTCACAATTCGATTTCTTCTCCTCCTTCAGATTCGTCTCTAAACCAAAGCTCTGAGCATGGCAACAACTCTTCTGTGCCTCCTCTTCCCTCTTCTCCTTCCTCTCGAATTGGATCCCTCAGCCTCGCCGGACTTTCTTTCCCCACTGCTGATTTCTCCGGCGGCTCTCGGGGTAAGAGGATTGATAATTCAGCTACCTGATTTTCCCCTCTTCCTTTAGGGTTTCTAACTTTCTACATTGAGGACCGCAAATTTTGATTTTTTTTTTTTTAAGGGGTTCATTGAAAAATTCGAGCTTTGTTTAGATTTTATCCTTTTTTGGCTCACTCCATGTCTCAATTTCGATTTTTTAAATACTGTAGAACCGGTTGCTGCAGCTGAGGAGGGACATAGCCGTGGATCTTCCAAAGAGGTAAACTTAAATGCTTCTAAGTGGAATATGAGTCTTCTACTTTATAATCTGGAATCCCTTAGTTTGCTTTGAACTTAGATACCTTGTTCTGTTTCTTCGTTGCAGATGACGCAAATTGGATCAGGGAAGCAGAGTTTTTCCCCACCTAGTGCAGATACACGTGACCATGTCCGATATGATGGTCGAAGGAATAGGTCCAGAGGGAGAAATAGTGGAGCTGCTGGTTCTTCTTCTCAGTTGCAGCATAATACGAGACCTTTTGATTCTTCTAGAGGCGTTTCGCATCATAACACAACTGGTAGAAGAGCTAATATGATCAGCGGGAACCATTTACTGAATTTTCAGTATGATCCGATTTCGCCCCAACAATCTAGGGGTCCTCCTCCACCTCAAAGAAGGCAAATGTACAAGAGGAGGCCTTATAACAAGGATCTGTTTCTTCAGGCAAATTACAAGTTTGTTGTGTTGGACACTGGGGATCATTCTCCTGACTCCATGGATCCTGATAAGATGCTGCAGTGGGAGAATATAATTTGTGTAAGGTATTCCACCCCGTCTCCTGTGCAGTGTCCGATTTGCTTGGAGTATCCTCTATGTCCGCAGATAACTTCTTGTGGGCATATTTTCTGTTTCCCGTGTATTCTACAGTACCTGTTGATGGGTGTGGATAATCATAGGGAAGAATGCTTCAAGAGGTGTCCTTTGTGTTTTGTGATGATTTCGACAAAAGAGTTATACACGGTTTACATTGAGAACGTCAAGCAGTACTCTGTTGGAGATCCCATTGAGTTTACACTTTTGACTCGCAAGAAAGACTCTTTTGCTCCAACCCGGAAAATTGAGTACGACCCGGCTTTACCTAATGGTGAAAACGGAATACATGATCCGTTCTCAAAGTTCACTTTCACCCAAGATGTTGATCTCTCTGTCAGACAAGCAGTTTCAGAGTTAGACAGTTGGATTGCAAGAGCAGATCCTGGGCTCGTCGAAGACTTGGAGAAGCACCTATATGTTAATGCCGCTTTGGAGCGTTTGGAGCAGAGAAAATTGTACTGGAATGAGCACAGACTCTCTAATTATAGCAAATCAAGCACGACGACTATAAATCAGTCACCATCATTCTCACCTCCTGATGGTTCTCGAGTTGGTTATCAATCACCCAGCTGGGCGAGTGGAGCATCAACTAGCAGCTCCAACAATCAAGATAAATCAGTTGATGATTCTTCAGTGGATAAGTCAGATGAGGAATCTCAATCTAGTTTGGAAAAGAGTTGTGATAATGGTCACTCTCCAGAAGACCAGGAAGCACCGTCATCTTCCTCGCACAATGGGAGTAAAGGTCCCTTGTTGCACCAAAATGACACCAAAGACTTGAAGGACAACGATGCGTATAACTTTTATCAGGTAACCAGTTTGTGATGGGTACTTTTGTATTTGCATAAAGTACTAGATAACAGCTGCATGATGATTGTTTTGTTGATATGTGCTGGGCGGTGAATATATTAAAGTGAGATCCTGAAAAGAAGTGTTATTTCTGTTGTCAATAATCTTTGTTGTTTTGTTGACAAAGAAAAATTATATTGATGTTTCATTCCTAACACACACAGTTTTTCTCTTACCTTTGTGCTCTAATTGTTTGCCTATACAGTCCGTTGATGGGCAGCACATAATCCTCCACACGTTGAATGTGAAATGCCTTCTGCATCACTATGGCAGCTATGACTTGCTTCCGTCAAGGTAAAAGTCAGAGTCTTTTATGCATCGTAGTTCTCTTATTTCAAAGCATAGGGGATGGGTTTCAATGGAAGCCCTGTTCATTGCGTAATCATTTCTGCATGAATGTGAAATGCGCTGATTCAAAAGTGTATTAATCAAGAACCGGTGATATAAAGTTTGAACTTTTATTTAGTACTAGAATGAATTCAGGTAAAATTATTCAGCAGAAATAGTTATCATCTGTAATTTGTGGTTTCAATGGATTTCTGATCTCAATTTATGAAACGGCAGACTGAGTGGAAAAATACTAGAAATGGAGACTGTAACCCAGTCAGAAGCGATAAGGAGACGCTACCGCTTCTTGAGTCACTTTTCTTTAACAACTACATTTCAGGTACATTTCAGGTTCCTCTTATCATCGGCACATGTTATTCCCTTAATTCTCTCTTCTGCACATGTCGCTATATCTAACATTTTCTCCATGGGGTTTTTCCTGTTTATTTGTTTTCAGATTTGTGAGATTGATATGAGGGAATCATTGCCTCCTGACGCGTTTGCTCCATTTATGGATGAAATAAAGAAGCGTGATAAGCAGAGGAAAGAACGTGCTAGGAAGGTATTCCTCTTTTTAACCATGATCACGGCTCATGGTCTCTTTTCCTAATCTTTTATCATATTCCAACCTCCTTAGGGTTTTGCTTATTTCCTTGTATTAGTATTTAACTTGATTAGGGATGGCAAAGGATCCTACTTTGTTTCTTACTGTCCCTGAATTCTAGTTGAAAAGGAAAACTTAAGGCTACAGAAGTCTTATGATGTTGTATTTTTTCTTAGGATCAAAAAAATAAAATCAAAGCTGAAGTAGCTGCAGCTGCAGAGCTTGCACCATTGATGGGCAGTTTTATACAGTCCCCTCGTGATGACTTTCCTCCGTTTTCTTTGGACGACTTTGAAGGTAAAAAAAAAAAGAAAGGAATCTCTCTTCTCTTAATTGGATCTAAGGTTTAGTGATCTAATCAGAAGCTTTTGTTGTGTCCCTATGTAGCCCTTGGAAACTCTGCCCCAATATCATCAAGCCCTCCAAACATCGGAGAGAGAAGTTCCTTCTCACACGTGACAAGGCTCGGTTTTGCAGCTGGCCACGACTCTCCCAACCTGAATAACGAATCAACAAGCGTTCAAAGCAGCAGTAGTGAAGTCACAAACGCAACAGCAGGTAACCACTGTTTTAGCACTCTGAACGTTCTTGTAGGATACTCTGATGACCTCTCTAAACATGTTTTCAGGTGCAAGAAACACAAACATAACATCATTCGCTACTGTAACATCAAGAACACCAAGCGCACCATCCATCATCAAAGAGCCCGGAAAGAGAGGAAAGAAACCGAGCCGAGTGCTTCTATCGACAACCAGTGTACGCCGCTACTGAATTTGTATGTATAAGCTTTGCTTCTAAAAAAATCTGAATAAAGGAAGAACCAGAGAATGTGGTGATTAAGTAAACTCAAACTTTCGTGTTGTTTTTAATATGGAACCATATAAAGTCTCTCATAATTACACCAACTAGGACAAAATTATTACGAGACTCAGTTATGATTGTGCTGACTCAGACAACACAAAAAAATCCAAAAAGATTGGAGAAAATATCTTCTAAAAGAGGAGGATAACTTGCCGGTGATTTTCATTCTCACAAGTTACAACAAAGCCTGGCCTTATCCATTTAAAAAATCTCTACTTTTGTGTTCAAACTTTTTTATGTTCTTTTCAAAAGTTTGGATCAATTATTGAGTCAATATAATTTTACTTACTATCAATTATTGAGTCAATAAAATTATATTTACTAAAATAAGATTGAGTTTCTTTGGTTTGATAATTAATTCTTTCACCCATTTGATATTATTAGGAACATATATTTTTTCTTTTGTCACCAAAATATATAAAAAATGATAAAAAGGAAAACAAAGTTAGATGAGCTCTGCTCTGGCTATAAAAATGACATGAACTTTCCCAAATCAGAACCAAATATCCAAATCACTAAACCACACCCAAAAGATCAAGAGAAAAAAAAAAAGAGTAAAAAATGCAGGGAGCTATGAGCATCAAACCAACCATTCTTCTCCCTCTTCCTTCATCACAATCTTCTCCAAAGCTCACACTTCTTCTTCCTCAGTCCATCACCACAACCAAAGCTTCAAGACTCTCATCTCTCAGACCAAACGCATCATCATCTTCTTCAACCTCTGATTCTCTCACCGTTGACTACAACTCTCTCCTTTCGTAAGACAATCTCTTTCTCTTCTATTCTCTGTTATCGACTGACTCAATAACATCTCTATGCTCAGTGTTTTCCCAGCTGAAGCATGTGAAACAATCAGCGGTTACGCCTGTTCTGCTGACATTTACCCTGAAGTCAAGCTTGACACAAAGCCTGTCTCACGTCCCGTGGCTACTACAGAGCCAGTAGACCGAGAATACCTCGAGTATAACAACCCCAAAACGTAAAGATCACTTTTTTGAAACCCTTTTCTTTCTTTTTACTTCAGATTCTCAGCTTGCGTTTTCAATCTCTGATTGTGTGTTTTTGGACATGGAAACAGGGTTTTCTGCGCAGAGGCCTGCGATGATCTTGGAGGAGAATTCTGCGAACCTGACTATCAAAAAGATGTCTACTAGAATAAAGAAACAAGAGTTTATGTGATGTTAATATGTGTTTGCATCTCTACATGTCTCTTATAAACTACATATGAAATCTAGCTCCACTTAATTAAGATTGACGTTGTGAATCAGCTCCATAGTCAGTAATCAGAAAGTTATTTGATTTCCTCACCAGTCTGAAATTGAACTCGTTGAAACCAATTTTTTTTTTCCGCTGATATGAAACCGAGTAAAAACTCGTCGTATATATAAATCTTCTTCTTCTGATCATGTTCGGATTTTTTTACCAAACGAAGATGAACTAAATGATAAGGAGAAGAAAATTTACATTTACGACGAGATTTACTCAGGTTTAAAATTGCGGAAAAAAATGGTTTTGATGAGTTTAATTTGGATTGGTGATGAAATCAAAGATGAAATGTGTTTTTTTACAAGAGAACGAGCTGGGCTTATATAGGCTCAAAATACAATTAAAGGTAAAGAATCGTTGACCAATTGACTGAAAATTTGTCCAAATAAGGAAAGTAGTTGTTAGCTGTATCTTGAAATCTGTATTGTGGCCAAGAATTTGAAATGGATCTCGGCCATATCTCATATTGGGCTGCTCATGGGTTGTTATCTCTCGTACATTCATTTCTAAGGGTGATTGGTTCAAGTTTCTTTATTGACTAACTGTGGTTTCTTCTCATTGTTTGTAATAAGCTCTTTTTTTTTTGTTAAAGTTGTAATAAGCTCTTTTATGAGAAGAAGAGCTTATTTTCTTTATTTGTTTGTTTTGTTACTGGAAAATGAGAAGTTAAAAACCTCAAAAAGGGAAAGAAGACTTTAGCAGAGAAAACGATAAGAAAAAGAAAGAGTACGAAACGGCTTGAATCATCATCAAAAGGATATTAAAAACTGGAGTCACGAGGACTTCATTAATGCCATATGGATCATATAATCATAGAAGAGTACACACAGAGATCAAATCCTATAAGCTTAGGTTTTTGAAAGATTCAATTTCGAAGGAGGCCCCACAACTTTACTCTTTTTTTTCTTCTTCATCCTTCATCACATCCTCTAGGTTCTCGTGACTCTCTCTGTTCTCTCTCTTCTGTCTCTAACCGCCATTAACTCTGTCTCTTCTCTACCTTTGGTATTTTGTACGGATACAACGGATATTAAAAGTTTTAATTTTTGAGCATTTAAAGTAAAAATGGTGGGGCATATTCTTTGCTCTGCATCTTCTTCCTTTACCGTCTTTTTCTCTTTTTATTCTTTAAATCTTTCTTAGTGTGTTCTTCTTTCTCATATCATCAGTATCACCAAATAAAGCTCCAAGATTTTCATCTGCTAAAACCAAAGCCATTTCCTTTAAAACCACCTGGAAATGTTGGAATTATCTTTGTGCAAAGTTAAGCTAGATTGACTAAAACCACCTGGAAATGTTGGAATCATCTTTTGCTCTTCTTTGAGAAGATCCCTCATGAAGAAAGTAAAAAAAAAAAATTGAAAGAAATTCTTGATCATTGCTTGAGGATATGAAACATAATGAAGTTAACATTGCTAAGATAAAGGTTGAAGTTATGTACCCAACAACCCCAAGTTCTCAGAGCTTAATAAAAAAAACAAAGCACTTGCAATTGCATACATGCTTTGAAGAAAGAAAGAGAAAAAAAAAAAAAACAGAGAAGAAAATTGCAGATTTAAAGGGGCTTGGTTTCTTCTAGCTCTGCTTCACCAGATGCTCTCAATGGACATGACTACGGCTCTGATCGGATCAGATCAGATCATACCAGCATAGCCAGCTGTATCGAAAAGCACTGCTTTGATTTGATCAGGCAATATCTCCTGCCCTTCTTGGCATTGCTGATAGACAAAATTTAAGAATACGTACATGTTACTACTAAAATCTTCCATAAATCTTAACTGTTTAACTGAAACTATATGATATTCTAATCATCACCTCAGCACGGAAAACATCCAAGGCAAACCCGTTGAAACAGCTGATCACGGCTTGCTGAACATCCAATCCAAGGTTATCCAAAGCTTTCATGGTAGCGAGCAAAAGACCTGGTCTACGACCACAGAACATGTGAATGTTCACTGCTCTTCCTTCCCTTAATCTAACCTCAACCTATGGGACAAAAGAAAAAGAAAAGCAGAGTAAATGTCAAAAATCCCCATGAAGCTTTGTTGTTGTTTTCTTCCTTCCGGTCTAAATCCAAACAAACTCTGAGCCTTACTCTTGCTTGCTGGCCTTTGGGGCTTGGCAAAGAAGAGGGACATAGCTCTTCCTTGACGCGGCAAGAAAGAGTCTGCGGTGTAGGAGTTAACGGATGGAAGCTTGATGAAGTTGGAGGCAAAGAACCAGGAGGAGTTGACTCAAGTTCGTTGTGAAGATCATTGATCCTTTGTAAAAGTTCCTTGAGATAATCAATTGCATCTCCAAGTATTGATGCTCTATCCATCTGCAAAATCCATCCAATCCATAAAACCAAAAACCTTATCACAACCCTCTTCCGATGAAGAGTAAAGCAAACTACACTCACAGTTTCACAACAACAACAACATAGAAATGGTGAAAATTCTGAGCTCAAACCCTACAAAAGCTACAACACAACACAAGTCTCTCCAACTAACGGCGATAAGTAAACGATGAAGACAAAGCCCTTAAAGAGATAAAAGAGAAGTAATTGTTTACTTTGCTGATCTTGGGCACAACTGATCTTAGCATATAAAGCCTATCATTAAGCTTCTTCCTCCTCCTCCTCTCAGCCATCAGATTCTTAGCAGGCATTCCTTTCTTCTTACCTTTACATCCTCCTCCTCCATTCTGAACACTCTCCGCCGCTTTACCACTCTCATTCAGCTCATCAGACTCATAATTCAACCCAGAAACCTCAATCCCAGTCTCATCCATCTCTCCATCATCGCTCAGCTTCCTCATCCCCGAGCCTTCCGAGTTCCCAATCTTGCTTCCAGAGCTCTGACGCATAGCTGCACGTTTCTGGAACAGAGTAGGCTGTGCACCAGACGATGCTAAGACCTCTAAAGGTTTCAGAACTTTCGCTCTGTTCCCTACAAAACCGCCATTTGCAGGACTCCCAAACCCTTCCAGCTCCAGAGGAGTGAATCCACCACCACCACCGCCTCCTCCGCCACATAACGGCGTGGAGTTGTTGTTTTCCGGCGGGAGTAGCGACCGAGCAGATAAGAAATCAGGGACGGAGCTCAAATCCCGGTTTCCCAGTTGTGTCAACGAACCAAACCCCATCGAAATCGGGGCTTGGATTTGGCCGAGGAAACCAGAATCAGAGCCGAACTCGAACGCATTGTCGAAAGGGTTTGTGGAGGAAGGAACATTGAGGAGACAAGATTTGTTGTTGGCGGCTAGAAACGAAGGCTGAGAAGGGTCGAGGCTAAAAGCTTGAGACGGAGAGCAAGACGAAGACGAATCAATCGACTGGTGAAGAAGAAGATTGTCGCTGGGATTAAAAGGGAAACCACCGAGAAATCTGAAATCTTGCTGATTCTGTAACATTTGGAGATCTTGTGGATGTGGTGGGTTACTGAACCAATCACCTTCAAGCATAGGCTTGAAATGAGAAAGTGAAGCTCCACCTTCTTCTTGATTCCTACCCCACGAAGCTTCCTCGTTCTCCTCCTCCTGAATCCGTTCTCCGCCGCCTAACCAAACCGCACCGCCGTTTCCGTCGAGAACCATCGCAAAGTCGAGAGCTTTAGACCTGAATTTTGAGGAAAAAGCGTGTGAAGAGCTTTGAAGACAATTCTACAGAGAAGAAAAAGTTTGAATTTTTTAGAGACTAGACATAAGGAAAAGTGCATTAAAGTAGAATCACGAGGAATCCATGAGGTGGGCTAAGCAGAAAAGAAGCGAAATCTGAAAAAGAGGGATTTTAGAGAGAGAATGATAGATTCAGAGCTTCAAAATTGAAAATTGAAAGACAAAAAAATCCTAAGTTTTCAGTTTTAGGTATAGTGAATTCAATTTTGGAAACCATAACATTTTTTTTTCTGCTTTTCATTCAACACTTACCCCAGATTTCTCGTGACTTCTTTGCTTCTTCGTTACCGTCGTCTCACCGTCACTGCTCCATCTTTTGCTAATTGCTTATCTTTCTCTCTCTCTCTGTCACTGTCTCTCTGTTTATATAGTGTGCAAATAATAAGCTAATGATGATAAGTAAGTTCTATTAAGCATAAACTAATGACGTCATCTTATTTGCTAATCCATGCAACGCGTGGCCTCCATGCACTTAATGTAACGGATATTATTACCTAATCATTAGCAAGTTAAATTAATTTAACTCTTCTTCATGTCGTTAACTTCAATTTGAATAATACCATTAATTAATTTTTTTGTGGAAAATAATAAAGTTATTTACTTTACTTCAAAAATAATTTAATGATTGAAATGAATGGTAACGCTTCTTCACAAAAACGTTTCTCTCCGATGTGCATGGCAGGGCCAAAAATGCGAGGCTGTCCGAACAATAACAAATTATGGTTAGTGTATTCACTTTGCTTCATGATAATTAAATTTCTAAGTTTTTTACTCGCTCATGTTAGGAAATATTGTCATATTGATTAACAGAGCATGTGTTTGTTTTTATTTTTTTAGTAATTATAACGAAATTTTTTATAAATTAATATTATCGAGTTTTGAACATTTATTATTTTATAAGAATATTATTTATCTTTGTGCTTTTTTTAATCAAGCAAAGCACAAGGAGTAAGGTTTTATGTTTTTGTGTTTCTTTTTACTTTTTTTGGGTAAGAATGTATATATCATATGAAATGAAAAGATTGAGGTTTTACAAAAGTTCAACCCATGTACTTGTTAACTTGGCAAAAAGAAATTTCAAAACAAGGATACAGACGCTTTGAAGTAGAAGATATTACACTCAACAAAGCTACAAAGGCATTAAATTATCAAATTGCATGCCTTTAATGTCTTCTAGCTGTTATTGTCTTTCGAATATGTCGATCAATATCTTTGAATATTACTACGGAGGGACAGCTTGGAGATTGTGTAGTCTGTGTCTCCTCTGTTTTCAGATGTTATAAACCGTTGCTTGAGCTGCCAACTTCCCTTAGCATTGGAAGAAAGCTGTTTGCCTTGAGCGTTGTCCAGAGACCAATAGGGGTGTCCAAATGTAAAAGATGCATGAAGATAGTCCAGACCTTATTTAAAAATGAACCGAATACTAAATTTCTGCATTATACTCACAACGCAGTAGAATGTGGTCTTTGGCTTCATCATAAACATAAACCAAGCTAAACATGCAAAAAAGATTTACCTAATGGAAAAGTACGCTTGAATTTCAGAACTTCAATAGCATTTCTATGTCAGATATATTTATGGTCAGAAGCTTGATGTAAAAATTGTATCAAACTCATATAACCAAAAATGTCTACCACATAAACTTCCATCCATATTCATCACTAAATCATAGTATGAAATAACGAATGGGATAAGTAAAGAAAGATTTTTATTTTTTGTTAATCATAGATGCATCGACGAGACAAGTGAGCCCTGAAGATATGCACATGAAGATGGAAGAAATTTGCTCGCATTTGTAAGCAACTCTATCAACTCCTCTCCTTGTCCCTTCATAAAGTAAACTTCTTCATCAATCTTCTTCACCAGCGAGCTGTTGCAATCTGAAAACAGAACCTTCACAATACGGCTTAGCTCTAATGTGGAACCTGGTTCATCTCCGCTCGAGCAAAGACCAGTCGAGGACCAAGAGTTCGGATTCAGGATAACGATCTGGAACAGAGAGGATTTTGTTGTCAAATCTTTGACCAGCACGTGAAATGACAACTCTTCTTTGGCGCATTCCACTAGCTGATTGGTAAACATTCTTTCCAATGTGTATTTCCTGAAAACATCAGAGGATTCACCGGCCGCTGATGATGTGGAGATATAGCACTTGAAGAGTCTAACTCCACCATCTATGGGTTTAACGCTGTTCCCGCCGCCAGAAGGATAGGCTCCAAGAGGAGATGAACACTCTGGGCAAGCGAATTCAATCCACTTAACATTCTTTGATACATTCGATGCCTTTGCCATAAAAACATCCTCAAGAAACCCATCAAGAAGAAACTTCTTATCAAGTGTAAGTTTCTGGTCCAGCTGCAAACTCTCACTAGACCTAGGTGAGTCATGTACACAACAATCAGGCATTGATGGCTTGTCTATACAACGCCGCATCGAGTCATCCACTTGACCACGAGCAAGCCCTTGAATACTCTCACCTCCATTCTCATGGCTTTCACCATTTCCCTCACTTCTTCTAGATCCCGATTCAACTCCACCATGATCACAACTCAGAGCTAAACTTGACTCGAGTTGGTTTTCGATTCCAATTGTATCAGACAAGTTACACTCTACGAGATCATCCTTGCTAAGCAAAACAGTTGTAGCACTAAGCAAACACAAACCACTAGAGCATGTATAAGAATTCGTGTACTTAGCCACCATCTTCTCACTAATGCTTCCAAATGAACAACAGCAATTACCAAACCAGTTATCAGCTGATTCTCGCCAGTTAATAGACGGCATTTCTGAGAAATCGAAAAGGGCTTTCTTTGTTAACCTAATTGAGCAATTTCTGCAGTGTAGATGAACTCCTCCCATTGAAGTTAGAGTTTTTAGATCATAGTCCATCACTAATGGCGCCGAATTATCTCTATTTCCGAGAGAATCAGTCACCAAATTGAAATCGGACACTAGAGGATGATCAACGGGGAGTAACAGAACAAGTCTAACCTCAATGTGGTCGTCCAAAGCTCTGAAATTCACAGGAGATTCAGCATCGAGCAAAACCCTAGGAACAGGAACACGAAGAGAAACAACCTCTTCTCTTCCTTTTCCTCTACTAATGGCTTCATCATCTTCGTCATCGATCCAAGTGACGAGAATTTGAGATTTTCCAGGGATAATAGATACATCGAGGCTCTGGCAATGGATCTTAGGGATAGTTACTGAATCGAAAAGAACCAGACGAAGATTCGGAGAATGAGACTGAGCTTCCCATGTGTACCGCCATTTCCTCTGGGTTTTAGGGTTTAGCTCCATGGAAATTGGAAATTGCTCTGTTTCGAATTTCCCATTGTAAATTTTTTGTTTTAACAGTATTTGACGATCTTGTGAATGGGCTTAATTAAGATAAGCCCATAAAGAATATATAGTTGGGCTTAAACGGATCAGAACGGCCCATGATGGATCAAAATCACATGCACCCACGTGACGAGAAAAGAAAGAGAGATACTGTTGCTGTAATAAAGGAAGACAGAGTAATAGAGTTTGCTTTGTCTAAAGTCTGTCTCCTTCCATAAGCAAGATGACAAAACAAAAGTGGTTTGATCTCTGCTCGATTTTAACCAAAAGATTACTAGCTAGTACCTAATAATTTGACACTGATTAGTTATCTTAATCGTAGTTAAGAAACAGGGATAATGAGGGGTTAGAGTTGTGGAGCAGTAAAGCCTGCAAAAACCGTGTCGGTATATACTTTCTTGTTCCTTGAAATCTAGACAAGCTTCTCTATTTTATTACATGATTAAAGTTTAAAACCTTACCTAATCCAAGTTAGTGGCCACTAACATGAATTCTTTTTCTTATTTTAATCCTTTTTTATCTTTCGGTTTTTGGTCAACCACTTTCCAGTGATTTTAAGCTTTATAAGAATCTCTGTCTTATCCAAGATTCTCTCCTCTCTTTTTTTTCGTTACTAATTCCTTCTTTTTTAATTCTTATCCACTCAATGGGGTCCTTTAGTACATTAGTGTATCTCTGCCTTCATTTGTTTGTTTTCCAAAAAAACATGCATATAGCTTACCTATGTGGACAGTGGACAATGACAAGTTTAGATTAAACACTAAACAATATAAAAGAATAATAAAAGAAATGAAAAAAAAAATATTATAATAAAATGGGATCTTGGTAGATATACTCTAACCTTTTCTCTCGTTGCTTCCCATAATCCCATGATATAAAGCTTAAGCCTCTTGCACCAGAAAGATCTCAAATTCAAGTACACATAGTGATTAAGAAGAGGAAGAAGAAAAATGCTGAGGTCATTCACAAGGTAAAAACACTCACAAGAGATGCTTATAATCCTTTTTTTTTTTCAACTAAGATTCTTATAAATTATAATCTATTCTTAAATAAATAATTAATCTCCGTTTCATTTTTCTTCTCTGTGGCTTTTCTTTGCAGAAACTTCAAACTCATTGTACCAAATGGTTTGATCTCCAAGCCAATTATCTCTACTCTCCTCTATTCAACTTCTTCTTCAAGGTCGATTCTATAATCTTTTTCTTTTTTTCAATTAACAAAGTTGTATCTCATGATCTGATTTAAACACGTAAAAGTCATCTAAATCTTTTACCCCGAATATATATTAGAAAGTTAGAAGGAAAAGTTGCGGTCATAACAGGCGGTGCAAGCGGCCTAGGGAAGGCCACGGCGGAGGAATTTGTAAGCCAAGGTGCTCAAGTCATTATTGCAGATATAGACGAGGAGGCTGGTCGTATGGTGACGACCGAACTTGGCTCAGCCGCACATTTCATAAGATGTGATGTCACTGTGGAGGAACAAGTCGCTAAGGCCGTGGAAACTGTCGTGGCTCGCCATGGGAAGCTCGACGTGATGCTCAATAGCGCCGGAATATCATGTAAGAAATATTTTTAAAAAAAGAGTCAATAATTTAAATTTCGTTTTTGTATATAAGAATTTGCAAAATATAGTACAATGTTCAACAACCAAAAAATGGAAAACTTTGGTTTCTATGCTGGTTTCTTATGCGAGAATATGAGTTTTCTAGTGACTTTTTTTTTACAATAGGACATCAATCAAATAACATATTATAGACGCGTTATATTACAAAGTCCAATATTCAATAGATTAAGCGATCGATCGATCTATAAAATTCAATTGATACATTTGTTTTGTTTTATTTTTAACATCTCTTTTTATTTAAATAAGAAATCCAAGATTACAGTAGAGAATATAGTAAAAATTAAATTAAATCCATAACTAAAGTTTGATACATTTATTATACACACGAAAAGTACCAACATATACGATAAATAATAAAAATGGAATTTTGGTTTTGTTTTGTTTTCGTTAATTAAAATTGTTGAATCCGAATATTATACACCTGTCTCGTTACAAGGAACGTACGTTATTTTATTCGAACACCATGTATACAATGCAGGCTCTATATCACCACCAAGCATAGCGGACCTAGACATGGACACTTACGACAAAGTGATGCGTCTAAACGTGCGAGGCACCGTCTTAGGGATAAAGCACGCGGCTCGAGCCATGACACCCGCTGGCTCCGGCTCCATACTTTGCCTCTCTAGCATCAGCGGCTTGATGGGCGGTTTAGGCCCACACGCATACTCAATATCTAAATTCACAATCCCGGGTGTGGTCAAAACGGTCGCTGGCGAGTTATGCAAGCATGGCTTAAGGATCAACTGTATATCACCTGCGGCCATTCCAACGCCTCTAACGCTGAGAATGTTTCGAGAGGTGTTTACGGCTCATAGCGTTCCGGAGGAACAGCTTTTGGCGATAGTGAACGCGGCAGGAGAGTTAAAAGGAGAGAAATGTGAGGAGCGTGATGTGGCTAAAGCAGCTTTGTATTTGGCATCGGATGATGCTAAGTTTGTGACGGGGCATAACCTTGTTGTTGATGGTGGATTTACTTGTTTCAAGTCTCTTAATCTCCCTTTTCCTTAATATTTAAGGTAATTAAAGTGTTTTATTTGTACTCACAATATTGTTAATTAAGAGTTTAAGACTGTTTAAGGGTACTTATTGAAATGATCTTTTGTAATCTTTGGGATATCTCATATCATCATATGGTTGGGATTATGTACTAGTTAGCTTCTCTTTGGAGTTTGAATCGCTTTTTATGCATTGTCGAAATGACCATTGGTACGGTTTTAAGCTGATCACAAGGGTTTGGTAGATAGATAGACATGGATATAAACGATCAAGGATAGAGAGTATGAAGTGGCTCAATATCATTTGAACTCAAATACTTAAAACTAAAAGTCAAGACAGTAGCTACATTTAATACTTTAAACTACCTTTGGATAAAATATAAAATAACTTATAATATAGATGTTAGAGTTGGATTCCACCTCTGATCTAGCTCTTCTGTCTGTTTCTGATAACCTCATCAAATATTATATAGCAAAATCAGAAAGGCAGAAATTCATTGACATCATCATATCTCAAAGATCACAAGAAACAGTCATACATGGCGGCCTTGCTAATCAGATCCATCGCCAGGTGAAATTAAGATCAAGAACATCTCTGATCTCATTAATTACTAATTAACCACCAACTAATTGTTTTTATACTTCTTTCTTTCGCCAGAACCTTTAAACGGTCAGCCGCTTATTCTGCAGCTGCCCGCGCCGGTTTTACTTGTACCTCGTAAGTTCCTCTCGATTAGTCTCTATAAATGCAATTATCTTATTTTTATAAACTAATTTCAATCTTAAAAGCACATAAAATTTAATAACAATTTAATCATTAAGTCATGCTCTGTTGCTCACTCAAGATTATTTTTGTTAATGATTCTTTTTGCTCAATCAAGATTATATGCTTCTTCTTATGAATCTTTAGAATATGATATAGAGAATATAGTATAAATGAAATCATTATTTTTAAAAGCAAGAAGCTAGAAGGCAAAGTAGCTCTCATAACCGGCGGTGCAAGCGGGCTAGGTAAAGCCACCGCCGGCGAGTTTCTACGGCAAGGCGCCCGAGTCGTGATCGCGGATTCAGATGCGGAAAGCGGAGTGAAAGCGGCTAGGGAGTTAGGCTCAGCGGCGGAGTTCGTGCGCTGCGACGTCACGGTGGAGGAAGAGATCGCCGGTGCCGTGGAAAAGACGGTGGCGAAGCATGGGAAGCTAGACGTGATGTACAACAATGCAGGGATCGTGGGACCCACGAATCCGGCGAGCATATCGGAGCTAGATATGACGGAGTTCGAGAGAGTGATGAGGATTAACGTCTTTGCCGTCGTCTCCGGGATTAAACACGCAGCTAAGGTTATGATTCCGGCTCGCTCGGGGTCTATTTTGTGCACTTCAAGCATTGCAGGTGCGTTGTTTAATCAAATATTTTGATTAGTTAATAAACAATCTAATAGATGAATTATAGGTAGATTAGTAAAAATATCGCATTAATTTTCAAAAACGGTAAAAAAAGACCTGAACTTTCAAAATTTCTGTCATTTAAAGCACGGCTGTCATGTTGATAGTTTAAATCATCAATTTTGGTTGATTTTATTGAATTTAAATTCCGAATTTTTGTTGATTAAACAAAAAAAAACATGATGTTAAATCAATAAACAGAACAAACTAAAGTTAAAATCCACTGTTTTGGTGGGTTCAAATACCACTATGGTGTTTTAATTTTTGTTTAACAATCTTTTTTAAAAAAAAAAAAAAACTAAAATTTTCAAGACAATGTTATACAACTTATGATATACAATAGATTTTAATTCTCTTAGTTTATTTCGTTAATTGATTCAACGTCGTATTTTTTTGGCTTAATCAATACAAGTTTCGGATTTAAATTTAAAGTCTAACTAAAATTGATGATTTAAATAATCCACTATCATTTGTGATTTAAATGGCTGAAAGTTCAGGTTTCTTTTGACAATTTTTCCATATCTTATCCCATTTTCTTTTTTTCAAATTATGGTTTGAATGTTAACTTTTATTATAGGCGTGATCGGAGGGTTGGCTCCACATTCATACACAATATCGAAATTCACGATCCCGGGAATCGTGAAATCGATGGCTAGTGAGCTCTGCGAACACGGCGTGCGTATCAACTGTATCTCACCGGGTACGGTGGCGACGCCGCTCACTCTCCGTTACCTTCGGAAAGTGTTCCCGACGGTGACGGAGGAGAAGCTCCGTGAGACGGTAAGAGGGATGGGTGAGTTAAAAGGAGCCGAGTGTGAAGAGGCTGACGTGGCTAAAGCTGCTCTGTATTTGGCCTCCGACGACGGTAAATACGTTACCGGTCATAACTTGGTCGTCGACGGTGGCATGACTGCTTTCAAAATCGCTGGTTTCCCTTTTCCTTCTGATTCATGATCATATGTAACTATGAATAAGTCAGAAAAAAAACACCATGAATAAGTCGTATTCAAGATTTGTACCGCGAGATCGACGAATTCGACTAACCAAATCGAGTTAAACCGAGCATTAGAACTGAGATGGAACAAACCAAGATTAAGTATATCATGAAGATTAAAAAAAAATAAAGAACCATTTACAAGATGATTGACATTTTTCAATATCTTAGTTTTTTTGTATGAGCATCTTATGTCCATTTGTATTAGAAAACTTAAGTCTACGTAATAAATCTATGTATTTTGAACTTAACTTTCATGAAATTCAATTAATTTCTAAGGATTTTTGTGTTTTTTTTTCTCGTCAATTTAGTTATTTTATCTCAAATCCGGATGGATAACATTCATAAGTGTTGTGGCTGTATGAGTTTAAATAGGCCAAAACAAAGACAATAGTTCTTGTTAATTTTTTTTGTCAACGTTTGGGCATTGAACACATCACACGTTGCACTTACAATATTATAAGAGCAAAAAGGCAAACATGTTAGGCTTAGCAGGATCAGTAAAATGAAAACAAAAAAAAAAAGTTATTTAATTCGGTTTGATAGAAATTTTCGGTATTGGCTTTTTTTTTTATATTCATCTGAATTTTATTAAAGAAGGATAAAGTGCTCAATAGAGCTAACATGGGGCAAAACAACAACATCTAAGTCTAAAACTAAGACCAAAAATGCTTTGATTCAATTTCTTGCCTAAACATATACACAAATAAAATTATTCAAACCCGAATTTCGGTAGAACCGAAAATCCGGTTTAGAGTTCTATCGCTGGTTAAGAATCCTAAACTTATTAGCTTGGGCCGGGCCCGAAAACTGGGTTACCCGGAGGATTTGCTTTTTTCGTTGCTAGATCTGAAAATGGTTCTCAGTTTCTCGCACTTGTGGAGTGAAGCCATGTGATGTGATCGCTTTAAGCTAAAATCAAACAAGAAAGCTTAACTTGCTTCTTTCATCTCTCGAGCTCAAAATTGACAAAGAAGATGGGGTCATCACAGTCTGCGCAAGTGGGAGACGAAGGAGAAGACGATGAACAAGAAGAAGAGGAAGAAGAAGAAGAGGAAGACGACGATAATGGCGGATCGAATACAAGAGAGTTGGACAATCTCCTGGTGAAGAGAGTTCTCGAGCAAGAGCCTGAGATGTTACCGTGTCACGCTTCTGCTTCGCCGCTCTCTCCGCAGCTTTCATCTCTCGGAACTCCGCGAATGGGACCATCGATTAAGGTCTGGGATCCTTACAACGTCCTCGCGCCTCCTCCTCCTCCTCCCATCTTCTCCCGAATCGCTTCCGGGGACGAAGATCGTTCTGTGACGGAGGTTTATCTCATCAGCCATGGCGAGTGCGATCTCAATCTAAGGCCTGATCTGGTTGGTGGGAGATGCCACGTTGCTGCGCTCACCGCCAACGGTAAACGCCAAGCTAGGGCTCTTGCCGTTTTCTTCAAATCGCAGGGGGTTCGATTCACCTCTGTTTACTCTTCGCCTCTGGATCGAGCTAGATCCATGGCCGTTTCGGTTTGCCAGGTAACCTTTCTCACTCTCTCTTCTATTGGATCTAACTCTATATGCATATTCTACAATGTTGCCAATTTTGTGTGTGATTCGAAATTTAGTATGTATGAAATTGAAGAAGAGTTGATTGCCTTTGGTTGTAGAAACTTAACCAATAGGAATTCATTGAAAACACTCATATGGAACATTGGAAATGATATTCTGCAAGAAAACTATATACAAAGCCTCTCCTTTTCAACACTGTTTCTGGCTCTTTGTTTAGAAATGACCATATACATAAGCGTTTTGTGAAACCCTTTTGCGGTTTCGCTTCTTTTCACTTCTTATCAACGTTGTACCTCCTAGTCTCTTACTGTTCCTTGTGGTAGTTTGTTTCAAATTAATACTTTAGTTAATGAAGTGAGGTTATATCTTATTCATGGTTGTTTGCTTAAAGTGCTTAGTATATATTAAGGTGATAAGCGTTCAGCTTCATGATACAACAGTCGATCTTCTAGTGAAGGATTGGGTTTAAAGTGGTTACAGAACAGACTTTGCCTTGACGCATTTTTGTTTTTGTAGGAAATGAGTTTTCCAGAGGAGCACATACAATCCTCGGATGCAGTTATAGAGATGAGTCTAGGAGATTGGGAAGGTTGCAATCAATCAGAGATTTACAATCCCGAAACTTTGAGTCTAATCGAAAGATGCCAGCCTGATTTCACGGCGCCATCCGGAGAATCACTCAGGCAAGTAGAATTCCGAATGATTCAGTTTCTAAACGGAACAGTCTCAGGACTTGCAGAGAAGCTCAGGTCAGATTTTTCCTCCACCACACATCACAATGAAGCCCATGAGCGTGATGGTTCTTCACTTCCCTCGTCGACTAACTGGGACTTGCTCCACAAGCATCGTCCTAGTCTTACAAGGAAGAAATCTGGTAAAAGCAGGCTTCAAGTGATGACCAATCACGAGCCTGACGATGAATTATCACCAAGGGAAGAAGTTAATCATCATCACGGTGACCTGAGTGATCCTTCTTCTCAAATCTCAAATTGCATTGGGGTTTTCACGCATTCATTGCCAGTTAAGTGTCTTCTGACCGGAGTCCTCGGGTGCAGTTCGGCGATGGCTCATAAGATATGTGTAGAAGACTCTTCAGTGACTGTGTTACAGCATTCGTGGAGAAATGGTTGGCAGATCAAACGAATTAATGATACTTCTCATCTTAGATTGTTGTAGCTTGAAATTGGTAATTATTTCCGAAAAGAAACGACTTCATATGTATACCATGAATCTGCAGAAGATCAAGAACAAAGGTTCTGCAGATTACATGCCACGGCCTCTTTGTAATGTTTGTTTTGGAAAGGAAAAAAAAAACAAAAAACAAAAAGAATTTTTTGATTTTTTGATCTTTGTCCTTGTTTGATCTTTAAAGGCTTAAAATTGTTAATTGATTTGTTTTGACGTTAAAGAAAATGAAAAAACAAAACATTTTTCCTAAAAAGTTGGATTAGTATATACATACATGAATTGTGATACTTAAGAAAGAAATTAAGGCACATGTTAATGGAGACAAGAGAATGAATGAAGGTTCCGAGTAAAAGAACTTTGGTCGCCTCTGTCTCTCGTCTTCTCCACACGGAGAGAGCTACAGACAGACAAAAGCTAACGACTTTGTTCAACAGATATGTCGACAAGACAGATGTCTTCTCATGGAACTCTGTCATCGCCGATCTCGCTCGTAGCGGCGATTCTGCTGAAGCTCTTCGAGCTTTTTCCTCCATGCGAAAGCTCTCTCTTTACCCTAATCGCTCTAGTTTTCCTTGCGCCATCAAAGCATGTTCGTCTCTGCTTGATATTTTCTCCGGCAAGCAGACCCACCAGCAAGCCTTCGTCTTCGGTTTTCAATCCGACATCTTCGTATCTTCGGCTTTGATTGTTATGTACTCTACTTGTGGACAACTTGAGGATGCACGGAAGGTGTTCGACGAAATTCCCAACAGAAATATTGTCTCTTGGACGTCAATGATTAGAGGGTATGACCTTAATGGCAATGCCCTTGAGGCCGTTTCTCTGTTCAAGGATTTATTGGTCAGTGGTGCTTGTGGAGATTATGATGATGACGACGCTTCAATGTTCCTCGATTCCATGGGTATGGTTTCAGTCATTTCTGCTTGTTCTCGTGTTTCTGATAAAGGTTTAACAGAATCAGTTCACGGATTTGTGATAAAGAGAGGGTTTGATAGAGGAGTTAGTGTTGTTAATACTCTCTTGGACGCTTATGCCAAAAGTCGGGAAGGAGGTGTGGCTGTGGCGAGAAAAGTATTTGATCAGATTGTGGATAAGGATCGTGTTTCGTATAACTCGATCATGAGTGTGTATGCTCAGAATGGAATGTCTAGTGAGGCTTTTGAGGTTTTTCGCAGACTGGTAAAAGATAAAGTTGTGACCTTTAACTCCGTCACACTGTCCACTGTGTTGTTGGCTGTATCGCATTCAGGTGCTCTGCGTATTGGCAAGTGTATACATGATCTGGTGAATTGAGACTCCTGTTGTTTTTCTAATCCTTTTGACCTTTTCTTGTTGTAATTAATGTTCTAATTGGCAAAGATAATGGGCGTATGCAGGTTATACGGATGGGTCTTGAGGATGATGTAATAGTGGGGACTTCGTTAATTGATATGTATTGCAAATGCGGAAGAGTTGAGACAGCAAGAAAAGCATTTGATCGAATGAAAAACAAGAATGTTAGGACGTGGACCGCCATGATTGCTGGATATGGAATGCACGGCCACGCGGACAAAGCGTTAGAGTTATTCCCTGTTATGATCGATTCAGGAGTTAGACCAAATCACATTACTTTTGTATCGGTATTAGCTGCTTGTAGTCACGCGGGTCTTCACGTCGAAGGCTGGCGCTGGTTTAACGAAATGAAGGGAAGATTTGGCGTTGAACCGGGGTTAGAACACTACGGTTGTATGGTTGATCTTTTAGGTCGTGCAGGGCATCTTCAGAAAGCTTATAATTTGATACAAACGATGAAGATGAAGCCGGACTCTATCATCTGGAGCTCACTTCTTGCAGCTTGTAGAATCCACAAAAACGTGGAGCTCGCGGAGATATCCGTGTCACGTTTGTTTGATTTGGACCCTTCGAATTGCGGTTATTACATGTTGCTTTCACATATCTACGCTGATGCAGGGCGTTGGAAAGACGTTGAGAGGGTGAGGATGGTAATGAAGAACCGTGGATTGGTGAAACCGCCTGGTTTTAGTCTACTTGAGTTGAATGGTAAGGTTCATGTGTTCTTGATCGGAGACGAAGAGCATCCTCAGCGCAAAAAGATTTACGAGTTTTTAGAGGATTTGAACATGAAGCTGTTGGAAGCAGGTTACGTGTCTAACACGGCATCGGTGTGTCATGATGTTGATGAGGAAGAGAAAGAAATGGCACTAAGGGTTCATAGCGAGAAACTAGCGGTTGCGTTTGGGATCATGAACACGGTTCCTGGCTCGACGGTTAATGTGGTTAAGAATCTGAGAGTTTGCAGCGATTGTCACAATGTGATCAAGCTGATTTCGAAGATAGTTGATAGAGAGTTTGTGGTTAGAGATGCGAAGCGGTTTCACCATTTCAAAAATGGGTTGTGTTCTTGTGGAGATTACTGGTGATTGAATCAGAATCATATTCATAATTTTGATATTTATAACTTCATTTGGAAATTTCTAATTAAGTGATTATTATCTCGTGTCTGTCCTTTCTGTCTAGTCGGATTTATATCTCTTATATGTAAGAAAAAAATACTACAACGACTTTGCAAATCTATCGGTTTTGTTGACCTATAAGTTTGGAAATATGAATTTTTAGCTACAAATGAAAAAAAAAAGAAACTTATAGAATGGACCGAAGCAAAAAAGAGTAGGTATGGACTAGAGTGGAGTTGATACAGTAAAAATGAGTAATATAAAGCTGAAATAATTTGGAATTTTCTGTGCTATTTAAAGGAAAAAAAAAAAGTATCCTTTAAAATTGTCTTAAAATATATATAAGACAAGGTCGTGGATAGCGCTTGCCTCTTGTAACTCGTATGGTCTGTGTGCGCATGTAAATGCAACACTTGACGTGTTCGATGCTCGAACAACGCAAGCAACAGAAACAAACACAAAACCAAAAACGCATCATCGTACTCATAAATACCTTCTTTTTGAGAAAAAACCGATTTGTGGCCAAGAGCATCCACAACGCAGTTTTCACAAGCGTCTTTAGTAATTTTTTTGATTAAAAAAATGAATGCAGAAGAGAAACAGGCTCAGGCTGAAGACGTTTCTTAAATGAGGATTGGTAAAAACGTTTCTTCTTCGACACGTAACACTTTTAATATTAAACAAATAAATAAAAGATTAAATTGAGTTTCTGCGTTGCAAATGCTCTAAGAGCATCAATAAAGTAGAGATTCTTAGCGTTTCTAACAGAAATCAATTATTAAAAAAATGAGTCAGCGTCTCTAATTTAGCAAAAACCCATTATGTTTTCATTTCATTTTCTCGACATTTCTTTTCTCCCATTTTCCTCTCTTCTCTGATGAAAACAATCTCTGCAGCTTCTCCGATCGATTGTCCACTTATCAAAATTCGAACCAGAGAATCAGATTCGTCTTCTCCCTCTCTGTTGCCATGCCTTTCACGCCGATTGTATCGATATATGGCTAGTCTCCAATCAGACTTGTCCGCTTTGTCGTTCTCCACTCTTCGCCACCGATTTTGATCTCATGATGGCTACTCACACCTCCGCGTCTTCTCTCGGCAACACGGAGGAGAAAACAGCTTCCGCCTCGAAATCGGATCCATAAGTTGTCGCAACAATCCGATTCCAGAGTCCGCCGATCAGCACCGATCTTACTCAATATTCTCGTTCGATTACATAGTGGACGTCATCGAATCCGAAATCTCAGAGTCGAATTTTAACCGCATAAGCACATCAAGAAAACAAGAAGACACGGCAACAAGAGCAGGGGTTGCGATTACATCAAAGTCAAATCCGGCATTTGAAGCGAGTTTGGCAGCGAAGAAAGTATTTCAGTTATTGATTTCAGTTGTCCCAGCTGTAAAAGGTAAAATTCAGATGTGAATGCAACACTTTGATTAAACTTTGTGTAATTAGTCACCATGTAACTGTTGTTGCTTCAAGTTCTTTAGAAAAAGAGAAACCAAAAGATAAGATTTTTATCAATTCAAACCAAGGCACTTCAGAAAACACAAGAACAGAGACATATTATTGGCAAATGTAAACGCGGCGGCGGAGATAGGCAATGATGGTTCTAGAAGCTGGCTCAAAAAATACGTGGCCAGGCTCTCGCGAGGGATATCGTCGCGTGCAATGTCGTTTAGAAGCTTCAGTAGATTTTTCACCAGGAGCAGTCGTCGGAGCGAGGAAATGAAGTGGTGGATTTAGAGATAATTTTTTTTTAGAAACTCATATTGATCCATTGGACAGCCCAAAAATACAAGTCTCTTATTCAAGTTTCTTATTCACTTTATGGTTGAAAAACTAATTAAAAATTGCTAAAAGACCCAATATGGATTTTAGCGTTAATGATGCTCTAAGATCATTAGAAAATTTTGAGATGTTTGAATAAATTTTGTTAAAAAATTGGGATAGCTTCAAACTCACAACCAAAATACTCATCATATGAGGCTGAGCCATGAGGTATTCATAAATATATCTTCTTTTTTAATACATTTTTTTGTCGACAAACATTAATATTTGGTTTAATAGATATAAAAATTACAGATCATTTAGGACTGAGTATTTTGGGTAATACCTATAATTTTACTATTTTAGAAACAAATTTGAGATATTTGGAGAAATTTGTTAATCCACGTTTCTTGTAATAGAAGATCACTTGTTTTTTTCTTTTGTTATATAAGCAACGAAAATGGATATGAGACAGAAAATTTCGATCACTTGTAAGGCTTCTTCTATTTCTGTTTTAATCCGTATATATCCTGAAATTTTCTGTCTCATATCCATTTCCAAATATCTCAAATATCGATCAAGTGCATGAAATTTTATCTTGTAATGTTTACCGTTAATATATATTTATATATATTAATATATATATATAGTTTGTGTGTGTGTGTGACTGTGTGTTGAAAAAAGAAGAAGCAACACATATTTTAAAGATAACTTTCAAAATAATTTGTAAAGATTAGATATTTGATTTCAAAGACGAGTTCATATATATATTACGGTAAACATTACAAGAGAAAAAAAAATCTAAAAAAAAACTTTGTGTTTTGTTTTCTCATGTCGGGCAGGGATTAATAAATTATTGCCGCGACATAAATTACATTTATTCATCAGACACAAGACACTTCCATGACTCCAATCTAGCTAAGCTATGATCTTCATATAAACTGTAATATATATTAAACAACTTTATAGGATATGCAAAATGCATTTAATTTTTTTTAATATAAGTAAAAAAAAAGGCTAATCACCATCAAGAATATTCATCATGAGCCCATTGATCGATCGATCGGAACTAGTAGAAGTCATCGAGGGATATATTCTCAACGGAACCAAAACCCTCGAATGATCCGAACTTGGAGTAGTAATTATTAGTCGTGAGTCCACCCAAATAATCGAGAGGAGTGTCGTTGGAGGTTAGAGCCGTCGTGTCGTAGACGAAAGACGGGGTGGTGGTTGCGGTGGTGATATCATCGATGACGGGATAGTTGAAAGAACATTTCTCGTTGTTGTTGTTGTTGTTGTTGTAATGATCATGATTATAATCTTGGAGGAAAAGATCGTTAACCACAGTATTTTCGATCCTTGTCAAGTCTGTGTAAACGTCGTCTTCGTCAACGTTGGTTATGTCTTCTTCTTCTTCTGATGCCTTTCTTGCTTGTATCACCTGAATTAAAATAAAATAAAAAAAACATAAATAAAGTTATGAAATGTTTTAGTGAAGATTTCGGATTTTTTTTTTAAGTAACGTGTAACGTACGTAAGTGTTAGAGTGAAAATTTTGGTAGACCATGATGAAGTCACCTAGCTGCAAACCATGAGCATTCACAAAGTCGCCTGGAAATAAAACCCCGCTCCAATCGAATATATTTAACAATGATTTAATCGCTGATTCGATCAAATAAAAAAAAAGTGAAATCTGATTAAAATTCCGAGTTACAAGGAAGTTTACCTGTGTTTTCTAGCACGTACATTCTGCTATTGTTGTTTGGCCAGAACCTATAGATCACAACATTAATTAGGCCAGGGGTCGATATTTAATTTCTTGTAATCACAACCACAGAGACACAATTTACAAATGAAAATTTGCGTAGACCACAAATTCAAGATCTCAAGATATCGATCTACCAAGATTATCAATAGATTTCCAATTGAGTTTCCCTATAGATTTGTGCTAATTAATCAATTTGTAACTTTTGAAATTGAATAGTTGATTCGAGTTTATAACCTATGCTCAATTATGCATAATATTAGTTAGGAGTAAATTATAAAAAAATATATAAGTATATACCTGTATTTGAAGGTCCAAACGTGAAGACCGTCCAAATCTTCCATTCTTATTGGTATACCTTCCTTTGATTCCAGCGCCGGCAAGTGAGCCTCCGCCGCTTTCTACATCATCATCATATATCATCATGAATCATCATCATCATCATCATCATGAATCATCATCATCATATGATCATAATCAGAGAGATACCTTGGGGAGTATCATTCGGCGGAGAGAGCTGACATCACTGTTCTTTAGTTCCTTTTGGAAGAGGAATCTTAGCTTTCTTGTGTCTATTTTCTGCCATCATCACAATGTTTTTTGTTTGTGCTAACATCATCACAATATACATCGAATCTTTTCTTTAGGATATTCAGACAGATCTAAAAAGAGTCATAAGAGTTCTTATTTTTTGTTTTAAATTCAAAAAGAATATTGAAAGAGAGAGAGAGAGAGAGAGAGAGAGAGAGAGAGAGGGAAACAAAAAAAAAAAAACAAAGAGACTTGAAAAAAAAGACAAGAGAGAGGAGAGGAGGGGCTTACACGTGCGGGAAGTGGAGTAGGCACGTGGGAAGAAGAAGGAGGCATAGTAGGAAAAGAGAGAAGGTTAAAGGAAGAAGAAGATCGTCTCTGTCTAGGCATCCTTCTCTTCTTCCAGTTAACACCTAGAAGAGGCACAGACGCCGATAACCCATGATCATGACCCGACCCGGATCCAAACCCGGGCTGATGATGATGATGATGGTGATCAACACTTGCCATTAAAGTAGAGGCCTTGGTTTCCACATCATGAGCAGCAGAGGCAGCTCCATCCATCATTTTTGTAATCCTCAATTGGTTAATAAACACTGCCTAGTAAAAAGGAAGCGTGGAAACAGTGTGTGTGAAGGAAAAAAGAACAAATGGTGGATGGCTTTGGGTTTCAGTGATAGAGAAAGAGAGAGAGAGAGAAGAGAGAAGAGAGAGACTGTTGTGTGTTTGTGTGTTGTGCAGATCGAAACAGTGGCTTAAAATGGACGCTGGGCAATCAGAGATTTGGGTTTTCTAAACACAAAGTTTTACTTTTTATTTTTATTTTTCTTTACTATTTATGGTAAGGCTTGACATTTGTATAACCCACATTCATGATCTAGGGTTTTGGAGGAGGAGATTTAAAAGGATTTGAGAAAAAAGATTATGATGATAGCAACGTTAGGAGCGAGATCTAATGCCACTTAATGAATATGGATTATAGTAAAAACTCAACCATAGTTTGAAGAAAGGTTAAGTTAAATGGAGGAACCAAGAGGAAGGAGACGAGTGGAAAGTGAATGGTGAACAGGTGTTGCAAAAGTTCTGTTTCTCCCTCTTTTCCAGAATTCAATGGCGTCCTCTTTCTCCCCTTCTCTCTCCTCTTCTTTCTCTCTCTATCTAGAACATTAAACTCTATATAGTTTAAGTCAATGTTGTGTTTACTCTCTTATTACTTATAGTGGTCAACATGTGAATATATGTATATACGTATATTCGTATGTGATCTATTTCAGAAAAACAAAAAAAATGTGAGTAAGTGTGTATATCCATTATAGTTACTTTGGAAGAGGATCACATTGATGATTACTTGACTTCGGTGTTATTAGCAAAGTAGTGTTTAGAGAAGAGCTTAAAATAAACCACTTCCAGACCAATATTGATAAATTTTCAATTTGTGAAAGTGATCATTAAAAAGGTATATCTAGACAAGCATTATCATTCCGGTAATCCATAATTCTAGTTCTAACCGATTATATATGATATATAAATGGGAGATTAACAGTTATGAAATTCCATTAATATTTTGCTAGTTTATAGTTTTACGGATTTCCAATTACGAGAGGGATATATATGGTCTTGATTATCAGTGAAACTAACATTAGTATAGATTGATTCATTCAATAATCTAAGAGAAAAAGATTGTTATAATCGGGCACTAAATTGGAACATTTTAATTTAATATTCTAAGCATATATATACATGGAGTTCTTGTGCGTTTTCGACTATATACGGATATTTTTGGGGATGGTGGTGGGTGGGGGAGGGAAGAAGAAGAAGTACGTACGTGAAGTTGAGTACGTCTTTTGTGTTCCAATGAGAAGAAGATGCATGGACAAGTGGCAACCATGCACGTCCCTCTCTCTTAAATTTAATGACAGAATCCGTCTCTCCTTCCTTTACGCACTTTGAATTTTTTTATTAAATGGATTCTTCCCATTAGTTGTCATTTTTTGCTTTTTACTAGTTTCCATTCATGAACCATTTATAGTCGTAACAAAACAACCGTTATGCATATAGAGATATTATTCTTTTCTTTTTTTAAGAAAATCAGTTTAAAGCTAAATTCTTTTGAACAAGTGTATAAAGTGATAGGAAAGCTAATTTACACGTCGTTTTAGAATTTCAAAGTGGCATTAAAAGATTTTTTTAAAGAATATTACAGTTTTATTAGTAGTATATTTAATAGGGACATATCAATATATTTTTAAAAATATTATGTACGTACATTTTGTTGTAAATGAGAAGAGTATTATATGTTTTGAGATAAATAGGTCATAACATATTTGTGCAGTGTGTATCATCATTAATTATAGCATAAAATACTATGGTTTAACCTCTTATCTCAAAAGAGTTTGTTGTATTAAAACCATTCGAAAGTCAAACACAAGCTCATTGGTCTTGGATCGGCCCAAGCTTGTAACAATCCGTACCAAAAATAAGAAAAACCTTTTAACCAAAAAAAAAGAAGAAAGAAAAATCTGAAGACTCAAAAAGCATGTACAATCAGTCGTATATGGAGTATACAATTAACGAGAGATAATGAGAAGAAACGGCAAAACCAAAAAAAATACGGAAGGCATATATGCTGGTTAATTGCTTTCCTCTTTGGCTCGTTAATGACCCATAGGCCATAGCTAATCAAATTGCCAAAATGCTGCAATGACTTGCACTATTCATAAATAGCATATATAGAAGAAAAGCTTACATCACATCGTGGATTTCCAATCTACATTCAAAGAAACAAATTATGCATAAAGACATTATAAGGCTAGATTTGAATTTTTTTAAAAAAAAACTTATGCACGGTAGGAATTAAGGACTTACTAAATATATCTTTAAATTCCTTATTAGTGCAAAAATGGATAGTTACCTTATCTTGTGGTGATTTCCAGGATTCACTTTTCTTGCTAATGCCGATTTGTTGTAGATATTACTCAAATAAGGTGGTAATGAGGGACTTTATATCTATGTTGATTGTAGATTAATCTTCATTTGATGAAGAAAAAAAGATCATGCGATTAGATGAGTTTTCTTTACCTATATACATCTGATTTTTGCTATTTATGCTAGCGACTTGAAGAAGAAAGCAACTGATTGTTATTCTTGATTTTGAAAACAGGATTTTCTAAAAAAAATCGAATGAACTTTGATAGAAAAGATATTGAAACTAGAAATTCAGAAGGCGCATAACTTTATAACGTAACGCCTCTGATTTGAAAGATAGATGAATGAACGCATCGTTTGTGTTTTAGTCGGCAAAATTTTAGCTTTGTTTTGCGAGTGATGATGTTGATTTTTATACCCTAAAGCATAAACGGGATCGAATGCCACGAGTAATCAGAAATCGCACACGTATACGAGATTCTAGTAGTTCATCAAAATCTATAGTTTTAAAGATAAGTTTCTAATAGGTATTTATCTAACTGAGACTAAATGAGCATAAACATATATCAAAACAATAAGAAAAGCAATTAAATGATAAACAAGACAATAATTAAAGGACTAAGAAACAAACAATACAAACAAAGATTACTAAATATGGAAAGCATTGAATTATGGGTAAAAAATTGAGTAGAATAAACTAACAACGAAATGATGATGTAAAAGCAATCATTAAACACAATCCTAAAACATGAAACTCACAAATATGACTAATCCATTTACATCACACTAATCACTTCACATCACACTAATCACTTCACTGTTGTATCACATTATATGTGTACTACATTACATATCTATTTGAAAGAGAGACAAGCAATGATGATTAGATCAATTTCTACTACTTAAAGAAGAAAGCTCACTCAAAGTTGGTACAACCATTTTAACAAACACCTCCCCTAAAAAATGTCTAAGGTTTTGATTTTGAATTATTAAGTTAAAAAAAAAATCATGTCATTGTAAATATAGGATTATAGAAAGTTGTAATGAGTGAGTGTTCCTCCATTGGATTATGGGTTTTAGAATAATATGATTTATTGATGGTTTGTTTTATGGTGTTCACTAAAATAAACAATGCGAAAATTCTTCAAAAATAAAACAATGCAAAACTAAATTACAAGAAGAGGTTTAAAAGGGGACCTCACTTTCATTTTAAAGATGATGAAACCTCAAACTCTACCTCAGGGTAGTTTGCCATGACCATTGCAAGTCCTCACTTTACTCAAGACGAAAGAGAACTCTCACGATCAGTGAAAAATCACAAGTCCTCACTTATCATTAATCCAAGTTTAAAATACATTTCACGAAGGGAGTATCAATTATACTTAACTGGCTTGGAGAAAACAGCCAATGAATTAAGATGGTTTAAATTTCATGTATGGTTTCTCTATTAACAAACACAAGACATTACTAATTGTTGTGATTTTGCTGAATTTAATTAAATTGTGAAGTATATATGAAAGACAAGAACAAATTGGAGTGAGTCATTCTTTTTAGGATTTCATTGTACTAAGTATGTGCATGAGTTAATATCACCAAACTTTTTATAAATCCCCAAAACCATAGAAAAATATTATGCCCATACCTTACTTCTTTATTTTAAGTCAACAAAAACACTAAAGCAACGATACTAAGTTTTCATCTCTTGTCAAGCATTCTTTTTCTTCATAAAACCAAAATACAAACGTTGTTTGAGCAAAGGTAAACAGTAAGCACTAAAATTAAGCAACACTTTTTAGTAAACTTTTTTAATGCTCCTTCATTTGTGCTCCTCCACAGTTTCTTTATTTTCTTTTTTGGTTCTTTTTTTTTAATCATTTTTTAAGCTTAAAGCATGTTTATCAAAAAAATCTATGTGGATTTCTTGATGATTATTATATTAATAAAGTTGATTTAAGAAATTAATAAAAAAAATTAAAGAAAAAAAAGGGCACCACGTAAGAAAAATCATCGAAGATAAGCCCAAAAGTTTTTTCTAAATAAAAAGTTAAATTCTATCCAATAGAAAGACGCCACATCAGCCACAAAAAATCGCTCCTTCCAGTTTTTATATAGGGATCGATCCTTTTCTTTTAATATGTCTTTTTTATTAAAATAGATTTTTTATTAAGAGAAACCCAGCTCAGTTTATTTGATAATCATGGTTTTAAAGAAAACTTACACATTTCAACACATTGACCATTTAACATTTCTTTTTTCCAACCAATATTAGGCATAAACCAATAATGTTTTCTACATTTGCGTTAACATAAAATTTTAAATATTAATTTTCAATTGTAAATGTAAACACAAAATCTAAACATTATTTTTTCCATTAATTTACTTCCGTTTTTGTATTTACAAATCTAAAAATAACATATGATGGATAAACTAGTTTTTTTTTCTTTCTAAAATATTAATGCAAACAAACGCAAACAAAAAAGAGTGAATCCCAATAGCCAATAGCCATACCTTTTGTTCTATGGGGGAAAAAAACATACAAAGGCAGTGAAATTTCATAAGGGTGATCGACAAAAAGGGTAGAGAGGACCACCTGGAAGAGAGAAATCAAAAGGACACATCTTATGTTTTCAATAATATTGTGTTTGTACTTTGTATGTAAATATGTATTATGTATATGCACAGTAAGTGTTTTATCATTTATGTACCAAAGAGGTATATTATAATGTAGGACCACTGTTATGTATAGTGTAGATAATGCGACATGATGAAGTATGCGTTGGGCCATCTTGGGCTTAGTCTTTGCTTTTCACCTGAATGAGTAAATCGTCGCCAGAGAAAACAGAAGTAAGAACAAAATTTTCTCTAATTTTGAGTTGGAAGGGTCATGTTGTTAATCGGTTTACTGGACCAAAGGCACAATACGAAACATTGGTTTCGGTTGGTAAACCAAGGAATATCAAATTCTTATAAATCGCAATTTTTTACGAAATCATCAGCTATCATTCTGTCATTCCGCAAGACTAATGAAAAAACAAAATGAATGAATTTCACTATTGTATAAGTTTTTTTTTGTCAGGAAACTATTTCACAAGCTATAAAATTAAATTAAGTTGTTTTTAATGTGTAGCCTATTGTATTTCACACACTGTTTTGTTTTCTCTTTTTTTTTTAACGGTTTTAGTTATGGTTCTAAACATTATCAATCGAAACCATTGTCCAAGTTTAATAGTCACTAATACATTGCTAGATTCTGACATGTATCTTCTGTTATCAACTTAAGTATTTTCTCTCTTGGTTTTAAGCCTTCTAGGAAATTCGGTCTATCAAAATATGTTTATATTTCTAAACTATAAATCGATTGCTAAATGGAATCAGCAATTAACGGCTAGATAATGATTTTTTAAAACTGCAATTATGGTTAATTTGGGGTGATAATGAAAAATTTGACATATGATTATATAAAGGGATTAAAGAGAGAAATGAAGTGGTGGTCTTCACATGGCACAGCCATTTTTAGAATATGATGAGATACAAGAGAGGAGTGGACCTATCCACAAAACAACAATGCCCATCCAACACTCTTCCCTTTTATATCCATACATTCTTTACATCAACATTTCTGAAGAGTTTAAATAAAAACATGTCTTGACAAAATTAGACATGCATGTCATTTCCCAAATAGATTTTCACTATTTACCAGACAATTTTAACTTTTCACATTAATGACAATTTATCATGTTGAGAAACCAATCACCCAATTTATTTATTATATATTTTTTAATTGAGCAAATAGTAGCGCGATGGTACTCCATGAGTTAGGCTTGCACAATAATTTTAATGTGATTTTTGGTTTACTATAATTGTTTATATACTAGTTATAAGGTTCAAATTCTATGTTATGATTATGAATTTAAAGTGTTAGATTGCAAATATTCATCTAACAAACAATGCGAGTCTTTTGTAAGATGTTAAGGTAATATTATATTATTATACATTGAAAACATGCAATAATGTGTATTTAAAACGATATTAATAAATGTTTCCGAATACACAAGGTTGGTATTCCATGTGATCGATGTATATTACACTCAAATGGCTAATTCATTATTATTGCTAGCTAATAGGTCCCTTGTCAATTTTTCTCTCCAAATGCAACTAAACAAAAGTTTGGTGGTAATACGCAAGGAAGGGACTCTTCTCTTTCAACCAATAATAATACTTTTGTTTTGTGTGCTCTCTTTTGTAATTATATGCAAGTGGGTCTATAATTGAGTTCGATTATGAAGCCCATTCTTTTTCCATATATATTTTTTTCTTTTATATTTCCACTTTAAATTTTCATTGGCGAAAGATGGTTAGATGTGTTTAGTGTGTCTAAACTTACTCATCTTTTTTTGTCACCATTGAGAAAATATGGTTAATAGCTCCAAAATTTCCAAAATGTTTCTTTTTTTCTTTCGTGTCCGCATTTGCGTGGATAATGATTACTTCGTAAATATAAGTTTCACAAATCATTCTTACATTAAAAAAATGTTTCGATTCGTTTTCATAATGACTTAATTAGTAATATACATACCAAGACATTCGCTTGAAATAAGCTAAAATTGTATTATTCCTTCATTTTTGTCAATGTATCATTTAATATTCCAACCGACCGTTTCAATTTTCAACCATAGGTACACTGTATTTTTCACATCAAACACACTCCTTTATATTTGCTGCCACCACTTTAAACATAAATTGAACATATTTGTGGATTATTATTTTGTTGAGTGGCGTTTGGATTTATATGGTAAAAAAGAAGAAAGAAATTTAATACTAAATTTGCTAATGTCATCACCTACTGACTACGTATCTCCACGGATGGTGTATGTCCTCATACCAGACAAATTCAGCCAGCCTTGCTTTTCTAATTCTATTCTTCCTTCTTTTATATCCCAAAATTAATTAATTTCGAAAATGTGATTTCTGTAATTAACTAACCTATTTCTGAAGTTTAAAAACATGTTAAGACCAATGGGTGTGGTGGTCTAATGGTCGTCGTATAAGAGAATTTTTCTATTTTTTTATGTTCTGAGTTTAATTGTTTTTGGAAAATGATTATTCTTTTTTTTCTTCTTATGTTCAGAGTTTAATTGTTTTTGGAAAATGATTTTTTTTTTTTTAAAACAATGAAAATGGTTATACAGATTAAAATTTGTAAAACCTCGCACATGTTTAATGTAAAACAATTTTTTAGTTAGCAACCAAATGGTTTCTTTGCGTTACCAGAGTTAACAGCGGTTTTGAATCCCTCTTTCAATATGATTCCAAGTTCAAGGAGTTTACTAATGCAAAACTCTTTGATTTTTATTTTTATTTTCATTACATATTTGTTAAATAAATAAATTTTGAAAACGACGATATCAACTAAAATAACATATAATTGATTAAAAATACATGAAATCTTTGTAATTCCTAGCATGTATGATAAAGAAATAATATGGTTTTGCCATCTAACGTTTTTAACAAATAAATGACAAACTTATAGACATGGAGTAATGCATATAGTCATAAAATAATGAGTGAATTTATTCTATATCAATGGTTAATCAAAAAATTAAATATATAACATTCATAAATTAATAATTAGGTAAGTAGCAAAGAGAATTTTTTATTTTATCCGTTACTATCCTTTTAACTTTACTTATTTATATAAATTACCATTGGTCTTTTTTTTTGCACATGACATTACTGTAGATACGATTCATCATCGCTGATACTATTCATCTAAGAGAAGATATTTTTTATTATTGGATAACTATTTAGTTAACATAAAATATATGAAAGTTATCGCTATAAGTTTGTGTTAACTTTGTTATCATATAATATACTAACATGTTTACAAATATATATGATAATTATAAGTGGTAACAAATATATCAGATAATTATAACGTGATAATTTCAAAATTTTGTAATAAAATATTAACATGTTATCGCTATAAATATGAAAATTTGTGTTAAATATGAAAGTTATCGCTATAAATTTGTGTTAACTTTGTTATCATATAATATATTAACATATTAACAAATATATATGATAATTATAAATGTTAACAAATATATCAGATAATTATAACGTGATAATTCTAAAATTTTGTAATAAAATATTAACATATTAACAATAATATTTGTTAAATATAAAATATTAACACTAATAATCGAGAAATATAGCACGTTAACAATAATATAACGATAATATTTATATTTATACATAATTTATATAAAATATTAACAATAATATCAGCATATGTATACTAACAGTAATTTATTTAGAATATTGATAATAATTAAAAAATTATCGTGATAACTGGCGAATAAGGGTGATATAGTCTTTTTATAGTGAATAGTTCTATGAGACCTACACTCAAAAGGTATCTCTTAATTTTGATAACATCTATTACCTTTTATTGCAATTACTCTAAAATAATCACTAATCAATCTTGAATCGCATAGTATTAGTTGAATAATTGATCATTATTAATCTAGTTAACTTAAGTACACAGCTTAGAATGACTCTCTTTCTCTATCTTTCTCTGCGAGTATAAAATACTCGCTACTCGCCACGAGAGACCTTGGCATTGAACCGTAATTAAATCCAAAAAACAAGGGCATATTCAAATTGGTTCCTCAAGTCTGACACTACTACATCACCTCCCTTTTCTCTTTGGCGAATGGCCTCGTAACCAGTGATAAGGACACATGCATGCCATTCCCATCAACGGTCAAGATCCCATTCCTTGACTCTGCTTTGAGCTATTTCTCACCGTAGGATCATTCCATAACCACGGTTTAAACTTAACCACGGTTTAACCTAACCACGGTTGGTTTCGGTCAGCCAGGTGGGGGGCCCTGTGAGATGTGCTTCTTCGTTGGTTAAGACTGATTTTCCATTAGCAAGTCACCGAGAGAGAGAGAAAGAGATAGAGTTTTTTTTTTTTTTTTTCTGGGCTTTTGCTTGCGTGATCTCTCTCATCAATCTTCTGATCATCTCATCATCATTAGATTTTGATTTTCTTTTTATCATTTTTCTTTCTTTCTTCCTTGTGTAGCTCTTTTGTTTCAGGGGACGAAGAAGAAAGTTTCTATTTATGGTTGAATTTGTTTTGTGATTTTTTTTTTTTGTTTTGTTTTTGGAGATTCTACAGATCTATTATGATTCTTGATCATTGTCAACGTTTTGTCCTTCTTTGTAATCATCACGGTTTTTGATTTCGACTTCCATCTTAGAGCTCTCTGAGAATTTCTTCAATTTTTTTTTTTATTATTATTGATTCTCGGAGCTGTTTCGAGTTCTTTAGCTGTTCTTCATAGATATATTTTTTTAATCCAGTAGATCTAAATTCTATGCAGTTTCTAGACTTGTGGATCTGGTGAATTCACTTTGTATTTTTCTTCTTTCTGATTTTGAGCTCCTGTGGTCTGAGTCAAAGTCAAGTGAATTTCCTCGAGTTCAAGATCTGGTGGTCTCAATTGGATCTCGCTGAAGTCAAATCCACTGAGAAGAAGAAGAGGAGGAAGAAGAGGAAGAAGATGAACTATTTCCCAGATGAAGTGATAGAGCACGTTTTCGACTTCGTAACATCACAGAGAGACAGGAACGCGATATCTCTGGTGTGCAAATCGTGGTACAAGATCGAGAGATACAGTAGACAAAGAGTGTTTATCGGAAACTGTTACGCGATAAACCCGGAGAGATTACTCGGGAGATTCCCATGCCTCAGATCCTTGACATTGAAAGGAAAGCCTCATTTCGCGGATTTCAATTTGGTTCCTCACGAGTGGGGAGGCTTTGTGCAGCCTTGGATCGAGGCCTTAGCAAGGAGCCGCCTGGGGCTAGAGGAGCTTAGGTTGAAGCGGATGGTTGTGACCGATGTGAGTTTGGAGCTGCTTTCTCGTTCCTTTCCCAATTTCAAGTCATTGGTGCTCGTTAGCTGTGAAGGGTTCACCACTGATGGTCTAGCCTCCATTGCCGCTAATTGCAGGTATAACGAGTTTTTCCTCTGCTTTTGTCTTAAAACTGTATGTTTTTGGTTGGATTCTGGTGTCCGAAAGCATTAAGTAAGACTCAACATTCTTGTTAAGATTAGCTTTGATATGTGACTAAGGCTTTGATTATGGATTCTTTGTTTCTTTGCACACTTGCTTCATGATATGACCTGCAAAATGAAGCAAACCAAGCTTTTGGTTGAACATTATGATTCAGTTTACGTTTAAAAATGTCAGTTTTTTATACAGAACAATGCGTCTTCAGAGTGCAAAATACATGTGGAATTCTGATTCTATGTCTACCATTTATTCTTGTCTCTGAAGGAATCATGATAACATTTATTCGGATTAGTGCTGTTTTGTTTAACAAGTTTTTGCTTTCTTTGTAGGCATCTTCGGGATCTGGACTTGCAAGAGAATGAAATCGATGATCACAGAGGTCAATGGCTGAGCTGTTTCCCAGACACTTGCACGACTCTTGTCACATTGAATTTTGCTTGTCTCGAAGGAGAAACCAATCTGGTGGCTTTAGAGAGGCTAGTCGCAAGGTCTCCAAACCTAAAGAGTCTGAAGCTAAACCGAGCAGTGCCGCTCGATGCACTCGCAAGGTTAATGGTTTGTGCGCCGCAGATTGTTGACTTAGGAGTAGGGTCTTATGAGAATGACCCGGATTCAGAGTCTTACCTGAAACTCCAGGCTGCCATAAAGAAATGCACCTCGTTAAAGAGGTTGTCGGGCTTTCTAGAGGCTTCTCCTCACTGTCTCTCAGCTTTCCACCCAATTTGTCATAACCTCACCTCCTTGAATCTTAGTTACGCAGCCGAGATCCATGGCAGCCACCTCATTAAGCTTATTCAGCATTGCAAGAAACTCCAGCGGTTATGGGTAAAGCTGATCTCAGTTTCTTTGTTAAAAAAAATAGCAATTTCTGTAGGTAGATATTGATTTGCAATCGTTTTTTGATGGGTTTTCTTGCAGATATTGGATAGTATAGGTGACAAAGGGCTTGCAGTGGTGGCTTCTACGTGTAAAGAGTTACAAGAGCTTAGGGTTTTTCCAACTGATTTACTCGGTGGAGGCAACACAGCTGTGACCGAAGATGGCCTAGTCGCCATCTCCGCAGGTTGCCCTAAGCTTCACTCGATACTCTACTTCTGCCAGCAGATGACAAACGCAGCGCTCATAACCGTTGCCAAGAACTGTCCAAATTTCATCCGGTTCAGGCTCTGCATCCTCGAGCCAAACAAACCCGACCACGTGACATCTCAACCTCTAGACGAAGGCTTTGGAGCAATCGTGCAAGCCTGCAAGAACTTGAGACGGCTTTCACTCTCGGGTCTCCTCACAGACCAAGTCTTCCAATACATTGGGATGTACGCAACTCAGCTCGAGATGCTCTCCATAGCATTTGCAGGGGATACAGACAAAGGCATGCTGTATGTGTTGAATGGTTGCAAAAAGATGAGGAAGCTAGAGATTCGGGATAGTCCGTTTGGGGACACGGCGCTTCTTGCTGATGTGAACAAGTACCAAACAATGCGATCCCTTTGGATGTCGTCATGTGAAGTCACGCTCGGGGGATGCAAAAGGCTCGCACAGAAAGCACCATGGCTCAATGTTGAGATTATCAACGAGAACGATAATAACCGGATGGAGGAAAACGGACACGAGGGAAGACAGAAGGTGGATAAATTGTATCTGTACCGGACTGTGGTTGGGACAAGGACTGATGCGCCGCCATTTGTGTGGATTCTCTAGTTTTTGTTCCGACCAAACATGGAACTGGTTCTATGCTTCCGTTAGTGTGTCCTTTCCCGAATTAGGTGTACTTTTGTTTTTGTTTTCTTTATTTTCTTTTAAGACGAGAGATTCTTTCGTGATAGCCGCCTTTCTGTTTTTTTTTTTTTTCTTCTTTTGACTTTCCTCCGATTATTTATTGTTTTTTAAGTTATTACAACTTTACAAGTGCAACGGCTTGTTTTGGATAAGCTTATTGACTAGCATAAATTATTGGTTTTTTACCTTGCTAGGACTATACAAAAGGTGAAGAACAAATTGTAAATAATATAAATAGAATCAAGTAATAATAGTTCTGAGTAAGTAAGATTCTCTTGCGAACTGTACTATAGGTGATAAAATGATAATGATATACCATTATTAGCGTTTTTTTTAAAAACATTTTTTTGCTATATTTTATCATATCATTCACAATATTTACCAAAAGTTCACGTTTTGGAAAAAAATGAATGTGAATAAGACTGTACAAAATGAAATCATTAGTCTATTTTTCACCAAAATAACATAAAATGTGAACAATTATGAATTTGGGGGTCAGTGGCGTATCAAGCCCTTTTGAAGCAGAACAAAAAAAAGAGAAAGAAAGGGAAAAGAAATCATTAGTCTACAAAATCTAGCAACTTTTCATACTGTCCTGACCCATACCCCATGAGACGTCATTCGTCAAGAACTTCTTTGGGTACCGGTGAGGCTGTGTCTGTATTTTGATTATTCAACGGAAAATTTTCTAACTTGCGTGTTTTTACCTATTTTATTATTCTGCTATTTTATCAAACTATTATTCATCTAAAAAGGTAATTATCACCCGTCTTTTAAAACGTTGCGGAATGCAAAAATAGATTTGTAGATTATTTTTTGCAGGACATAAATAAATATGGCATCCACTTATGTATTTCAAACATTCAATAATAATTATTGGTTTTATATGGACAAGAGGTAACTCAATGATAAATATCAAACTTGTTAAGAGTATTCAAGGTTTTTGTCTTCAAATAAAGCATACATAAAGAATGCCCTTAACCAATGGTTTAGGAACCATGGATTTGTAGGCTCATTCCAACAGCGAAAGTAATAAATAATTAATTACACATTAATATCTTGAGAGTAAGAGACAGACATTGAATCATAACATTTTTGGGTAAACTGTTTGAAAATGAAGGGTTTATGAGAATAAAGTAACTCTCCGATATTAGAAGCAGCATTCCTCTAACACACAGCAGCAACAGAGAGCAGCGAGACTGATTCATCGCGGCACACACACAACAAAAGAAAACGAATTGGTTAATGATTGAGTAGTTGTGACGAAAACATTAAGGAAACATTAAGGACTTAGTGTACAAAAGAAGACACTCTTCTAGTGACAGCAACTCAACACTTGACATAGACACATAGTGTTTTCTACATTATCCAAGACAGAAGACTCAGAACTGTCAACTGATTATTATTGAAATACCAAGAGAGCAAAGCAACCAGATGTTATCAATCCAACGAAAAAGTATTTACCTTATTAGCACTACTCAATTACAAACTATAAAGACATCAAAGGTTGTTATTGGATGTGTATCACTCTAATTGCGAAATTTACATCGAGAAGAGACTTCAACACGAAAAATACGCAAGAACAAGTATCACTCTTAAAAGACGTAGTACGGTAACGAGAAAAATCATGGGGAACGGAAAAAAAATGGAGGGACGAACCAGCCACGGAGGAAAGAGGTGCAACCAGAGTTCGAGTCCTGGTAGTAGTGATGATCATGATGGTACTGGTTGTAGTACTGCGGCGGCGGTGGAGGAGGAGGAGGAGGAGGAGGATAGCCTCCGGCGAAGTACTCCTGATAGCCTCCTTCGTAAGGAGGACGAGAAAATGGTTGCGGTGGTGGATACCCGTGTGGCTGATGTTGGTGATGAAGATAGCCTCCTTCGTAAGGAGGATATCCCGGAGGCGGTGGCCCTGATGGATATCCCGGCGGCGGATAGTGAGATTGGTAACCTAGCCCGATTTTGATCACACCGAAAACGGGATTTTAGTAACCGATTCAGAAGATCGAAAGTTTGGTTTCTAATGAATAGAATCGAAACTGAATCATAGAAGTAGAAGAGATTTTACGAACCTGGAGGAGGATACGGTTCCGGCGGGACCTTCTCGTAGCTCATAGTATTATTTGAAAGAGAAGAAGAAAAGTTGAAAGTCTTTTGTTTGGTCTGAGGAGAATCAGAATCGGGATTTTGACGAAATGACGATTACTCTCTTTTGAGTTTCGAAGACAAGATCTCCCGACACTTAGCCACTTGTATTATAACACGTGTCATACTGTAATTGTTTGGTAATCTCGTACCGTCGCTGTAACCGTTCAACTACAACAAAACAGTCCAATGAACAAATCCATCAATACATGGGCCCTTATACTCTTTCACAGCTCAATAACCCAATATAATTTAGGGTCTCCCTTGAAAATAATTATTATGTAAATTGACATTACACACTAGCATACACTAGCATTAACATGAATGATAGAACAATTAGAAGTTTGTAAAGTACTACTTCTTACGTTTCACAAAAAGTGTCATGACATTTTTCACACTTATTAAGAAAACTATTAAAAATACTATTTTGCCCTTTATTAATGCATTAAATAACTTGTTTCTTTAATTAATATATTAAATCAATAGGGTCAAAATTGGAATATTGTTTAAAATTCTGCATTGAAAATATAAAACGACACTCTTTGTAAAACAAAAATAAAACCTTAAAACGACACTTTTTGTGAAACGGAGGAAATATAAGAAACATAAAAAAATGTTGCCCTACTCATTTTCAAAAGGAAACTCAAGATAATCTAAAAATGATTAAAGTGGTCTTGTTATTGATCTGACTTTTTTTTTGGGTAAAGGGTAGTGCTGCTATTGGTCTGATTCGAAAGATACACAAGAGAAAAAAAAAGTCAACTACAAATGAGAAAGGTTCCAAAAAGAAGACTAAAATGGCCAGATCAAGCCTAAACTCAACGCTTCTTCTTACTTCCCTTTGATGGAGTTGCGATCAAATACACAAACGTCACAACAATCGAAATCACTGACACTTGAGGTCCAAACCTACCCACCAATCTCTGCAGATCAAAAATTACAATCAAACATCAGATATGATCTATGACTGTAGGATGCTAAACTGTTCATAAAGAGTCATGACTCATATAACGTTTGAAGAATGTCAAAATTAACCAGTCGCATATATATCAGTGTATCTTCCATAAAAGTTTTGATGTAACTTTCACCAAATTTTAGACTGTTTAGAAACTACGTTAAAATGAAATGATTGAGATAAGCGTTACAGATTCTGACATACCTTTGCCTGCATTTTAACCGCGTTCAAGATGGATTCCATAAAAAAAAAAAACAGAGAACATTCAAGTTAGTTAATTACAGGGGACGAGCCAAGACTCTCGATGACTCAAGTTATTTTGTAACGAAAAAATGCATTACCCATTCAAGCTTCTTCTCCGGGATGCTCTCTGCAAGCACATCTAGAGGCAATATTGGAGTTGAATATGCCTACGTTTCAAGGCAAAAAATTTACAAGACAAATCAATAACTACATGACCCCTTTGACTAATTTTGAAGAACCATAACTACAAAAAACGAGAAAGAAAACATAAAAAAAAACCTGAAGAACACCCTTAGATGGGACACGGAAAGTAACAACAGCTGGTGAACCGTAGAAGAGACCCTTTGTCTTAGTCTGCAACTCAAATGAATGTGACAGAACTTGACCTCTACACACAAAACCAAAGACAATCCTTCTTTATTTTTCTTATAAAAGAGTAAACGACTGGTTTAAGATTTTGTTGAATAATAATGAGAAACTCTTACACATCAAGCTTTTCCCATGACTTTGAAGTGTTACCACTAACAATCTCAAAGAGATTTGAATCCCAGCCATCATCTGCCACATTTACATCATATGCTGACCTGAAAAGAACTTACAATCAGAAACGTGTCTTTTTCAAAATACAAACTTGTGATCTGCGCTGTGAAATTTTCACACACAAAAAATAAGTACATTAGCATAGAGCAAGAAAGATAAAGTCCATACACAGCACGATTTGTTTTCTGTAAACAAGATCATAAGTCTTGCACATTGACTTAGTTGTTGAATCTCTTTTAAGAAATCATGATATGACAGATATTATTCAATATGTCAAATTCGATTCAAATACCAAACTGGGGACAACATTGATGATTGTTCTAGGTGTCGATCAAATAACAATGCAAGCATGAAGATTCCCGAGAAAAATGCTACATAAGGTGTTCATATTCCGAGAGAAAATTCAGAATCAAACATTCGGGAACATGGAGATTGTGCAGATCGATAAAATCTCGATCGGCGGCGAGAGCATTGCAAACAGGTCTGGTGAGCCAAAGAGCAAACGCAGCAACGAGATCTAAGAGACAGAGTTATGGATTGAAGAGCTTACGAGGATCCTTGATTGTAGATGTCGACGGTGACGGAGACGCGTTGGGCTCCAGATTTGATGCTAGAGAGCGACGCCTTCTTGTGGACCACCATGAAAGGGACCTCCGAGGTCGCAATTGAAGCCGAGATCAATGCCAGGAATATCAGAGCCAACGCCGAAGAGAGCTTCCTCTTTCCGATTTCCATTTCTCCGATTTTCCGATGGTCTCACTCGCTAGACACGGGAGCTTCTTCTTCTTCTTCTATATGGGACAAAATCACAAATCATATGAATATTCGTCTTCTTATTTACTATTTACGACTTCAATATTTTAAAGTAAAATAATGGAGTACTTTATTTTTGCCAATAATTCGAGCATTTTAATTAAATTTTTAGTTTTAATACATTTCATAATAATCATTTTTTTCTAGGCCATAAAAAAAACCTTATTTATTTGGATAAAATCACCGATCAACTTTCTTTGAAAATCGAAATGATAGAGTGAAAAAAAAAATTGTAAATACAAAATGTAAATTTTGCATATGTGCACAAGATTATAATTTTGCATCAAATCAGATATGTTTCCAAATCAATAGATGTCTTTTGTGGATGTCTTTGTTGTGATCACTGCGATTTTAAAAAAAAAAAAAACTAAAAAAAAGAAGATAAAATTCTTGCCAAATCAAGATTTGATCAGTTTCCATATATAAGCCAAAATCCAAAACGACTGCCTTTTAAGGTTATAGCTCGACACTAAAGAGAAAAATTTTAATTTCTGTAAATGTTCGAGGCGAATAGTGCTGCAAGCCTGCAACTACAAATTATTGCATCATGCATGTTGAGCATTTTTTATATTGCTAACACTTTACTAATATGTAATTTTGTTCAAAAAAAATAATAATATGTAATTAATGTTTACATCGTCAAAACAATTTGGTAGTAACTATATTTACACTGAAAACGATTTGATAATTATAAGTTTAATGTCTGTTCATGTATCAACGTGCGACGATGTGGTCATTTCATGCAGATCACGTTCATCACAGTCACATTTCATATATTTGTTCCAGTTGGATCTAAAAATATATAAACAATTCTTTCGGAAAAATATATCTCCACCTTGAAATATGTAAGATCAAATTACTAACAAAAGACATTTGCGGAGACAAAAACATATGTATATATTTATGTAATGGTATCACACGAATCTATAAAACAGTCAAACAGACATACTATTTCTTTATCTGAAAATACCATGTAACAAACCACTAATCCGACTACATCTTGTTATAATAATTAAGTGTATATACTTATATGTGTGTGTCTTATATTGTTAATATACGCAAAATGTAAAACATAAATATAATATTATATATTTCAGTGTGCTCCAAGTCAGCAACATTATCTTTGCATGATCTTTCATGTCTCTTATTTGGATGAAGGTAAATGTCTGAGATGAGAGAGAAGAACATATAAAGATAGCCAAGGAGACTGCCTAATGTCTTTCTATAAGCAAAATGGTCACTAATTGATGTAAACCATATTCACTATTCAAACATAAGACCGACCATTTTACTTCTCAAAGAAGTAGGCAAGTCATCCTTGGCTACCAAATATGATTCTCCTAATCATCTTTGACATTTCCTTCTATAATGTATATATACACTCACCACATGCATTTGTAACAAATGCTTTAGAAACCAAAATGCGAATCAACTGTTATCTTCGATAACATTTTACCAGAGATTATATGGATTAGAAAAGATAGAAAGAGAAATAAGTATAACATGGATGGAAAAAGCATGTCAACATAGCCAAGGAGACTGCCTGAAACCTAACCCGCAAAGATTCAACATGATTTTTGAATTACTATGCTTTTTAAATGCATAATAATCCAAAACCCATAAAGTTAAAATTGAATCATGGAGGTGAAAAAGAGCAGGCAAGTCATCCTTGGCTACTAAACATACTCTTTTCGCCATGTTAGACCTCTCTTCCTCATTGTACACTTAACTACTTTCTATATGTTTGTGTTCATTCTTCACATGCATGTGCTCTCCTTTTATAACCCTTGAGAAGGAATATATGCGTATTGATTTCGAGAATGATCTCTTCTTTTTGCATGGGCTAAATCCTAAATATGGTCAACTTTGTATTCTCCATCACCGGAATATGTTCCTTTTAATGGACCATTTTTTGGGGTCATCAATATAATATTTGTCGGTTGGTGGATGTAAGAGTTTCCACATTGTAGAAACTTGACGATGTCGAATCAAATAGAGTTAGTTTTTTAATAAAACATTATGTATGACTCTAAATTTTGTTCAAGTCGATTGCGAATTTAGAAGTGGTTGTCTCAATATAGCAACTTAAAAGATTTGTGTTTTAGTCCTTTTGAATATGGATTTCAGTATAGCATTACTTAAGTTTGAATGATGATGTCTGATCAATTATAGAACCGTTAGATATATAGAATATACATAATTATAGAACCGTTAAATAAGTATAATATAATGAATGATTAACCATTTGTTTGAATATGGAGTATTAACCATTCATGTATAGCAAATGGTTCAAAATGTAAATGATATATATAGAGACTCGATCGGAAAATGGATCGATTGGTGGAGTCAGTTGGGTTTTGGAGCTCAAAGACGGCATCTGAGATTTATTAGACCATCTCCATCGCAGAGCTTTCTCATAAGTTATTAAAAGAAATTTTAATAATAAATTTTTGAGATGGGAGAGAGGAAAGAAAGTCTCCAAAAATAAAAAAATCATTTTAAAAAAAAAGAGAGAAGAGAGAGAAGAAGAGAAAACATCTTAGAAAAATTTGACCAGTAAAAATACACTACGTTTATATATACTCTCTTACGTGAGGCTCTCTTATACAAAAATTTTTAGAACCAGTATGTTACTTTTTAATTGTTTTTTTTATTAACTTGAAAACATAAAAATCCATGTACTATCCTACCGATGGAGGTGGTTTTAGGGCTTCGAGGAATTGTTATATCGGACCAATTTACCATTAACTAACCAGATATGTTTATATTCTGGACTGAATAAATTTGTGGTGCCATACCATATACTTAACAATAAATCTCAAAAGTTTAAAAGTTATCGTAACACTGGAGATTTTCCATATATTAGAGGTTTATTAATGTCATATTTCCAATCACTTGGTATCACTTGATGAATAAACCTTGTATATATTTTAAAAGTAGAGTAAGAAGAAGCATTGTAGTTATCTTTTTAATTGTATCTAATAGTAAAAAAAGAAGAAGAAATATTGTATGAATTCATGTGGTGGATCCCTCGTATCTTACGCAATGTGTAAAAGTATGTTCCATTGAATTGATGCTTCTGCCTTATAGGGGCAAGTTGTTCTTGACATTTTCTCAAATTTAGAAATTTTAAATTTTAAATTATTTTCCTTAAAAATCCAAAATAGGAAAATTTTCATGATATCTTTCACCTTTATTTTTGATATAAAAAGGTTTGACCATTAAATGGAAGAATCAGAATACCTTTAAATTAAAGAATCAGAATACAATTCATTTTTTAAAAGTACTATATTCTCTTAGTCTTTTCTATCATCATATCTTTTTCATTACCGATTGTTGAGATTTGATTTGCTTCGAATGTCAGCATCATATATCATCATGTCGTTTAAGTAAATTTTCACTAATATTTGTAACAAGCATAATCCGCAGAACAATGTTCATCAACAACTTTTCCAAGGGAATATTGGTACAAAAAAGGGCCATTTCAATAAACCAACAAAAAAATAGAAATGGATTAGTAATGGGCTTACTTTGGTACCCAAAAGGCAAGTAATATCGGCTAATTTTGAGCTGGGCCGAAGCCTATCACGTCAAACTATAAATTGGGTCTATATATAAGTTAGGTTACTTGGTGAGTTGGTTCTATATAACAAGGATAAAAGAACTCCAAGAGTATTTGGTTTAGTTTGCATTAGTGTTGCTAAGAATATCTCGTTGTAGAGATGTGCTCTACTATTCTTGATTGTCTGAAACATGATAGTTCTGACAAAAACAAAACAAAGAAGGAAACTCATCAAAATAAGAGAATTACTAATCAGAAGAAAAGAGAATTCTTAAAATATACTGTTTCTTTTTCCCAAAGCAAATACAGCTTTTATAATCAAATTAAACACCTTACAAAAAACTACACATGTGAACACTAATCCGGAGGCTTGGCTCTCACCCGTCCAATTGAAGTTCAATAAATGTTCGTTTTGTAAATTTTGTTTTGTTAGTAGAAATTTTAGAAGACGAACCTTCCACGTCTTAACTTCCGTACGTAAATTATAACAAAATCCAAGAAGTCACTGTTGTTGCTTTGTCTTTAAAAGTACACACACTTTAGTTCCAAACTCTCTTAGATACAGGAGGTTGAAAAAATGGACTTGTCCTTTAACAAATAAAGAAGGGACTTTTACACACATATCGAAAGATGGAAACAATATTTTCCAATTTTGTTTTTGACTAACTAATTAATCTGCTTACAGACTTAATAAGTCTGACCAGCATATAATAACTCTGATAAAAACATTAAATAACGACTTTGTCAGATGGTAAAAGTGAGCTAGTCAACCAACTTTCAAAAAAGTTTGCTTCTTTTAGTTTTAATGATTTATCTTGTATTCGAGGATTACCAAAAAATTATTCATTTTTAATTTAAGATTTGTATTCTACGGTAGTTACTATCACTAGATTTATTTCTTTATAATAAACTACATAATTCAACCAATTACAGAATAACTACTTCATAAGTTATAAAATACAGCATGTTTCGCACGTAGCAATTCCGATATTTTTTTATTAATTATTTTAATTTTAAAAAGGAAATAATAAAGTTTTCTTTTCCGCGCACTTTCTTGGCTCTTTGTTTAGGTGAGCTTGTCGTACTCTGATTTTCTCTGACGATAAACAAATCGAAAACGGAAAACGAATCTCTCCCCTGAGAAATAAAAAAACTCAGGGACCTCTCGAGCTTCTCTCCAATGGCGGCTACAATCCCTGGCTCCATCTTCGGTCTCTCCACCGTCTCGTCTTCCTCAATACAAAGACTTGTCAACGCTGATTTCTACTGTTCGAAAAGGAGCTCCGACTCCAAGTGTCGACTCACGGCGATCAAATCCGAAACATCTCCGACTTCTGGAGGTGTTCGAAGAAGACGGAAGAACAATAACGAAGACGGAGCGAAGTTGGTGGTGGTGGAGAGTCCGTATTCGAGAGTGGAGGCGGCGCGTCCCGATTCGCGGAAGAGCTTGTCGGATTTTTTGGAGGAAGCGAGAGACTTCGTCGGAGATGATGAAGAAGGCTTAGACCCGCCTCGTTGGTTTTCTCCGTTGGAGTGTAGCGCTCAGGCTCAAGGCTCTCCTCTTCTCCTTTTTATACCTGGTTCTTCCTCCTCCCCTAAAACTCTTCTTAATTTCATTTCCATGGAACTCTTGAAAGGATGAAGCTTTTTCCAAGTTAACAAAACAGAGAGCCTCTAACAAAACTTGCAGGAATCGATGGTACTGGACTTGGACTCATTCGCCATCACAAGAAACTCGGCGAGTGCGTAAATTTCTAATCTTTTGATTGCTACTTCAATATTTCTTTACAAGTTTGACTTTTTCCTTTTGTTGTTTTCTTCTTGCAACATATCATGCCTCTGTTTCTATATCCTCTGCCTAAGAATGGGGTTTCTCTGTTCCTGATTATGTTGTCTTTGAGTAGGATTTTTGATGTATGGTGCCTTCACATTCCAGTAAGGGATCGCACTCCTGCTAAAGGTGTCTTCTTTTGCTCCTTTTCTGTCTACAAAAAACGTTTTTTCTAACCATGAAGAAAGCTTAATGAGGATTAATTAAGGCCTTTTTGTTTGTGTGTTTTAGACTTGGTGAAGCTTATTGAGAGGACAGTTAAGTCGGAGAACTATCGCTTCCCGAATAGACCTATATATTTAGTTGGAGAATCTATTGGAGCATGTCTTGCCTTAGACGTCGCAGCCAGGAATCCCAACATCGATCTTGCTCTCATCTTAGCTAATCCAGGTACAAAGCTCGGTCTGTGAGATGCTTATTTTAACAGTAAATGTATATGTTTGTTCATAATAGACATTGTTTTGTTGCAGCCACGCATGTCAACGACTTGATGTCGCAACCTCTATCAGGAATGCTGAATGTTTTACCAGATGGAATTCCCACTCTACTGGAAGAAATATTTGGTTTTAAGCAAGGTACAATCTCAAGTTGGATCTCTAAAATGTTCCCAAGAACGTTTTAAAAACATGACAAATATGATTTTCGTTTGTTTTTGGGGATTTATTGCGCAGGCGATCCTTTGACTGCAATGTTAGACGCTTTGTCCAATGAGTTTTCTGTCCAGAGAATGGGTGGAGGGATGCTTAGAGATATCTTTGCAGTTTCAGCTAATCTTCCTGTAAGTGGTTTTCACTTTATAGTCTATGCATTTGCAATTTCTGTTCATGAACATCTAAAAGACAATATATGCAGACTTTGAGTAGGATCTTCCCTAAGGACACACTGCTTTGGAAGTTGGAACTACTCAAGTCTGCTATCTCATCTGCAAATTCTCCCATTAACGCGGTCAGAGCTGAAACAATGATACTTCTCAGGTCCAATAAATTTCTCTGTTTCATGTATTGGTCCCTCAGAAATTCTGAATCAACTTTACTTGGAGCTTAAGTGTAATGTGAATATCTGGTTATGACCATTATCAGTGGACGCGATCAATGGCTGCTAAACGAGGAAGACATTGACAGATTTGCACGTACATTGCCAAAATGTATTGTGCGTAAGCTTCAAGACAATGGACAATTTCTCTTTTTGGTAAGTGATCTCTCTTCATCCAATACTTTTGATACTAACTACATTTTAAGTATCTCTTTTACGTCCCATTTGTTAGGAAGATGGAGTAGATCTGGTTACTATCATCAAGTGTACTTGCTTTTATCGCCGTGGGAGATCTCATGATCACCTTTCAGATTACATTTTGCCTACCCCATTTGAGTTAAAACAATATTTAGACGAACAAAGGTCAAAAAGCCTCACTAAATTCTCAGAGATATATATCTTAGGTTCTCTGTATCCTTAGCAAATTAAACAAATTTGTCTACAAAGTAACTGAATGATAATTTCTGTGGTTGCAGAATGCTAATAGATGCTACTTCCCCTGTAATGTTGTCAACTCTAGAAAACGGTAAACTTGTAAGGAGCCTTGAAGGATTACCTTCAGAGGGACCTGTTCTGTACGTTGGCTATCACATGCTATTAGGATTTGAGTTAGGTCCAATGGTTACTCAAATCTTGTTAGAGAGAAACATCCACTTGCGTGGTTTGGCACATCCGATGATGTTTATGAACAAACAAGATTTAGTAGACGCACAGATGTTTGACAAATATAAGATAATGGGTGCAGTTCCTGTCTCCAAATTCAGTATCTACAAACTACTGCAATCTAAGTCTCATGCGCTTTTGTATCCTGGTGGTGTCCGTGAAGCTTTGCATAGAAAGGTGATTTTACTGTGTGTGTATATAGCCCTTTTTAGGGTTTCTGCATTCTTGTAATTCCATTTTGAGAGGCATAAACATGTACAGAGAGAGTTTGCAGGGTGAAGAATACAAGCTGTTCTGGCCAGAGCAACCAGAGTTTGTGAGAGTTGCATCTAAATTTGGAGCCAAAATCGTTCCTTTTGGTGTTGTTGGAGAAGATGACATCTGTGATGTAAGCTTTCTCTACTCAATTTTATGATCTTAGTTACTATGTTTTCACTTACCTTCTTATTATATGACCCACCAACGGTTCTATTCAGATTTCTACATCCTACAGATTGCCTTGTTCGTTTAGCATGTACAATAAGCATGCATGTCTCTCTGTATTGACTGCTGATAAACTCTATAATTTATGCTCTACTGACATTGGATGAGTCTCAGATTGTCCTGGATTCAAATGATCAAAGGAACATCCCTATCCTGAAGGATTTAGTGGAAAAGGCAACAAAGCTAGCTGGCAACATAAGGTGTTTCATTACACACTCTATATCCATATACATATGTTTTCTCATATATACTCTTCAAGTAATACTCATAATGTGAACATTGCTTTTGAACGACAAAATTGTTAGGGAAAGCGACAAGAGTGAATTGGGAAACCAAGATTGCTATATCCCAGGACTTGTACCTAAGATTCCGGGGCGGTTCTACTACTACTTTGGGAAACCAATAGAAACAGCAGGTATATATGTTTGATCTCAATGTCTCTCTGTTACTTCAGATCATTGTTCTGAATACTTACTTGCATTAATTGGCTTTGTTTTTGTTTTCGTGGCAGGTAAGGAGCAAGAGCTAAGAGACAAAGAGAAGGCTCAAGAGCTTTACTTGCAAGTCAAGTCTGAGGTCGAACAATGCATTGCCTATTTGAAAACGAAAAGAGAGAGTGATCCATACAGAAACTTGTTGCCAAGGATGTTGTATCAGGCCTCACATGGTCCCTCTTCTGAAATTCCTACGTTTGATCTCTGAAATTAGCTATTCTCTTTTTGATTATTAATTTTACACATTACTGTGGCTATGTTGTAGGTAGTAGACATTTAATCAGAATTTTTAGTAATTTTTGAAAATAGTCTCTACCGAAACTCCGTGAAATTTGCTAAATTTTAATAAACTTTGAAATTAATGAAAGTTACTAACAAAACTTAGAAAAACATATATCCAACAACACTTCCCCTATTCACCAAAAAAAAAACAACACTTCCCCTAAAAATTCCTTTTTGTCTCCATTTCGGCATAATTTGAGCGGCACACAATGTTCATGCCTCCATTAAGTTTTCTCTCCAATGGCGGAATAAGCTCAGCCATTTCTTGAAAGAAGTTATGGCGGTTACAGTACTTGCCTACATTTCCGGTTTCTCTCCAGTCTCGTCTTCCTCAAGAGAAAGAATTGGTGGCAACGATGATCATTTCTGCTCTTCCAAGTCAATCTTACTACGACGACGGAGCTCCGCCTCCAAGTATCGTATCACGGCGATCAAATCTCCGACACCTGGAGGTGTTCGAAGAAGACGGAAGAACAAGGAAGAAGACGGAGCGAAGTTGGTGGTGGTGGAGAGTCCGTATTCGAGAGTGGAGACGGCGCGTCCCGATTCGCGGAAAAGCTTGTCGGACTTTTTGGAGGAAGCGAGAGACTTCGTCGGAGATGAAGAAGATGGTTTTGGACCACCTCGTTGGTTTTCTCCGTTGGAGTGTAGCGCTCAGGCTCAAGGCTCTCCTCTTCTTCTTTTTATACCTGGTTCCTCCTCCTCCTCTAAACTCTTGTTAATTTCATTTCCATGGAAGTCTAAAAGGTTTAAGCTTTTTCCAAGTTAACGAAACAGAGAGACTTACAAAAACTTGCAGGAATCGATGGCACTGGACTTGGGCTCATTCGCCAACACAAGAAACTCGGGGAGTGCGTAAATTTCAAATCTTTTCTATTGCTTCTTCAATATTTCTTTACAAGTTTGCATTTATCCTTTTATTTGTTTCCTTCTTCTTGCAATTTTCATTGCCTCTGTTTCTATATCCATATCCTCTGCCTAAGAATGTGGTTTCTCTGTTTCCCGGAAAAACCTCAACTTTCACTTCTCTAGTTTGTCTGAGAAATTTGATTTTAAGCAGTTCTTTGAAGTATTGACATGTAAAGGATCTTCATTTTCTGATGTCGTTGTCATTGAGTAGGATTTTTAATATATGGTGCCTTCACATTCCAGTCAGGGATCGCACTCCTGCTAAAGGTGTCTTCTTTTGCTACTCTGTCTTTAAAAAAAAAAGTTTTTTTTCTGACAGAGAAGATAGCTTAATACGCGCGGATTAAAGCCATTTTGTTTGTGTGTTTTAGACTTGGTGAAGCTTATTGAGAGGACAGTTAAGTCGGAGAACTATCGCTTCCCGAATAGACCTATATATTTAGTTGGAGAATCTATTGGAGCATGTCTTGCCTTAGATGTCGCGGCCAGGAATCCCAGCATCGATCTTGCTCTCATCTTGGCTAATCCAGGTACAAAGCTCGGTCTGTGAGATTCTTATCTTGTCGGCGAATTCTTAGCTCATCAAAGACATTGTTTTTGTTGCAGCCACGCATGTCAACGACTTGATGTCAAAACCTCTATCAGGAATGCTGAATGTTTTACCAGATGAAGTTCCCACACTATTGGAAGAAATATTTGGTACCCTTTTGCTCACTCCTCATTTTGTATCTTGACTTCATGTAGTTGATGTTCGTTTAAATATTCTTAGATATCTTCAAGCGAGTCATAACCTCACTAATTGAGTCTCAAGTTGAATATTCAAAATGTCTCCAAGTTCTAGCGTCTTCTTCATTTTACTTATGAAGGCTGTATATTGTTGATTTAAACTCATTATAAAACATGACAAACATGTGTTTCCTTTGTTACGTAGGCGATGCATTGACTGCGATGTTAGAAGCTTTGTCAGATGAATTTTCTGTCCAGCGAATGGATGTAGGGATGCTAAGAGATCTATTTACAGTTTCAGCTAATCTTCCGGTACGAGTTCCTTCTTAGAGACTCATGATCTAAGCGTTTTTTTCAGTTTATCGTATACACATTTTCAGTTTCAGTTTTAATGTTCATTTTAGTTACATTTGCAGATTTTGAGTAGGATATTCACTAAAGACACACTGCTTTGGAAGCTGGAACTGCTTAAGTCTGCTATTGCATCTGTAAATTCTCACTTATACGCGGTCAGAGCTGAAACACTCATACTTGTCAGGTTTTAGTAATTTCTCTGTTTCATTGGTTCTTTAGAAACTATAAATTTGTCTGTTTCGGTGTAATGGTGAGTCGGCTATGAACATTTCAGTGGACACGATCAATGGCTGCTAAATGAGGAGGACATTGACAGATTCTCGCGCACATTGCCAAACTGTATTGTTCGTAAGTTTAATGACAGTGGAAACTTTCTTCTTTTGGTAAGTGATCTCTCTTCATCCAATTCAGAAGAAAGATGATACACTTAGGGTCAACTATTTGATACTAACTATACAATCTCTTTTAAATCTCATGTTAGGAGGATGGTGTAGATCTGGTAACTATCATCAAGTGTAAATGCTTTTATCGCCGTGGGAAGTTTCATGATTACATTTCGGATTACATTTTGCCTACACCATTTGAGTTAAAACAACAGTTAGAGGAACACAGGTACACTAGTTGACAAATCAGTGTATAAAGTAAAAGGTTATAGAGCAAATACTGAATGGTAATTTATGTGGTTGCAGATTACTAATAAATGCTACTTCCCCTGTAATGTTGTCAACACTAGAAAATGGTAAAATTGTAAGGAGCCTTGAAGGATTACCTTCAGAGGGACCTGTTCTGTACGTTGGCTATCACATGATATTAGGGTTTGAGTTAGCTCCAATGGTGACTCAACTCTTGAAAGAGAGGAATATTCACTTGCGTGGCTTGACACATCCGATGATTTTTATGAACAAACAAGACTCGGTACTCGACTCACTCGACCCCCAGATATTTGACAAATATAAGATCTCTGGTGGAGCTCCTGTCTCCAATATCAATTTCTACAAATTACTGCGTTTAAAGTCTCATGTGCTTTTGTATCCTGGAGGTGTCCGTGAAGCTCTGCATAGAAAGGTGATGATGTCTTTTTTTTTATTACATAGTTTCTGCATTTCTTGGATATTAATTAGTATACTTTTAGAGGCTTACATGTACAGAGAGAGAGAGTTTGCATGCAGGGTGAAGAATACAAGCTGTTTTGGCCAGAGAAACCTGAGTTTGTGAGAGTTGCATCTAAATTTGGAGCCAAAATCGTTCCTTTTGGTGTTGTTGGAGAAGACGACATCTTCCACGTAAGGTTTCTCTACTCAATTCTGTGGTCTTAAGCTTTCAATTAACTATTGGTTGAGGGCATTGGATGACTCTCAGATTGTCCTGGATTATAATGATCAAAGGAACATCCCTATCCTAAAAGATTTAATGGAAGAGGCTTTAAAAGAGTTTGGAAACTTAAGGTATATTTCATTGCATATATCGTTAATACATACTCTTCAAACAAAATCAAAATGAACATTGATTTGGAGCTGTCATAATTGTTAGGGAAGGTGACGAGAGCGAATTGGGAAACCAAGAATATTATATCCCAGGGCTTGTACCTAAGATCCCAGGGCGGTTCTACTATTACTTTGGAAAACCAATAGAAACAGCAGGTATACATATATATGTTCAATCTATATGTTTCTCTCTACTTTCAAATCACTTATTTGAATATTTGCAATGGCTTTGTTTTTGTTTTCGTGGCAGGCAAGGAACAAGAGCTAAAAGATAAAGAGAAGGCTCAAGAGCTTTACTTGCGAGTCAAGTCTGAGGTCGAACAATGCATTGCATATTTGAAAAGGAAAAGAGAGAGTGATCCCTACAGAAACTTGGTGCCAAGGATGTTGTATCAGTCCTCACATGGTTGTTCTTCTGAAATTCCTACGTTTGATCTCTGAAATCATTCTCTCCTTGATGATTTTACGTTATACTGTGGCTATATATGTTGTACGTAGACAGTTAATCAAAAATCATGTTGTAAAATGGAACTTGAAATATAAGTAATAATGAATGACACACTTTGAAGAAGAAGAAAGAAAAGAAAAGACAAAATTCTTAAACACACAAACATATTATATATAATAATGATCCTTACGTGATTATGAAGAAAATTGAAAACTTATCAACTAATTTATCCAACCATACTTTCTATGCATATTGATCTCGCCTCGCGCATGTTTGCCACCATCCCACACTTTTAAATAGATGCCATTTTCTCTGGCTCTCCAATCCCACGTGCCTCCACTATCCGAAGCACTAAACTGTTTAAATGCTGTAAAGCTCTGATGATGTCTATAATTAGGCCCTTGTTTCAACGTACACATGAACCGTGTTGTCCCCCAAATGTTAGTATTAAAAGTTGTGTCCCAACTTTCTCCGGGTTCTAGTATTCGTGGAGCTATTCTGTTGTCTCCGGAGTAACAAGTAAACCAAAGTTTTTTCTTGAATTTAAGTTCATTTGAGATCTTGAATCCGGCACCGTATACATGGCTAATCATGCAGATGCTAAGAACAAATAGAAAGATTGAGAGAGTTTTCATTTTTTTTTTTTTTCTTTTCTAGAGGATATGTAGATGTTTAGATTTTTTGTCGTTTAGATATATAGACACATCTATATTGCAGTATTCGTGCATTTACAGTTACTTGTTGATTTCTCTATTATTATAGGTTTTCTATTAATAGTACGAAGGACCAAGACTATGATTTATGGTGGACAAATATAGGTGTTTGGACTTTTGGGCAAGAGGACCAGTTTCAAGTATTTATTTTTAGCAATAGATGCATGCAGGTCTTGAAGGGCTAAATTAGATGAGAAAAGTCATGGTCGTGGATTGAACAACTGTGAGAGGCTAAATTATCATCTTGCATTATATTAACAACAAATATGCAAGACTTTAATTTTGTTTTTCAAAGTATTTTCAATTGTTTAATGGCCTTGTATATAGTGAGAACGATGGATGTTGCATGAGCTTGGTTTTCTAGACAACTGAAATGGAGTTGTTGTAGATTCTTTGGAGTTGGTGTTCGTTTCTGATGGCACTCTACAATCTAATGATAACTCAGAAGTTTGGTAAGATACATTTCACCGCAAATGCACCGATAAGTATGCAATATATATATATATATATATATATATATATGCGTAATCAAATATACAAGAACCAAAGTTCACATAAAAGGATTTTAGGGATTTGAAATTAGCCAGAAATGAAAGGTTTGTGATTTAGTGACTGTTTAGCAGAGGTTTATGCTTATATATATATATATTTGTGTGGTTTGATGTAATCTCATATAGTCACATTTTAACTTATGGGTGGTAGTGGATTATATATGAGATACTGTTCAGAGCGAGATGTGAGCTAACCACACAGGTTTCTGAACTCGTTTAAAACCTTCTCCTGTCAAAAGTTTAATTACCACATTTGATGACATATATCTTACGTGGAGATTTGAATCGAGTGTGATGAACTGATGATCAAATGCGTTCATTGGTATTCAGCTGACTATATAACTCATCAAATTGTTTCTTTTTTTTTTTTAATATAGAAATGGATTAAAATCATCAAAGATATAGCTCACAAGCCAACATTTAAAAAAAAAAAAGGAAGTAAGAAACCAGTCCAAAATACAGAGATTCAATTTCACATTTGACTTGAGTTTTTATACTCTTAAATAGCAAAAGGTTTTTAAAAGTTTATCTCAGCTTCTGTAAGTATATATAATACCAAATAATAATTAGGAAACTTGTCTAGCTTCAACACAAGGCCTAAATATAACGTAAAATATTTCAAATATGAATAACAAATGACTTTTACAAGCATTTGAAATCAATATGATAGAATTGACAAGCAGCGTTTTATTTACATCTTATAGGTCTCCTTGTTTAGAAACAAAATATACGAAAATGACAACAATCCTTATTACTTAATATAACGAAGAAAAAATATATGAGACTTAATTGGATTATTCTCGATCAGGAGCTTTACTTGCGAGTCAAGTCTGAGGTCGAACAAAGCAACCTTGAAAAATTAGAAACACTCGCCTACGGCATACTTCTTTTTTTTGGGGTAAAACCTACGGCATACTTTTGTTAAAAGCATTTGAGACCTTATTCAATTGTATCACGTATTGGTGAGCGTTTAAGATACTCTCTATGTTCTTAATTAAGTGATGTTTTAGCACTGTGCACACAAAGTAAGAAAACATTTTATTTATATTTTTCCTATACTAAAACTTCAATCTTTTTCATTTTCAATATAATACAACTAATGAAAAAATAATTTGCAGAATATAAAATGTCAAATATAATAAAAAGTTAATTGATTTTACATTACTTATTTGTGAAAAAAAAATCCTTTAAAGCATCACTTATTTCAGAATGGAGGGAGTATACAGCTTATCAACCACTTTACCTGTTATAAATTAAATGATCTTTTATAGCATTTTGAACACAAATTAGTGAAATATTTAATTTTTATTCTTTTTATATTACAATTTTCTTAAATATATATCAATTTAAATATTCTATCCGTTTTGAAATAAGTAATATTTTATGAGAATTTTTTGTTCACAAATAAGTGACGTTCTCACATTCAATGAAAAAATAATGAAAAAATAATCTGTAGAATATAAATAGTCAAAACTAATTAAAAAAAATTAATTAATTTTGTATTGATTTGTAAGAACATCACTTATTTAAGAAAAAAATCTATAAAATATCACTTATTTCAATATAGAAGGATTACTAATGATAAAAAAAAAATTACTAATTTATCCAATCGTACTTTTTATGCATATCGACCTTGCTTTTTGCACTTTTACCGTCCCATACTTTCAAATAGATGCCATTTTCTCTGGCTCTCCAATCCCACTCACTTCCAGTATCTACAGGACCTTCCTGTTTAAATGCTGTAAAGCTCTGATGATGTCTATAATTAGGCCCTTGGTGCAACGTACACATGAACCGCGTTGTCCCCCAAATGTTAGTCTTGAAATTTGTGTTCGAACTTTGTCCGGGTTCTAGTATTTTTGGACCTATTCTGTTGTCTCCGGAGTAACAGGTAAAGCAAAGTTTTTTCTTGAATTTTAAGTTCGTTCGAGATCTTGAATCCTGCACCATTGACATGGCAAATCATGCAAATGCTAAGAACAAATAGAAAGATTGAGAGAGTTTTCATCTTTCTAGAGGATGTGTTGATGTTTAGATCTTTTGTCGTTATCTATATTGCAGTATTCGAGCATAGGTTTCTAATAATAGTACGAAGGACCAAGACTATGATTTATGGTGGATAAATATAGGTGTTTGGACTTTTGGACAAGAGGACCAGTTCAAGTATTTATTTTTAGCAATGGATGCATGCATGTCTTGAAGGGCTAAATTAGATGAGAAAAGTCATATTGTAACTTATGGGTGGTAGTGGATTATATATAAGATACTGTTCACCGCGATATGTGAGCTAACGACACAGGTTTCTGAACTCGTTAAAACCTTCTCGTGTCAAAAGTTTAATTACCACATTTGTTGACATATAACTTACGTTGAGATTTGAACCGAGTGTGATGAATTGATGATCGAATGCGTTCATTGGTATTCAGCTGACTATATAACTCATCAAATTGTTTCTTTTTTTATAAAAATGGATTAAAATCATCAAAGATATGGTTGACAAGCCCACATTAACAACAACAAAAAGGTAAGAAAACCAGTCCAAAATACAGAGATTCAATTTTACATTTGACTTGAGTTTTTATACTCTTAAATAGCAAAAGGTTTTAAAAAGTTTATCTCAGCTTCTGTATGTATAAATAATACCAATAATAATTAGAAAACTTGTATAGCTTGAACACAAGGCCAATATATAACGTAAAATATTTCGTATATGAATAACAAATGACTTTTACAAGCATTTGAAAGAATTAACAAGGAGCGTTTTATTTACATCTTATAGGTCTCCTTGTTTAGAAACAAAATATGCGAAAATGACAACAATCCTTATTACTTAATATAACGAAGAAAAAATATATGAGACTTAATTGGATTATTCTCGATCAGAGAAGCTCAAGAGCTTTACTTGCGAGTCAAATATGAGGTCGAACAATGCAACCTTGAAAAATTAGAAATACTACTCGCCTAAGGCATACTTTTGTTAAAAGCAATTGAGACCTTATTCTATTGTATCACGTATAGTTTGATATTTAACATAGTGGTGAGCGTTTCCTATTCTTTTCATATTGCACGGAGTTTGATTCTTCTAATATATTTTTCTACTTTTATACATTTTCCTATTTATGCAATAACCATTTTCGCTTGCTTTTTTTTGCACTTTTTACTTAAATAATCTTTTAATTTAATTGTTAATCAACATTAGACTTTTTCATGTAAAATTCTTCATATTTAAAGAGTTTTGTTGATATATTTTTATTAATTTAAACAAAAAAATGTTTTAGATACTCTCTATGTTCTTAATTAAGTGATGTTTTAGCATTATGCATAAAAATAAAGAAAACGTTTATATTTTTTATGCTAAAACTTCGATTTTTATCATTTCCAATATAATGCAACTAATAAAAAAAATACAGAATATAAAAGGTCATATTTAATATAAAAAATTAATTAATTTTGCTTTGATAAATGAGAATATCACTTATTTGTGAAAAAAATTCCTTAAAACATCACTATATCATAATGGAGAGAATATACAGCTTATCAACCACTTCTTCTGTTCTAAATTAAATGATGTTTTAGCATTTTGTACACAGATTAATAAAACATTTAATTTTTTTATATACTAAAATTTTATTTATTATCGGTTTAAATACTTCCTCTGATTTGAAATAAGTGATTTTTTAAGAAAACTTATTCTGTTCATAAATAAGCGATGTTCTCACATACTAATGAAAAAACAATCTGTAGAATATAGATTACCAAAACCAACTAAAAAATTAGTTAATTTTGCATTGATTCATGAAAATATTATTTATTTGAGACAAAAAATCTACAAAACATCACTTATTTCAAAATAAAAAGAGTACTAATATATCCAGTCATACTTTTTATGCATATTGACCTCGCTTTTTGAATCTTTACCGCCCCATACTTTCAAATAGATGCCATTTTCTCTGGCTCTCCAATCCCACCCGCTTCCAGTATCTGCAGGACCTTCCTGTTTAAATGCTGTAAAGCTCTGATGATGTCTATAATTAGGCCTTTGTTTTAACGTACACATGAATCGCGTTGTCCCCCAAATGTTAATTAGTATCAAACTTTGGTTCCCAACTTCCTCCGGGCTCTAGTATTTGTGGTTTTATTCTGTTGTTTCCAGAGTAACAGCTGAACCAAAGTTTTTTCTTGAATTGAAGTTCGTTGGAGATCTTGAATCCGGCACCGTATACATGGCTAATCATGCAGATGCTAAGACCAAATAGAAAGATTGAGAAAGTTTTCATTTTGTTTAGTTTTGTTTTGTTTTTAGGATATGTAGATGTTTAGATCTTAATTTAGTCGTTTAGATATATATTCATCTGTATTGCTATATCAATTTCCCTATATATTCTTATATATAGGTTTTCTATTAATAGTTGAAGGACCAAAACTACGATTTATGGTGGACAAATATACATTAGGTATTTGGAGTTTTGGGCACGAGGTCCAGTTCAAGTATTTATTCTTAGCAAATGCATTGAAGGGCTAAATTAGATGAGAAAAGTAATGGATGAAACAACTGTGAATTGGCTAAATTATCGTCTTGCATGTTTATTGACAACAATCATGGAAGGCTATAATTTTGTTTTTAAAGTAGTTTCAATTGTTTAGTGGCCTCGTAAATGGTGAGAGAACGATATTGCCTGATCAGCTTGGTTTTCTAGACAACTAAAATGGACTAGACAATCCAGTTCCAAGTGGCTCTATCAGGAAGAGTACCCGTTTTATGTTTAAAGACTTCAAAACGTTTAACAAACTCCCAATTTTTGCCGTGACTAAAGGTAAGACCACCAGAGCGTCGTACCCCAAAAAGTTAATTGGCATATCAAACCTATATTCATCTCCTCTCTTCACAAACTGGCGAGGTTTGTCTTTGGTTTCCGGACTTACATAACACACAGAGGGTATATATGGTATCCTTTTTTGGGATCGGGAGCGAGTTGGTTCTTGATCACCGCTGTATACCTTACCAATGATGCAGAAGGCCAAAAACAATTAGGAAACTTGATAGATTTTTCATTTTTTTTAGATTATTAGATTCTTGTCATGTTAACTTGTTTTTGTGTTTTCCGTATTATTTGTATTGGTATTTCTAGGTATACATTTTTTTGTCTCTCGTTTTCTATTGATAATTGAGGTGCATAGCAAATACCGGTCGTTGGTTTTTTTTTTTTTTAAGTAAATGAATTTTATGTGGCATGTAAAAATAAATACAAAGATTTTAAGACCCCTTTAATTAAGAAGGTTTTTGTATAAAAAACGATATTTAATAGTTGTTTTACTGTTAAAGTAAGAAGATTATTGTAATATGGAAAAAGAAAACTAATTCTTTCTTATAGATGAAATATGATTTGTTATTTTAACAGCTGTATATAGGGTTTGATTGAACGTATTTGTTTTACCTTGTCACGTTTTGAAAACGTGATTCCACTACTTTTTACCATTACATAAACAATAAAAATGAGAAGGAAAATAATGAAGAGAAATAAAATAATAGGAATATATTTTACATATTTGTACAATTTATGAATGGTGTATTTTCTTAGGAATGAAGATCATCCATTGATCACCATTCATAGCTAGCTACCGATGTTATTTTGTCTCGACTGCAAACAAATGATGCTAAAATTTTGTTTTTGATTAACATAAGTGATGTTAGAAATTTGATACATTCATTTTTTTTTTTAATTCATGGTCCAGTTAGCCAACTTAAGAGAAGGCATATTCCCTTTATGAAAATAGAAGCCATCGTCTTTAGCTGACCAATTCCACTTGGTCCCATCATCTTTTACGAACAATCCTTTGGCTTTATACGCAGTAAAGCTCCCATAACGTTTGTTATAATGAGGCCCTTCTTTAACTACGCACCAGAACTCCGTCGTGCCCCAAACGTTAGTCTTGAATCCGAATATCATAATTTCTTCGAATTTCAGGTATCTTGGACCAATCATGTTGTTTTTCGATTTACAATACGCCATGATCAGTCGTGGTCCGGCCTTGTCTTTGGGATTGAGTTCGTTCTTCACCGTGATAAAGGATCTGTCCCCTTGTACATCGCTGCTAATCATGCAAAGAAGGCCAAAAACAAATAGAAATTTTGAGAGATTTTTCATTTTCATGTTTTTTTTTCTTTTCTTTTTGGATTAGTTTCTTTGCAGGTTAGTTATATTTTCTTGTGTTAATTTGAGGTATGTTCATAATTAGCAAACCTGTATTTTGGGATGCTGACATCAGCTTTATCTATTAGGGAACAAAAATAAACATTTTGATCAATCGGTTCTGATTGTTTCACTTATATTTTTGTTTTTGTTTGAAGTTTTCTGTTTAAAAGAGGAGAATACATATAGGTTTGTTCCGACGAGGGAATACGTCCGCACAAAATGATTTATTGAAAGAAACAGAAACAAAACAAATGATTTACTGCCATTTCTGATTTGCATTCTGAAATGATTTTTTTATTAAAAAATAAAAGCCAAAGAAAATGCATTTAAATTTTATGTTTATGTTTTTATAACTTCGGTTCTACATTTAAATTTTTTTAAAAACCTTCAGAAAAAAGGTGGCAATCATTGTAAAATTATGATTATAATTAGAGATTGTCATTGGATTTAACAGTTTTATCAACAATTTTAAAACTTCTACATATGTTACTGTTTAAGGAACCCATGAACATTTTACATTGATCCGACCCCGACGTGTTGGAAAAAATGTTGTAGCTTTTTAGTTTTTTGTTTGATTAGAAAATCCGGAAATGGAAATCTGTACATAAGTGGGTGAGAGGCATTGTGAGTCTGTGACTGATTTTGTATGTACAAAAAAAAGTCCATTAGTTTCTTGTTAAACAAGAAAAGCACATATACAACCTTGTGGAACCAAACCATCGAAAGTCTTAATCTGTGATATCGAAGTATCTTGGGTTTTCTGGGTAATGGTACTCCACATTCAACTGCAACATAAAAGACAAATATTAATCACTTTAACACGGTGTTTACAAAACGCTGGTCCACACTCAAAAACGCAAATCTCGTAACGTACCTTTCCTTCATCAGAATCTGTGTGGCGTTGAGGAAACACGACTCTCAAGTCGTTGTACAGATAGAATCTCCTCTTCCCATCTGAATCCAACTTCTTCTTTTGACCCGCAGTTTCGGTTTCGTCAGGTTTCTTTGAAGCTTTCTTGGGTGATGGGCAGAGAAACCTCATATGAAGAGCGTACCGTAGAGCACCAGAACCTCCGTTGCATTCTTTGGACGACTTTACACAGCTTTTTCCACTTTCATGTAACTTATTAAATGTATCATCTCCTTCCACTCGATCTAATAAATCACATTCTTTTTTGTCCCCATGTTTACACTTGTCTTTTTCCAAGCTTTTGGCTTTTCCAGTGTTCTCTTGCGTGACTTCATTAGTTGCATTAGATGATCCCAAGGTAACCTTTTGGCGCAAGAACGTCTGCATAATACCAAAAATATACCAGTTCAACAAACCAAAATTAATGTAAGAACGACTTCATTACATTTTGCTTGGAAGTGGCAGACACATCACTTAAGTTATGGCAAAAAATAAAAATGCACAGATAATAAGAAACAAGAAACTTCATCCACAGCGAGTTTCCCGGTCTCTCTGACTATTATTTATTTTCCGAGGCTGAAAAAGGAGTTTTCATAAGAAAAAAGATGTGATATTTTCTACATTACCTTTGTACCGGCAGGCATATCGGTTAAGTCATAGTTACAGAGGAAGGTGTGAAGAGGTGTTTTCTCAGGGTTACTGAGAACCTACAAAAGAGCAGTTCATATAATGAGAGAACATTCAGAGCTTTTTGAAACTCTCTATTAGCAACACTAAGCAACAGTTTAACTTAGCCTACTATATATTCTGATCTTTCTAATCTCCTATTAGACACATTTAGCACTGATATATGTTGGGGATGACAATTACAATTGTTTCAGAGGTGACGAATTTGCTAGAACTATAAGGCTAACTTATCTTCTGGCATTCAGAACATTGATCAGTAACTGCTAAAAATACGAATAAATAATATCTACTGCAACCATCCCTCAGATGAGTTTTTGGCCATACCATTATGATCCAACAGCAATATATAATATATGCGAAATAATAGAGCCAAAATCAAAGAGAAAGAAGATACCAGTTGTATCCGACCCTTCATGGGGATCCGCAGTTGGCTCTTGGAACTCTGAGCATCAGAGCTTATTTGACTTGTTTTCATTTTCTGGCCCCAGAATTTGCTCGATTTAGATCCTCCAGCGAGATCTACGGAGGCATAGTATAGCAAGTGGCAATCATCACCAACACTGGTTACTGAGAATGGAAGCTTTTGTGATTTTGGCGATATGTTTCCCCCAGCAATACTAAGAACGGCAAGAAAACCGTCAATCTACTGTACCAAAAAAGGCAGAGAGAAGTCAAGAGTCTAAATTAACACAAAACAAAAAAAAAGTCATTTTTAACTCAAGAAGCTTAGTTTTGAGTTTATAGCTTTTGCGTAAGTACTAAGAAGGATGGTGATAACTACGACTTTTTCCTTTGGTTGTTGCATTTATACATTTAAATAGACACATTCGTCTGCTATGTCCACTTTACCAGTCCCCATTTATAAAGCTGCACATTTTTCTTTCATAAATGGGGACCTACATCAGTTGAAGAATGTAGCTCTCTCAAGACCTATTAAGTAAGTCATTAAAGGATCAGAGTTGAAGATAAAAACCTGATTTGTTGGCCCACATGACAATCTTCCTGTCAATAGTGACTCCTCGAAAGAACCAACCAGTGACCTCTGAATGGGGCGTCCACTCAAGCTTCTACTGAACCTCTTACATGGAGATGCAGGAGCTGATTCAACGCTTCTCTCCATTGAAAATGATCTCCTAATAGCATATGCATCATCAAACAATCTACGGTCAATCCTTAGTTCTGCTTCTTCACTGATATTCCTCAACTCTTCAACTATCTTCCCTTTTTGGCCACTTCTTAAAGCTTTTATTCTCTCAGAAAACTTCGGACCAAGAGGTGAGAGAGAAAGCGGCGGCGAGGCCGATATATCCTTATCACACGGTAAGGGCTTATTGGGTATACCAGACGTTTCATATACTGGTGAATATAAGCAAACCTCACCTTTTGTGGGTCTGCGAAGGTCTACAGAGTCAAGCAATGGACCATCAGTGAAGACCATGGACGACAGTCTGCCATTGTATGAGGCATTATTCCATTCCCAGCAAGTAGATGTTGTTGTGGCCGTAGGAGAGAGATGCAACCTACCAGCGAGATTAAGCTTTTTGTGATCTTGTGCGACAGAATTGCAGAATCCACTAGAAAGACCAGAATAAGTTATTTGTTGGTGGTTACTACAGCTGATATCAAGCAGGTCACCTCTGAATTTTACAGGGAAGAGAGTATTTAGAGGGGAGAGCACTCGTTTCCTGACTAACGCTCCACCAATATCTACACCTGTAACTCCACCAGTGGATGACAGAGAGTGATCAATACCGCCAATCGTTTGTTTGTTGTCCTGTGAGCTAGTTTCGCTGGATGCAAAACCAACTATCCTTCTCGGTGCAGTTAGACTTGAACTAACCTTATCCGCAGCATAGCTAGTCGATCCATGAGCACTTGATGAGGTAACAACACGAGTGCCATCGAATTTACCCGAATCATCTGTGAACTCCAGAGGCTCCAATGATGTTTTCTTATCAAATTCGCCAATGGAAGAGCAAATGCCTCCCTCGCTTCCTCTGTTAAGGCCATCTGAATCATGGGAAGTGGCATACACAGGCAGGCTTTGCGAAAGGCTGCAACTTGGAGCAGACGAAGCGTCATGGGATTGTTCACTTGACGCGGTCTGTGGCAGACCCATAACCAATGCTCAAAGGACTTTATCAAATAACAAGTTATTACCCTCTTGGCGATTCTGAGATGTGAGTTTCCAAATCCCTACTTATCCGGAAACTACCGAATCCTTGCAATAACAATACTGACTACCTCTATCTCTAGCAGAACAGATTAAATCTAAAACTATGTATCAGTAACAGGCATCCACAACTCGTGCATTGCTTGCCTACTAACCCGCATAAAAGAAACCAAGCACTTAACATTTATTCGACAGTGGTTTATGTCAGAGCATTCTGGAGCTGCATGGAACCTGAGGGTGACGGATACAGAGTTCATTGCAGTTACCCTTTCCTGAAATGAATAAGATGGAGAAAGCGAATCAATTACATATTAAACACAATAAGGACATAGCCAAAGTTTTCAGAGAGATTCTTAAGCTTAAGCATCAACAGAACACAAGTGCAGAAGTCTCAGGCTATTAGGAATGCTAGAAACAACAGATTCCAGTAAAAAGGAGAAGAAATGATCAAACAAATCATGATCCGGAAACATACGCCTACATTATTTTTATCAGGTGTTTGAAGTCTGAAGCAAGAAGAAGAGATCAAACAATACCAGCAATTCAGTCAAAAAAAAAATTCAAAAAAAAAAAAAATCATGATTCAGAAGCAGTGCATTCATAAACCAAAATCTTAACAGTTTCTCAGTTAATAAGTTTCAGGCAATTTGATTGATTAAAAATATATATATAGTTTCAAGCAAACATCACTAGAACACACGTGTCTAAGTATTGGGAAAAATACAAATGATCGAAATACAGCCACAATCTCTTCACAGAAAAAAAAAAAGTGATCAAACATATCGTGACCACAAACACCTTCCGTTCTTAAAAGTTTGGAGCAGATCATGAACGAACGCAACACGATGAACCAGGAATTCCAGGGATAAACAAAAACGTGTGATCAAATCAATCTGATCAATAAATACTTTAAACAAAAAAGCTTCTCAAAGAAGACAAATCCTCAAATCCCCAGAAATCAAAAGCAGCTCATCAACAATCACCATCATCGACACAACATCGTAAACTCATAAAACCGATGCAACCACATAAATCGGGTTAATCAAAATACGAAGAACATAGAAACAGAAATCCCGCAAAAAAAAAAAGTCCGAGATATTATTAACCCAGTGAAAAGACGCACCGATGAAGCAATGGATTAAGAAAAGCCTGTTCAAGAGAACATTTCAGACGAAGTCCAAAATAGGAATCATTCACATAAACCCTCTGGATCGATTAATCAGGATTAGAATCAAACCAAAATGGAACGAAGTAGAAGAAGAAGAAGAGGAAAAGAGGTAAGAAAGAAGAATTCGGGAAGCAGGGTGGTGAGAGAAAGAAGCAGAGGTACCTCTTGGTTCCTTATCTTTCGTCTGTTTATAAACAAATCCCAATAACTCATCACCATTACCATCGCTCTCCTTTTCTTTTTCTAACATTTTCTCAATTTGTTTTGTTATCTCGAGATACGAATTACCCAGATTAAACATTCTTTTCCCATTAATATCTACGGATTTTGACTCTTTTGGTTTTTAAAAACCTCAAATTTGGCAGGAAAAGCAAGACATTACACACGCATTTCTTCTAGTTTTATTACATTAAAAATCTATAAACCTTACCGTTTTTATTGTTTTACCGACACCAAATATTGCGACTCCTAACGAACAGGAAAAAATGGGAAAATTAACAAAAAAAACTATTTAAAACAATAGAAAAAAGACGAGAGACAAGAAAGCTGTTGGGAATTCAGAATGAGCTTTTTTTTTCCTTCACGGTCTTATCCATTAATGGGCCATAGATGTTGGGCCCACATAATAGTAGTAATGGATCAATAGAATAAGCCCACTAGTGGATCGTGATCTCACGTGAGACACCAGATGATTCTCCTCCACCCAAAGCTAATGTCTGAAATAAACGCCGAAACACTAAACTTTATGCAAAATGCTCAATTACTGTCGACGATATACAAGATAATCATATGACCTTAAACCTACAAAAAGATCGACAGATTTTACGATTGCATGAGTGAGAGAGTAATATCGACCTAGAAAGGTCGAGAAGCTTCTTCCATCATTTTCTTCACTCTGGTCAACTTCTCAATTTCTTTCAAGACCTGAAGTACATTGTTTCAAAAACTTTTCAAAATTCGTAATCACAAGTCAAAATGAATAAAATAAATCATAATGCTTAAGACTTACTTCCAAAGCAATTTCTTCCGAAGTTACTGTTTCCAAGTCTTCATATTCCAGCTTTGTAGCTATTCCTGTTTCCAAGAACAAAGCAGCATTAGTCATAAACTGAAACTGTCAAAGAATATATTATGGACTTATGAATAAATGATAAATCCTTACTTTGAAGGGAAATGGATGCATCTGCTGTATCGTAACCCTTTCTTGATTTTTCGTAACTCGCTTTTAGCGCGTCAAACAACTGTGTTCATCCATCATGTGAAAGTCAGTTTCTTTGTAATAACGCCTACAAAAACTTTAAGCAGTTCATAGGAAAAGAAAGAAGAAAGACCTCAGGGGTAGGTTCTGAGTTGAGTGAATCATTCACTTTAGCCGCTATATCCAGAGGAACATCGATCCATATGGAGATCCCGTGTCTTAAAAGTGCACTGTTCAATAAAATGAGAACAGATAGATGAGAAATGAGTGTGTCTGTCTTCTAAAAACTCGAACTGCTAGAGAGAAACTACTGCAATTTATATAGAACATACAGATTTGTCAAGCTCTGGACCGCACCATCTCCAGCGCAAACTACAAGCCGACCCATCGATGATAGCTGCTTCAGCACTTCAGTCTGCATAAACATGATAGAGAGAGACATCATCAAAAACCATTATACGGCATATTAGATTGATTTTAAGTCGATATTTTGTTAGTGAGATCAATCCCCTCTTTCAGAAACAGGATCAAAAGATCGAGTTTACCTCTGATTCCTGAAAAGCCTTCTCATCAGCTTCCTTTAAAGCTTGAGCGGACACATTTCCGCCAGCTGCCTCTGCGATCAAATTATCACTGCCCAATAAGAGCAAACTAAAGTTAGGAATAATGTGAAAGGACTTGGAGGAATATTCAATGTGAATTTTTTTTAATAGGATAAGACGAATTAAAGTGGCAACCCTCTGTTATGGATGTAAAGGACCAAAAGAGAGAGCAGAAAGCTTAACACTAGCGCTCGGATAAGGTAAGAAAGTGGATTCTACAAGTACCTCGTACGTATTGGTAAGGGGTTCCAAAAAAAAAACAATTAAAGCAGACTGAGTCTTTAACCAACTTACAAATGCTTACCTATCAAAGTAGTAATATCGCATTGACTCTGCCAAAAGCTTCCCCAAGTTTTTTTTAATGGGGTTGTTAATCCCTACACCAGATCGTTAAAGCTCAGACATCAATGCCCGTCCAAATGAAGTACACAGTTAGTTTAAAAAATGAAGCGTGCAGCTTAAATACTAGCCAAGCCGGCCTTACCAACCAGAAATATTGAAGCTCCTTTGAGTTCAGGGGCTATGTCCATTGCTTTCCTCTGAATTTCAGATGGAAATGGTTAAACTATGACGAAGCAAAGCTGGTTACATTTGTAAGTTGGTTCTGCGAAAGCTCTCACCTTAACAGCATCGATGGGATCCGAATCAACAACATTGATCCCTATGCAGCAAACAATAAACCGAAAAGACAACCCGTGTGAGCAAATGTATCAAACTTGGTACAAATTTCTTGTTATATAAGCAGCCACTACTCATAGCACTAATGTGAGAGAGAATCAGGACAAAACACAGGAAATATTTGACTAATTGCGCATAAGACATATCGTCGAACACTTGTTATACAAGCACTTGGATATATTGTTCATAAGAGCAAAGTAACGAGTTATATCATTATCTACCAAAAGAAAAAACAAAATTGAAGTTAGAAATCAATCAAGGGTCAGTGACAAACGATTTCGCAAGACTTAGAAATATCTCAATGTTCCAAATTAGAGCTCGAAAGCTAACCGGTAAACGTAGACTGATCGGCGAGACACCGAGACGGAGCTTTACGTCTGTGAGAAGAGATGAGATTAACGGAGGAAGGAGACAGAAACAGTGCACAGGAAGTGGTTCGAGCTTGAGGATAGAACAAGGGAAGCAGACGAGGAACGAATCCAGAGGAAGTTAGAGAAGCAGGCGCAGAGATCTCCATTGACGACGACGACGACGAACTCTTTCTCTCCTCTCTAGTCCCTAGATATCCGCCACGTATGTCTGTATCATCAACTCGACGTGATAATTTTCATTTACCATATCTTCCAGAAATTAAAATAAATAAGATTATGCGTTACGGATATGCTCTTTTTAATCGATTTTTTCTAATATATATTAAGGTTTTGTATGTGATATAGAAGGGATAAAAGAAAGGAAAATTGGAAGGGATTGAAAATGAGAAGGGGATAAAGAACAGAAGCTTCAGATTTACAATGGAAAAAAACAAAAAGAATACGAATTTAACTAAAGAATTATACATATACTGACTACGATATATTCACTTATGGAGAAATCTGATTCTCTACAACCAGCGTTTTGCTCAAACGCGACGCGGCAGCTTTCATCGTTCGATCAGCTTTCCTACTCCTGCATTGATTAATAACCTATGGAGGTTTCAATAAATCCACAGCAAATAAAATCCATTTAAGAATTATGTAACGTTTAGCGTATGCATGAAAAACTGCGCGGATGTTCTCCATTTCAAAAACGTAAATTCTTTTTTAGTCTTTTCACTTTTAGGCATAAATGGCGTTTGAAAAAAAACGAAGACGTAAACATATTTTTGTTGCATCTTACCTCTGATTTGACTGGTTTGAGCAACTCCCCTCGACTCAAGCGGTCGAGACAGGCTCATTGGTGTTAACGGTGGGGACGCTACTCTATCTTCGTTCCTTTCGACCAATCGTTGAGCAACGGCTCTGTGGTTTCGTGAAGGCATAGAGAAGCTTCGGTTATAGGCGCCGAGTGGAGGAACCGGAAGAGGCGAGGCCACGATGTTGGTGGTGGAAGGAGGAGCAACAGGAAGAGTAGTGTTGTTTCTTTCTTGATTCCATCCGGTTAGAGGCGCCGAGTGACCAACCAGACCGGGGGATTTGGCTCGTCTTGGCGGTGGTGCAAAGTGGCCCGGTGGTCTTGGAAGCTCGTGAAGCTCGTTGAGCCTCGGGGAAGAAGAAGAAGCAGGAGGAGGTGAAGCGGTAGGGGAGACTCTCGGAGAAGATGATGAATGAAGATGAGGTTGGGGTACAGGAGGAGTTGGCAAAGGACGAAACGCGCCTGAGGAAATGTCGGTGGTTGTGACCGGTTTCGTTGAGGACGGTTTGAGCGGACCGGAAAATGCATGTCTCACTGCTGCTTGCTGTTGTTGATGATGAAGTGTGTCTGTTGTAGAAGGGCGAGGAAGGCGGACGTAGAGGCTGTTGTTTTCTCCGCTTTTTATTGGTTCTAAAGGAGACGAGTGCCATATATTTCCGGCGCTGGAGTTTGATGGCCTCGGGTTTAAAGCTTGGGAAGCTGGTTTTGAGTACCTTGAATCGTTTGGTGTTGGTAATACGTAAGCATTGGAAGATGGATTCGTCTGTCTCAGCCTTTCTGATAAATCGGGTTTCTTTTCCGGGAACAACGGAGCTGAATGGCTGGTCATTCTGTGCTCGCGGGTTGAAATCGGGTACTCTTCTCTGTGATCAGCATTTACCTAGAATGACCAGTGAAACTATCGCAGTTGAGAAAATTTTGTTACAAAAATATGTCAAATGGTTGAAGAAGAAAGATCAAAGGAAATGACACATACAGCTGCTGCTCTTGTAGCAGAAAGACGAGGAAACGAGAGGTCTGAATCGTCCATCTGGAGGAAAACAGAATAGCATAAGATTATTTCGCCTGAGTCATGTTCTTTGTCATTTTTAAAAGTTGGACTTACCTTCATTGAGCCCCATGGTGTAGAGAGAGAAGCAGCTTCGACCCTCTGTTCATTTTCTCTGTAAGCAAAACTGGGTTCTCCTTCTCTGTTATATTGGCCATCACTATCATCCTCACTAGCTTCCACTTCGTTCTCATGAACAGAGAGATCACAGTCAATGTGTTGATTCTCTGCAGAAACTCGTACGTGATGCTCTACTGCCTCAAGCGATTTCATTCCAGTGTAAAACAGACGCATCTATAAGCATCATAAGAGAGAAAAAGTAAAAAACACATAGGAAGAAGACCAAATTTCCATGAGAAATGCATTACAGAAATTGAGTTTGATCTTTACCTGAGCAGTGTGGTGACGCACTGCTTGTGTGAGGAGACTACGAGCTTGTCCTTCTTTAAGAGATTTTAACCGGAAAATGTACATCGTTGCTTCGTCATGAAACTCATTGTAAGCAGGTCGAGACTCGGGAGGAATATGTCTCTCTCCTTTACTGCTTTTAGCCCTTCCTTTATCTTTCACAAGCGCCATCTCAAAAACATTTCTGAGAAGTTTACAGGTTAAGAAGTTGTTTAAGACAGAGTTTATCAAACTATGAATTAAAAAAATCAGTAGTGAAAACTAACAAACCTCTTCTCGTCGCATTGTTGCTTCATATCCTGCTCATTTATTAAAATAGAAAAGGATGAGTAAGAAAAGTAAAGAGTTTATTGAATACAAGAGTAGCAAAATGTGGTATACCTCAACGGTGCTGAGGTCCTTGAGAAGCGACTCTGTTGGGGACGTAATCGTCTTCATTACATGACTACGCTGAAGAGTAAAAACAGTAACAAAGTAAAATTTTCCATAAACCAGAGATTTTGCAGATTTTATGTTTGCAACAAACAACTTACATATGTGTCAAGAAGTCTTTGGAGCTCAAACTGAACTTTACTCAACATAAACAAGATTCTACCTACATTATAAAAAACAATGTTACAATACAGCATATCATACATACATAGGAAAGTAAAATTCTATAGTGTAGGATAATCTTTAGCGCTTACTACTTTCTTCGTCGTTATGAGGAGCGATTTGCTCCAAACAAGAACCCATCTCTCCCAATGACTCAGAGAACTCTGAAATTTCCCAAGTATAAACAATAAAAGTTAAAAGAATGTTTTTTTATTATGTATATGAGAATACCTAAACACAATTAGCATATTGTATATGAAATGGAATGCTAATTTACCAAAAGCGCTATTTGCAGTGGCAGCAGCTGCAGCGAGTAGTGTATCGTAGCATTTTCTCATGTCTTGCATATCCTGAGATCCACATAGAGTAATGTCTGAAGATTATTATCATAACTATCCAAAATTAAAATTCATGAAACTATCAATCAGCTAATAAATTAGGTTTAGACACCCCCAAAATCTCATATCTAAGTGATCGAGAGAGTTTCTATATTTGTACTTCCAACTCCTGCGAACGAAACGGAGACAAATAGTTCCAATCTCCGGAAAAGCATTTTTCCGGCCAATTAGCATCAGAAACTCGATCGAACAACGAAGAATTTTCCAGACTATCTACCCAAAACCATAAACCCTACTAAAATCTCCACGATTCCGCAAAGAAACCCAAGTTCGTGAGAGAAAAATTTGCGATAATTTCGAAATTAATAAAGCAGGGGGGTTTTACCTTCCCGGCTCGAGCGAGTTCGTCAATTTGTGCCGTAGCCACGAGCTCTCCTTTTTCCTTCGCATCGACCTTATGCGATGTTAATTTCCTTAACCTCTCAATCGAAGCTCTCATCGTATTTTACCCACGAATTGAAATCACGTCAAACTACTTATGAAATTTCCAGTCACAGTTAAAAGAAAAATCCTCTGAGAAATCGGAGATTATATCCCTCCTCGACCTCGGGATCGAAATTTTCAAACAAGTGAGAAGAGGTAAGATGATAGAGGCTAAATCGGAGAAACGAATAAAGAGAAGAAAGAGTGAGATTCAAGTATCGTCCGATGTGTTCAACGACATTGAAGGAGGAAGAACAAACAAAAAAAAAAAGAAAGACCAAAAATATTTCGTCTTCTAAAAAGTTTTGGTCAAAAAAAAACAGATCGAAACAGAGAGAGACGGAGACGGAACCCAGATAACAGCAAGAGGAATGATCCAACGGCGCAAATCTCTCGTTATGATTGTATACGAGTTAGATGAAAGGACACGTGGCGAGATCGTAACGGATAAAAGAGGGAATGGGAAGAAGAGTCAAAAGTCAAAGATTGATGACAATGAAAGAAAGGGATTATCATTATTTGGGTTTGACCCGCCAGTGGGAGGGTCAAACATTTCTTCCCTTTTTTTGACAAGTAATTAATTGTTTCTTTTGAATTACACAAGTGTATTTAATTAGATCATATATTAATTATCCGGAGTTGATTCAATTATGGAAGATTAAATAAACTTCAGCACGACGGAACACAAAACAACTTTAAGAACAATGTGCTTATGAGAAGAAAAAACAACTAAGTTCTACAATAAACATAGTTCTACATTTATGACAAAAAAAAAACTAGGTTCTACAATAAACATGGTTTTACTTCTACGATGCTTGATACATTTAATTAAGCGATCTCTTTAATTTATAGGTGTATTCTTGTATATAAATCACCAAGCTTGTACATCACACAAATGTAAATTTTTATAAGGAAAATTTCAGTAATACATTAGATTACAAAGGATCTCATAAAATCATATAATATATAATATAGGTGGAAATCATATAAATGATTGTAATTTTACGATGGATAAGTAATAACCCGAATTTTTATCTGACCCGAAACCATATCGTGAAGCTTGTACAATACAATCTTCAAGTGTTTTAAAGTTATACAAACTTAGACCCCAAGGTGATTAGAAGACTTATCCAGTTTTATTTATCTGACCCGAAACCATATCGTATAGTAAGTAAGGTTCGACACTCCTACACTAAATGGCCCATGATGAACCGAAATATTTGGTTTATCACCAAATAATGTTTATCTCTATTAGTTAGCTAAGATCATGTTACAACATAATTTATTAGAATGTAGATTGTATATAGTATACATTCATGTAGCTAGATACTGGGCTCGGTTAAGGGCTCTGGAATTGTCTGGTTTATATTCTTATTTAAGATTGTAATTGACCGGTTTATTCTGGTCTACTGAGCTTGTTCAGCATATATAGTTTGTAACAAACACTTTTACAGAATAGTGAGAAATTGAGTTTTTCATAACAAATTCTCTTTGGAAATCGATTAACTATCAGAGACAATTTCTGCTCGATTTTCTCTGAGTACTACTCTTCGATTCAATAGAGGAAGCGTGAATCATACGGTATTTAACAGCAACACGCATATCATTCTCCGATGAAACGATGGTAGGTCACTTTTTTCCTTGTACTATATTTTAGGGTTTTCTTAAACTTTAATCTCCAAAGCTCAAAACCAACTCATGTCTTTTGTTTTTCGAATTTTTAACGTTTTGACAGCAAAACAAATGATGAGAGTATGAGAAATCAAGATGTTGTGGATGCGGACAGGATGAGTGAGTTACCTGAGGCCTTGCTCCTACAGATATTGTGTCTACTTCCTATGAAAGATGCCATAGCCACAAGTGCTTTGTCTAAGCAATGGCAGTCTCTTTGGAAGATGATGCCTAAACTCAAGTTTGACTATCGAGATCACAAACATGAGCTAGGGACGTTTTCAAATAATGTTTGCACGACTCTGCTTTCTCACACGGCTCCGGTTATACAGAGTTAGCATTTCAATGTTCGACTAGATAGATGTAATGCAATGGATACTGGGATCTTGATGCATTTGGACTCCATGTTCGTAAACTGGTACTAGAAGTCGAGTACCAATCTGGGCAAATTTACAGATTTCCTAGAACCTTGTATAACTTTAAAACACTAGAGACTTTGCAACTCAGGTTTAACGTTCTTATAAATGTCCCTTCTACAGTTTTTCTTACATCCCTTAGAACTCTGCACCTTCACTATGTGAACTACAAGGACTTTAAATCAGTTCTTAACCTTTTGTCTGGATGTCCTAACCTTAAAACTCTGTCGGTGCATCGATATCCATGTAGCAACACCGTAAAGACTTTCACTATTGCGGTGCCATCTTTACAGAGGCTATCAATTTATAATAGCAATGGTGGACAACAAGATTGGGGCTATGTGATAAATGCTACTTCATTGAAATACTTGAAGATTAAAGGGATTTGCGGTCTTGGGTTTTGTCTGATTGAGAATGTGACAGAGCTCGTGGAGGCAAATATCACTGATGTCTCTGATATTTTCAACGAGAATCTTGTAGGATCTCTAACTTCAGTCAAACGTCTTTCCTTGAGAATATCGCCCTTGAAGGTAAATTTTAATAAGGTTTTCTTGCAATTAATTACATTGCTTTTGTACTAATACTAATACTTCATTCATAGGTTAAGTTTCCTACGGACAATGTATTCTATCAGCTGGTGCATTTGGAGCTACATGCATGTAAAGAAGCGTGGTTTAATCTACTTACCCTCATGCTCGTTAGTTCTCCTAAATTGCAAGTCCTCAAGCTCATCAATGTAAGCAATTGTTCATCTGTCATCCATTTTTTCAAATCGGTTTTAGGTTTTAACGCTGATCTAATAATTAATTACGTCTATTGTGTTTTCTCTCACACTGGTGTCAGCAATGGCGTTGTGAAAAAAAACGTGTTGCTCGTGGGGAATGGAATCAACCAAATAATGTTTCTGAATGCTTGTTGTTTCATCTTGAGGCATTTATGTGGAAAGGTTACAAATGGCAACGAGAAGATGAGAAGGAAGTGGCGAAATACATTATAGGGAACACAAAACGTTTGAAGAGAGCAACTTTCTCCTCAAGACGCATCAAGCCTAGTGAGAGAGTTGAGGTGGTCAAGGAGTTGGAAAGTGTGGTCAGGGCTTCAAATTCATGTAAGCTTGTGTTCGAATGAAGAATATGTATTAGGAGAGTCTTTGCCGGCTTGTTGTCACATGTAACTTTCACTGTGGTCTTAATTCAACCGGTTTAAAAGGGATTTATATTTGTCTTGGATGTTGTGTTCGATCTACGTTTAAACTTTTGAGAATTATGTGAGAAAAAAAAAAGAACTAGCTCAGAGTGATACAAATTCAATCTTGTGGTTTGAGATTTTGATGGAGCTGTAGCTTGTTGGCATTTGGATGATTTTTGCATATCCTAGCTTCTTTTGTCTTCTTGGTTTTCATCGAATAAGGTATATAGATTTTTGGTCCGACCAATGAATTCTCGTTTTGTGAACAATACATGAATACGGAGTGTAATTATGGTTTGCGATAGTGTTATCCATGTGTCATATATATGCACCAGATTCAAATCTGCATGTGTCATAGCCCTTTAATTAACCGCGTTTAGACAACGATTCTTAATAAGAAGCTGCGGTAGAAATTAGAGTTGGAGGGATTAGACGCTTCTTGACTTGATATTGTTAAACATTCTTTTAATCTTCATACCCACTGCTTCTTGTCACATATTTTACATAGTATAAAGATATTTTGGTGTATAATTGTTTATATTTACTAACGACTTTGCTTATATAATAGTTCTAGTTTGTGGTGTAACTGATTTATGATCATATATAGTAAAGTTGTTTCATACTCGAACGCAAAAACAAAATACTGCAAGCAATGTGAAGTTTATACCCGAATATGTGATTGCATTTACTTTACAATACCTTGCTTTCGTCTGTTATGCACTTGTTCCGTGGCAGATCATCAACGAGGAGGTCTACACATATCATATTTGTATCAATATCAATTAAATCTAGTTTAGTTTCTACCGAAAAAAAAATATAGTTTTAAGAGTAAACAAACGAACTTAACTGTCATCATTTTAAACTGACGGATATGGTATTTTCTGTAACAATTTCATACAACACGACTTTTTGAAGGAAAAACACGATTTGAGTCCTGCGTAATAAGAAGCAAATTGTTCTTTTGATCTCACTTAATTGTACTCCCTCCGTTTCATATGTCATTTCTGACACACAGATTAAAAAATTAAGAAAATATACAAATATACTCTTAATTAATATATTTTTATAACATTTAATTACAAAGACTATTATCTTTAAATGAAGAATAAAACAAGAAATAAGAGTAAAAAGTTACATTAAAAATGGAGAATGATATTCTTTTTTAAACAAAAAATGAAATCTAAAACGATACTTATAATGATACAGAGGTTTTAAAAAAGATGAAATCTAAAATGACACTTATAATGATACGGAGGGAATAATATTTTAAAAGACAAAAACAATTTATGTTAAACAGAGGTTATTTTTTTTAACAAAGGAAAACAGAGGTTACAGAACCATTAATGAACGAGACTGAGAGGAAGGAGAAGCAGAGCAATCGGCGCATTAATGCCGAAAACAAATGCCATTAATTTTTTTTTCTTTCACCTTCTTCTCCCTCTCCTCCTACATTTATTGCTCTCTCTCTCTCTCTCCCTCTCTCTGCCTCTCTTCTCTTTTTTTTGTTCTACGTGCAATCCAGAGCATTGAATTCATTGTCAGGCCGTAAATTTTCAAAAACTCTCAAAAAGTCAAGGAACACGACGAACATACAGAAACCCATGACCGATTTACCAATTTCTCTAATCTATGGTCAAATCCTCAACATGGGTTAATCTAAAGACACAACCTTTAATCATGGGTTCGATCTGATTTCGCCGTCTAATCAAGATTTTGATTCTAATCCCAACTCGCTTATCTCACATCTTAGTGTTTCTTCTCTTGCCCTCCAATTCCCAGTGACCTTGAAGCAGAACAATGATTAAGGGATGTGGTGGATTCATTGAACGGTGATGGTGCCGATGGAGTTTCACGGGTAGGGTTGGGTTTTGGTGGAGGAGCTGAACAAACTGGAATCACTGATCTAATATGAACAGCTGGAGCCAGTTTCTGATGGTTTAAGCCTCCTGCAGACATTCCGGAAATCGGCCAAAGCTTACTGTAACAGTTTCTTTCCACTGATGATGATGATGATGATGATGATGATGGATTAGTAGACAAAGAAAACGATTTGATCATTATCTCTGGTTTAATGACATCTGAGCTCTGTTTCTTCCCTGCATATTCTTGAGTCTTCTCTAGCAGTGATTTAACTTTGGATTGTTGTTGTTGGAGATTTGTTCTTGAAGGCCAGAATCTCGGTGGTAGTGTTTGGTGATGTTTCAATGATGATGATGGTGATGAAGCTTCATTGGTATACAGATTGATCAATCTGAGTTTCTCACACAACAAGTCTCTTGTGGTTGTTGTGTCTTGGCGAATTGTTCTTCTTCTTGACTGATTTGGTTCTCTTCGTCTCATTTCTTTGGGTCTAAATCTTGAGAGGACTCTTGCAACTATCTCTTGTTCTTTCTCTTCACCTCTTTTCTCTCCAAGGAAGTCCAAGCTTGGCACTGTGCAGCAACAGTTTGAAAATCAGAGAAACAAGATTGGATTTATAAAGTTTCAAATGGAATTAAAAGTTTGACATTGGAGGTGTAGTTTTAGCTCACTTTTTCTCAAGGAGAACCAGGCTGCAATGGCGGCATTCTTCTCAGCTTGCTTCTTAGTCTTTGCTGATTCTCCATGAAAAATCATTCCAGCAAGCTCCACAGTGCAAGAGAATGTTGGGATGTGACCAGGTCCTGATCTCACACTTGTGTAAACCGGTAGATCAAGACCCGCTCTATGTGCTGTCTCTTGAAGAAGATTCTTGTAGACACCAGTCTCATCCTTAGAGAACAAACCAAACAAAAAAGGGACAAAACATCATCAGATTTTGAAAAATATGATGAAGGATGAGAAGAACTTTGCATGTTTTGAGGAAATACTTACAAGAACTCTAGCTGTTAGAGACTTTGAAGGGCCCTTGGAAGAGAGAGCATTTAGGGCAACTTCAGCAGCTGAATGCTCAGCTTGTCTGAGAGTGGAACAATAAGTGGGGCTTTCAAATATTTCACCATTGAAGTTCACAGAAGCTTTGAATCTTGGAGCGTGATCTGGTCCTTCTCTTGTGCAAGTATATGATGGGAGGTTGAAACAGCTTCTCTGTGCAAGCTCTTGCAGCTGATTCTTATACATTTGTTATCTCTGGCTGTGACAAAAGCAGAGAGATTGAGAATTTGAGAACAAGAGGAAAGAGTAGTAAAAAACTCTCAATGGGAAAAACACAAAATGATACCCAACTCTATCCCTGAAATCGAGAATCTATCAAGGGGTTTAACAAGAAGACAAAGGAAACCCACCTGCTAAAATTGGCATTTAAGATTTGGTGTCTCTCTATAATTAAACAGAAGAGCTTGTCTCTATCATGTGATGGACTTAAGGCTCTACAGTGTTCGAGAGAAAGAGAAGTCGCAAAATTGCAAGAAATCCACTTGTAAAATTGCAATTGGAAGGTTTTTGGTGTAATGAGTGTCTGAATGAGAAAAGCTTGGGGCTCTGATGTTAAAAGGTGAATTTAGACGACAGACAGAGATAAAGATGAAAAGAATAGCTTCAGAGGTTTTAGAGCTCTCTCACATGGTGGTTTCTATCACAACTAAGGTTCCTCATTAAGAGGAGCAGAGGCCTACTAAATGATAACAGTGACATTTCAATTGAACTATGGTCCATGTTATATGTATATACATAATATGTCTGTGTATATAACACTGATGAAAATCTTATCGATTCCCTTTAAGATACTGTCTTTATGATCTGATGTTTGTGTGAAAGCTTAGATTTTTTTTTTCATGAAATTAATTTTGTCTCCATAATTCAAGGCTTTAATTATACATTTGAACATTTTATTGACTGTCTTTGACTCAGCAGAGACCTTAACACACTCTTCTTCTGTAACCTTGTCTTATCAGGGAAAATAAGAATAAAAAATTTAGGAGGAGCATCAGTAGGGTTCTTACGTATTAATTGCAGAGCCATGCCTCAATGAACAACTATAAAAAAAATGGTCTGTCTTCAGGTCCACATGTCTTGATAATTCAGTTTCAATGATAACAGAGAAACTTTTTTTTTGTTTTTATTTACAGTAAAACAAAGAGCTCTGGTTAAATGTATGAACACAACTAAAAAAGAACTGTTTGAAAAATCCAGAATAAGCTCACACATACAAACAACACACCAATTCAACCTTTTTGCATACCACTAGAAAGCCAACCAAACCCAACACAAACACTTTCCACATTAAGAACATTTCCTCCACAAACCTTAAGCTTGCATAACAACACTGATTTTTAAGCTGAATAATCCAAAAAAAAAAAACATTTTAGAAAAAGAAAACACCCCTCAGATTTTCTCTAAACCTGTATTCACCATACTGAACTTCGGCTCTGTTCTTTCTTCTTTCCGTGCTAAACCGTGTATCCATGACTATGTAGGCCGGTTCTCAGTCACTAAACCGCTTCCGCTGCTGCTTCCTCCACCGTTTTGGTTCTGTTCTCCTACTCTGGCCGCTAAGGCCATAACTTCTGGTGACATATCCCAGCTTCCACTTTTCCTTCCCCAGCTTGAGCGTCTCGGGTGCATAGCAGGCCTATCACTTTGTTCATCAACCGTTGTCCTAATGTCTGGAGATAGCTCGCCTAACTCCCCATCCTTAACATGTAACCGTTCATTGTTACCATGTTTACCGTCACCATGTTCTGACATTGCTGGACCCATGTCTGCCCAAACAGCCTTCCTTCCCATTTCAATGTCATCATTGGCTTTACCCATGTTTGGACTCATAAAACCGCCTGCTACAGACCTAGGAGGCAATGGAGGTTCACGCTGGACCATAGCTCTAAAGTCGTTCTTTGAAGGAGGGATTGCGGAACAAAATGTTTCTTTGAAGTTATTAACCACTCCCTTGTTATGTGGATTGCTTCGCCGATCATATCTGTATCGGAAATTCTCATATGTAGTCTGCAAGGACAAAGGAGAGTCAACTGTTACAACGGTTTCGTGATTTTATTTCTAAAAGAGGATGAGGATTGGATTTGTAGCAAATAGCAATATACCTGGTTTGTGCTGATGAGATATAGATGGAAAGCTGTTAAGCCACCAACAAACCACATCGATATGAATGTGTAGATTATCAGAACAATAGAGGCAGGAGTTTTGAGCATTGCCTTCCAAATGGTTGTATGCTCTGCTTCTGTTATCTTCCTTATATAGACCCAGCAGAAGGCAAACACATATATACAGAGAAGGGTCGTGGAGAAGACAAACATGAAGAAGAATCGGTAGTTCCTCTGCAACAACCATGAGAATATGAAATGAGCTTTTTGGAACAATGGTTTATGCGGATGGTTTAAGTTTAAGGATCCTTTCAGTTGGATTGTGACTTACCAGTCCAATACATTGGCCAACCCAAGGGCAGTGATGGTCAAACCTTTCAACGCAGTTATTGCAAATTGAGCAATGCGAACAGCGAGGCGGCCTATACAGCATACAAGTGTCACAGTACTTGACCTTAAATATAATCCCATTAACCTCTACTTCCTTAATCCGAGGCAGTCGCAACTGCGGAGTCTGGCCAGCTCCTGCATCCATGTTGCCATCAAGGGCTTCAGGCTCTGGAGGATGAGCATTTCTCGGGATGATTCCTGGATCTCTTCCGGATGTAAGCAGCAGAAGTACTAAATCCTGAGGAAAGAAGTTGCAAGAATAAAAAGAAAATCGTAGATAGAAAAGAAATTTAAACCATACATTTATCATTATGGGCATGGCAGTCATTAGAACATCTGCAATGCAAAGCGAAAAACAGTACTTACATAAATGGTGAACACGACGGCGACAGCTACTATTGATACTCCCCAGCTATCAGAGAAGTCATCCATTAGCTTCCTCGCGACAAAGATGCAGAAAATTGTGACAGGGACAGCAATGAGACATATTGTCAGCGCCAGTGATCTTACATCTGGCCCGAATACAAATCTTCCTTGAAGAAAGAATATCTGAAAAACGGGAAAAAGAGTAAAGTTCATCAAAATCGGAGGAAGAAACTTAAAACTCCATTAGAGAAAGCATGTCCCGTGAGCTATTCCCCAGTGACTGATGAATTCAGTTGATCACAGAACCATTGTATTAACCACTAGAATTTAATATCTATCCCAACTATTCAACAGAGAAAACCAAGGACAACAAGTTTTTGAATATCATTCCAATATCGAAAAATGATAGAAGTCTGCAATCAATTCGTAGGTGAAAACATTGAAGAAGCAGTTAGAGCCTTTAGATAATGTTGTGAAGCTAAAGGGAGTACAAAAGAGAAGGTTATTCAAGAAAAGCCCTATAAAGTAGGCATCAGCTATATAATCTCAAAATTCCAAACTGTTATCCAAAGTAACTCAATCTATCATTTAACTTATACTAGATACTAGTAATAAGCATATCAATATATAAAGTTAAAATGCCTTGTTTAGCTTAAAGACATTCAAAGGGTTATCACCTCAAGAGCTTATGCCAGCAAGGGAAACCTTTGAAAACGACATCACAATCTAGGGTTCGGAATAAACTACTTCTTAGATGATTCTCCTAAGAGCAAGTTCCAATTTGTACTAGGTCGAGCTAATCTGATTCTCACTAACGGGGAAAATTCGTAGTTAATAGAATAGAAACAACTAATCAAACACACACAGAGGAAGAGTAATCAAGCAACTAGCTCGAGAATAACAGAAACAATAAGATGGGAAAATGTAAAAAAAAAAAAAAAAAAACGCAACTCAAAGAAGTTGAAGCAAAAACTCACATTGCTGCCTTTCCAAGTCTGGTAAACCCTTAAATCGCCGTTGGATCCCGAATCGGATCGCTGAGGCGGAGGCACTACATACATCTCTCAAACCTCAATTTCTCTATCACTCTTTATCTCGACGGCGTCACCAAGAGCTGAGCTTCGAAAATCCGTTTCCTCAGAAGTAAAAAAAAAAGCAAAAATGGAAACACAAAGGAGAAGAAGAAGAAGAAGAATATCAGGTAAGAAGGAAGAGTAGTCCCCGGCGAAAGGATTCTTCAGATTCCGGCGAAGTAAGCCGACAAGGGCACGAGTAAGCCAGCGAAAAAGAAGGGTTTTTTTTTTGGTTTTGCCCAAATTTCAATGGTGGGTTCCCTCCCCCACTTTTTTTTTCTCCTCTTCTTCTTCTCTTATTTTTTTTTTTTTTTAAAAAGACTAAAAGAGAAAGAAACTGTGACTGTTAGCTACTGTGACCGTCGCTTTAGCCTATCTTTCTTATTTTGACAGCCTAATGAGAATAAGAACTAACATGACGTGTCATCAAGTCATTGGATTGTTACTTAGTAAAACGCAGTCAATTGCGTCTATGGGGCCCAATGCTGTGCCACTCGCCATAGTCATTTTCCTTTTGATTTATTTAGAAGAACTTTAACAAAAATTTGCAATGAAAATTGAAAATCCTTTTGTTCGATTTGATAAAAAAAACTATTTATATTAATAGTGATTATGAAAGTTAAATTTTAGAAATTAAGAATGTTATCATTTGAATCTCAAGAGAAAAAAAGGTGGAAAGTAAAAATGATGACAGCCAAAAAAAGATATGCAAGATGGGTTATGATGGTCTCACCTTCTGTACAAAACATTACAATATTTTTTTGGCCTTGAAATCTGAATTATCCCAAGTGGACCTAACAATATGTTCATTATTCTTTATAAATTTGAAATATAAAAAAAAACACTTACGGTTTGGGAGTATCAAAAAATACAACCATGTTAAAATTTTAAACTACAAAAAAAAAAATATATATATATATATATATATATTTCTGAATTGTTATGATGTTCACACGGAAGGTTTAGCCCGATTCCATGTGGTTTATGATAATTTGATACCTTTATATGTAATTTTATATTCAACCAATGCAAAAATGTGAGCTTTCTCGGCATGAAACTCTTATTCAAAAGTTCACATTTCATAATGTTTCCGCAAAAGTCATTTTCCAAAACCATTCTACATATTTCAATTCGGGATAAATCCTAAATCACACGATGACATAAACAGAGAAGAACTAAAGAGCTGGGACAATCTGAATTTTAAAAAAGGTTGAGAGAAAAATTGTCAACTTTATGAATCTTTGAAGGTTTTTTTGCTTAGTCAAGCAAAAGAAGAATAAGAAAATTCAAAATTTTAACACATTTTGATTTTAAGGAGTCGGCGTTGTTGGCTCACTGTTCTTCATCCGTAACGCTCTCAAAGTCTCAGCCCAAGTCTTAGCCTCAGCGACGGCTCTCTCTCTATCATTTCCTTCTTCCTCTTCTTCCTCCTCTATTTCGTTAAACTTCAAAATACTAGTTGTCTCCTTCGGAGAAACCACTCTCTTCCCCGGATTTCCTCCTCGTCCACCTCCATTGCTCTTTTTCTTCTGTTCACTCGTTGTGTGCTCACCTAACTGATACAGTATGTGATTCAGAGCGAGCAATACTTCACTGATCGTTGGTCTAGCGTTTGCGTTTTCTCTCAAGCACATAAACGCCACTTCAAGAGCATATTTCACAGTTGGCTCGAACCCATCTTGTATCGTTAACACTGGATCAAGAATCTGCTTTATGTTTTTATCCCTGAACTGTCTTGCCTGTCAAAAACCAAACAAAGAAGGTCATCATCAAAACAATCATCACATGAATGAGTCATGATAAAGACTCATATTTCTCTTAAAGAAAGATCAGATTCAGAGCATTTACCCAATTCACAAGTAAACGGTTTGAACCCATGCATGAGTCCACAATAGCTTTGCGTCCACTGATAAGCTCCAACAACACAACTCCAAAGCTATAAATATCAGATTTAAGCGTCAGTTTCCCGGTGTTTGCATACTCGGGTGCACAATACCCGTGAGTTCCCATAACTCTTGTAGAGACATGAGTCATATCTTCACTCGGACCAAACTTGGCAAGTCCAAAATCAGACAGCTTCGGGTTATAGCCATGATCTAGCAATATGTTTGCAGTTTTCAAGTCTCTGTAGATCACAGGAGGTTTTGCTACATTGTGAAGATGCTCTATCCCTTTAGCTGCTCCTGCTGCTATCTTTATCCTCGTGTTCCAATCTAAAATCTCTGTTTCAGATTTGAAATCTGACAACCAATACAAAACACACGAAAACTTAGAATTCTCAAGATTTACACTTTATTATGAGTCTTGAGGTATAGTGTTTTTGTTTTACTGTGGAGATGATCTTCTACAGATCCATGAGGCATGTATTCATAGACGAGGAGTCTTTGATCTCCTTCAGCGCAATAGCCAATCAATCTCACGAGGTTTTCGTGGCGCAGGAGCGAGAGCATTAGGACTTCCACAAGAAACTCTTTGTCTCCTTGAAGACCACCCGTATCAAGCATTTTAACAGCCACAATCTTGATTTTAGACCCAACAACAAAACAAAACATAAACAAAACAGGCAGTTTCATCAGAGATTAATTATGGATTTGATTAATCAACCAAAGATAAGGTTGTTTAATTTTTTTTGCTAGTTACCTGTTCAGTCTTTTCTAGAGTTCCTTTAAACACAGCACCAAATCCACCTCGTCCGATCAAAGATTCTGTCCTGAAGTTGTTTGTTGCGGTGGCAAGTTCTCGGTATGTGAAAATTTGAGTATCGATCGCATAACTTCTCCGTTTCTCTGAACCTGATGAAGCACTTGCTGGTGGTTTAGCTACAAAGAAACACAACAACAAAATGATCAGAGTCTGTAACCACACGTTTATTGGATCAAATGGATTAGAGAGACTTTGATCAAGCAAACAAACAAATCTTTGACCTATAAAACACAAACCCTAAACAAAGATTTATATCATCCATATACATTGACCAAAACTCTCTGTATCATTTTACTTGATAAGCAATTCAGAAGAAAAAGGAAGACTTTTTGAGCAAGATTCACTGAAACAAATTGGAAAATCGAATAACTATACAATCTCAAACAATGGAGAAAATGATCAGAGAGAGAGTGAGAGGAACCAGAGGACGATGAAGGGTCAGGTCTGCATTTCTGATCAGCAATGCCTTTGCCTTTTTGCTTCTGCTTTTGCGTCAATGTTGGTTTCGTTCTCAGCCCAAAACACAAGCAACAAACCATGTTTCCTTCAATTACGATCGTTTCGATTTTTACCCTTTTTGGTGTCACTCAGAAACTAGCGACACACACACACACAGAGACACACTCTGCTTTATCAGAAAATTGGGATCAGAGACGATAATGACAGAGAATTAAAAGGGGTTTTGTAATAGAATCGCAAAACACGCAAAAAGATGAAAGATTTCGAAGGTTTTAATTGATTGAGGAATCAGACAAAACCCCGGCAAGAAAAAGACAAAACACGATCAACAGAGATTCGAATCCTAGGAACAATTCTCGATCAAATCGATGTCAGAACTACAGGGTGAAAAAAGAGGTGTAACACTCTAGAGAATACGGAAAGCCATGAAGAGAAAATTGTGTGGTTTAGACGTCGAAAAGGGGAGAAGATTATCGATTAAAACGAGGGTTTAGAAAAATTGGGGGCTAAGAGAAGACGATTAAAGATAAAGGTGGGGATATGAAAGGTTTCAAAGGGTTTTCTTCAGGAAGGAAAGACACGTAATCCACAGAGAAAGAGCATGGGGTGCACAAAATGGTACGTTACACCAATTGCTTCTTTCCTAAGTTCCTAAAACAGAAGAAAAAAACATATTATATTTTTGTGGAAATTAAATTGAATTTAAATACTCTTTTTAGGGTAATTTACTACGATATTAATTCTTGTTAGAAAGTTTATCATCCTTGACAGTCCAGCATTACGCTTTGTGATATCTTTTGAATTGGTTGAAAAAATTTATTTTAAATATACTAGGGATTATCCCGCGTTTTTTTGCTAATCGTGCGTTATACGTAAAGTATAATAAATCCGAAATGTAATTATATAATAAAAATTTAAAGAAAATCAAAATGTTAAAAATATTGGGAGAAAAATAAAATACTATAAAAAATTTTGAGAGATTTTTATCACGAGCACAAAATAATAAACTGCAAGCTAAAAGTCCAGAAAATCTTAAGGGACCATAATTTTCAATATAGGATATATATATACAATTTTCCCTAATTTTTATTTATTTATATGGCTAGTCAAAATGATCTCACATTTTAAATCAAAGAGAATTCGATGAGTTAAAAACTCGAACACTACAATGACCTTACAAGATTAGTTGAACCATGGTCCGGATCAACTCTAATTAAAAAAAAAAAAGTGAACTTGCTATACTACAAAATTGTAAGCGTGGTGTTTCAGTAAAAATATTTTAAACAAAAATTTAATTTTAACCTTTTTTAGTGTATTAATTAGAAAGAGAAAATTGTTGTGTGTATTAATAAGGGTAGTGTAGAATTTTACTAATTTTCTTAATATGTGTGAAATATGTCAAAATGACACTAAACAAAGGAAGATGAAATAAACAATAATTATTAGTTTCAACCTTAAATATAACAAGTGCTAGTTTTATAAAGCAAAATTACAGTAAGTCAGTAACTAATAGTAACTACAATGAGAACATTACATACATAATTTGTTTTGTCCATTTAAACTCTTAGTCTCTCACCCAAACACCTACCGTGCAATTTAAATAGCAAATTTAGAAAGACGAGACGGATAAGCAAGGAAGATAACAATCTGCATCGTTGTAATAAATCAAAGTTTTACAAATCAGGAATCAAATACAGTATATTAGGAAAAGTTTGATTTCATCGAGATAATGTCATCTTTAATGCCTGAAGACAGCTTTATTCCTCTCTTTGCACCTAGCTAACCTCATCTTTAATCCACTTTATTTCTAAATAACATCAAAATTCAAACTTATGACTTATGAGCTGGGTTTACTGGATTTTGATATAATTAGTTGGGTTTGGGTCTAGATATGGTAAATGCCCGGTTCAATTCAAGAAAGGGAAAACAAATTGAAGACGAAGAATTACAATACGTCACCAAACGTTCTAACTTCTGAGCTAAGTTTACTAGATTTCGGTTTGGTTAGTTAGGCTATTATTCAGTTATTTACACATTGTAAATAAGCCAATTCAATTCAAGAAGCGAAAACAAATCTGAGGAACAAAACCAGTGACCACATTAGACGAAGAGGCCGAATCATAATATTTTATGAAGTCACGAAAACGTTCCTGCTTCTGAAATGGATTTACTAGATTTCATTTCGGTTTGGATCTGGTTACTTAGACATGGTAAAAAGGCCGGTTCAAATTAAGAAAGGGAAACAAATAGAAAAACAAAACCAAGAGGGTTGTTGGTTTATTAGATTTCGGTTTGTGTCCGGTTAGTTAGAAATTGTAAAAGGCTGGTTCAATCTAAGAAAGGAAAACAGAACGAGAAATAAAACCAGTGATTACTACATTAAACCAAGAGGCCAAAAAAGAATTTCAACGAGTCACTAAACGATTGTTACAGTGTTTAAGTACTCTTTCTTGGAGCTACATAAGGCATGGAACAGGTCTTCGTTAACCGTACCAATCCCGGAAAGATCAATGCCGTAAGCTGCAAGCCTACGAGCGTCCCGTGGTATTGGCGACTGCCATAAACCGTCCCACCAACCGGGAGGAGCTAGCGGCGTGAAGGCGCATTGGTTTGGCTGTTTTGGACAGCTCAATGGACCAGCGTACCGGTTCCAGACATGTCCCCAGCCCACCTGGTTCTTCAGACCATCTGCTAAAAGATTGCTCTGAAAACTACTCAGGAACGCAAAGCTCGAGTTGCTCGAACCTTCCTCTGCGCATAAATAACCAGTCAAAAAAAAAAATTTAGTAATGATAAACAGAGATACGAAACGAAGTGTGACGAAACTAAAAAAGGTCTTAACTGAGACTGTTTGCGGCGGCTAGTGCAGCAACCAACTGAGCATATGTAGTACCGACTCGTCTGTGAGCACCTGAGATCACAACGTGTTTTGCACGGCACGCGAGGAAGAAATCTACAAATGCAACCCATCTCGGTGCGGGACCCCAATCCTTGATTCTGAAATCTAACATTGGTAATCCACGGCCACGTTGAGCGATATCCCCTCGGAAAAGCTTATAGTCAAAATGCAGAACCTGCAAAAACCATTGCAACTGATTTAATTCACCGCTTATGGAACTGGAGAGAATTTTTTGAGAAGATTGATTGATACCTCAGCGATTGTGCTGATATTTGGTCCAATAGCTTTCACTACAGAAGGAGTATCAGACACTATGACCACTCTCGGTTTCGGCATGCCAAGTCTGTTAATTGCTTTCCCTAGGCAGTTTATCGCTGCACGCAGAGGTCTAACAGATCTGGAAGAAATCATTAGAGGGAAAATTTAGTCAGATAGCTCGAAACCAAAAACAAAAACAGACATGGATGTGTGTTTTTAAACATACTTGCTCATCAGCATTCTCATGTGTAGTGAAATGTCAGGATCTCCAGTCTCTCGTAGAACCCAGTCCACTGCATCTTTCACATCTTTCGTGGGAGATACGAGACTCATCATCAACTCTCCAAACACATTGGCTCGTGGTGCTGAGTTTCCTTGCTCTCCAAATAGGTCAGAAGCAGCAGCTCTCATCTCTGGATGCACATTCTTGAGGAAAAACTGAGCCGCCACAGCGTCTGTTGTGCCTTGAAACCTGGAAATATCTGGCTCAGTCAATGATTATACTTTCACAAAAAAAGATTGTATCTTTTTGTTTACCCCACTGACCATATAATAGGTTCTTCCCATTTCTTCCAATTGCTGCACAAGACGTTACTCTTGGCCGGCTTCTCAAAATCATCCATTCTCATTACAAGCCGTCTTCCGTATTTCTTCACGCAGCCTTTTTGTCGCCACAGATGTTTCACTTCACTCATTGTAAATGTAGCGTTGGAGTAAGCAATGTAATCACCGAAGGGATATTTCCCCCTGAAGACAAAAGAAAGATATATAAATCAACATAACAGAGCAACACAAACTAAAAACAAACGTAAGGGAATGAATATTAGTTCCCCCCCAAAAAATAGAGGAAAAGGATTGAGAAAGAACCAATATATGCCTGGTCTGGCCAATGATCAAGGATCTGTTCAACATTATGCTCAACGCTGCCGAAGTCAAGATCTTGTACATTTCATTTCCGAAACCTGCTTCTGCTGTTTTCCCAAGAACGTATCCATGTCGGCAAAATTGCTCCGGAGCTAGCTCACGAATCGCTGAAGCGCCTGTAAAAACCCAAGAATCAAAAATCTTGGACATTAATTTTTACAAAGTAAGGCTAATTCAAGATCTTGCTACCACTACATATGAAATTAGCCTAACACTATTCGAGTTTCGAATATAATCAAAAACTATTCTCACCGTTCATGTCAAAATGGCGACGGATAACATCTCGAACTCTGAGGCTTTGATCAACAAAACCTCCATCGAACTCGCTTCCCATCTCCTCTACCGTCGCGCACAGCCTACCACCGTCGACCTTAGATTCTCCGACGTAAGAAGAATTGCTCCACGCCGAAGTCTCCTCATCGGAGCCGGATTCCGATACAGCGTCTTCGTCGTCGTCATCTACGAAGGGCGAATTAGGATCCACTGAACGGAGCGTGAGCAACAACAAAACGAAACCGATAAAGAAAATCAAAGAGGCCAATAGAATCTTCCTCCCGAACAATCGCTTCCGTCTGATTCCACCGCGCTTCATCTCTCCCTCATCGTTTCTTTCTCCGTCGACGAAACTCTCAAGCAAAAGTGTTTCCAGTTTCTTTATCACACAGCTCTCGATGCGATCGACACGTCATTACGTGTCGGTGGCAGTTACTCCACTCTCAACGACGTCGTATCCTGCACTAGACTATAAGTAACCCATTAAACACGTAAATATACGGGCTTGGGCCTATAATGAGAGCTAAGCCCATAAATGAATAAGAAATCCCACGGTGGTCATCCACATCTACCACGACGAGAAGACGAAGATTGTTTCCAAGTTTTCTTCAACTGCTCAACTTCTCCGGCAATAGACTGTCATCAGAAAGAGAACGGCGTCGTTTTATAATCGTGATTTTCCTTCTCAATCTGTTGGTCCTCTTTTACTGCTATGTTAGCCTTACCTCGAGCCTCGTCGCGACAATAGTCTCTTGCTCCTCTGATTTCTCTCTGTAATTCCTCCTGAATCCAACCTCGCGCTCGTTTTTTTTGTTTCGTATTTGCTTTCTGCTGAAACCGGTCTCCGGTTATCTCTCGCACATTAGGGTTTATACCAGTTTTGATGTCGAAAGCCACTTTCTAGTACTGTGTCTCCACCTCCTTGTTCTATTGTTTAGTACTGGAAATTCATGAGTTTTTTCCTTGAATTTGAATTTTCCCTTAACAGTCGACTTTTTTCTCCTTGTGATTAGCAATTTCTTGAAAATGTTCTTTGTTTCTAATAATATCAGTTTCACCGTTTTTTTTTTTCCATTGCTTCGATTATGGTAAAGTGAATGAATCTAGGGTTTCTCACTTGTTTATTCTTTTGTTTCTCTCTAGGCTCGTCAACGCGCACTGGTTTTTGAGCTGGTGAAACAATGGGTAGTTCATTTAATGCTCAGATATTAGTTGAGAAGCTTGCCAAACTCAACAATTCTCAAGCAAGCATAGAGAGTATCCTTTTTCTTGTAAACTGATTTCCATTATCGGTTTCTCGTTTATTTAATTATCGGTTGTGGTAAAGCTCTGTACTTTCATTGGTTATCTGTAGTTAAATGGGTGCGTGGAAAGAACTAGACAGAACCAGTATCTAAGCCAATGAGTATAAGAGGGAAGTGTCATATTTACCTTAGCCAATCAGAGTATAGCCAACACCTCCAGGATTTCTTCTAGATATTTATTGGAGCTGTAGATTAAGATTATACAATTCATATGTTTCTTTGATTTGTGTGTCTGATATAATATCAAGGAGCAGATATGATTTTCTATACACTTTCAACTTGCTAGCTCACAGATGTTTGTGATTTTTTTTCCGTCTTTGCATTGTACACTATCCTGGTGTATCTCTCCTTGACAATATCCAGCTTTATCACATTGGTGTATCTTTCACATGAACAAGGCGAAACATGTTGTAGAAACATGGGGCAGGCAGTTTCATTGTTCCCCGCGTGAGCAACGATTGGCGTACTTGTACCTTGCGAATGACATCTTGCAGAACAGTAGGCGAAGAGGTTCAGAGTTTGTAGGTGAGTTCTGGAAAGTACTACCCGAGGCTCTTCGTGATGTGATTGAAAATGGTGATGAATTTGGCAAAAAATCTGCACGTCGATTGGTAAGTGAAGTTAACTTTTATCTACCACTTTCTCTGAATTTCTCCTTGTATTGGATTTTAATGAACATGAAAATGCCAGTTAGGCAGTTATTGAAATTATTTTAGGAATTTGATTTAAGAACAGCACTGCAAAGTATCGTAATATTCTCTTCTAGGTTAATATATGGGAAGAAAGGAAGGTTTTTGGATCTCGTGGGCAAATTCTCAAAGAAGAGCTTCTGGGAAAGCAGCCTGAAAATGGAACCAGAAACGGAAATCTTGTGCCACTTAAACTTGTAAGTCAGAGTGTCTTAGCGTAACTCTGAGTTCATTTGTTAATAAGGTCCACCTTAATGTGATCAATTTCTGCTTTGGAGTTCTTCCAAGCTAGCAACATGATCAGCTCTGTTATTTTTGCAGTCTGTTCAACAGAAACAGGCAAATGGAACTCCGCTGGAGAGAGTAGTGTCTGCTGTTGAAGCTCTTCATGGCGCTCAGATTGATGAGGATGTTATTGTTGGAAAATGTACTAATGCTGCTGGTTACCTTGAGAAAACAGCTCAGGAGGTTGAGAGGGATCTGAGTTCAGGTATCACCGTCCATTGGCTGCTACATTGCTACAGATGTGTCGATTTGCTTTTTTTATTAAGTGACAAGCTACATAGCTGCAGATTTCTACATTCATCTGTTCTAAGAACTCAACTCGTTTGGTCTATTTTTTCACAACACACCTTTTGTATTAGAACCGGAATCATAAATAGTTTTTCTACCACACGCCCTTTGTTTCCAAATAGTTTTTCCGAAATCATCCTTTATACATGGTGACTCTTACTATTATAAGCCAGATCATTTAATTGTGACTTGGTGAGTGAAAGTTTATAAGCCCCCAGTCCCCAACTAGAACCACCAGTCCGACACATTTGGTTAATTTTGGATCCTAAAGAAATTTTATTAAGTTATAATTGCTGGGATTTTGTCTTGATATTAACTGCTTGTGGATATATTACACTACTTTAGGATAGCGAAGAGCCAATTCTTGTGCAAGCACCCACCTATCATGTGAAGTTCTTTTCACTATCTTACTTCTTGAGTGTTCCTTTAAACAGGACACACCACTAGCCCCACGGTGGTAAAGGAGGTGCAAGGACAACATGCCATACTAAGAGACTGCATCGAACAGCTAGGGGCAGTGGAGACATCCAGAACAAGTCTTGTTTCTCACTTGAGAGAGGCTTTACAAGAAGAGGTTTCCCATTTATACAACTAACTGCTCACAAAAACCGTATCATCTTTGATTACTCTTTCCTAAAACCTCACCTTGTTTTTTTTTTTTTTTCACAGGAACTCAAGCTGGAGCAAGTCCGTAACCACCTTCAGGTTTGAATTCGTACTAACAAACGTGAAATCCGCTTTTCACATATTCTATGCATTAAGTTACATAATCACAACCTTATCAGCAGTAGTTTTTGAGGCACACAGGGAAGATAGACACAAATCTAAATAATAGACAGAAATCTAAATAGGGCTCTTCTTGGTAGATTTGTCCCTACAAAATATTGCCTTGTCTTTAGGCTATTAAGTTAAACTGATACCCATTGTACTACAATTTCAGATTGCTCGGTTTCAATCAGACCGAACTGGTGACCTCTGCAAACAGCTTCTAGACCATGGTGGTAGTTCACAGCCTCCTGCTACAGAAGAAGACGAGTCAAAAGAAGCCATCAAAGTTTCATCCGCTGCAGCACCACCACAAACCATCACACACAGCGATGTGGAACAATCTGCACCGGTTATGTTTGCTTCGAACCCACCAACTCAATCAGTGGTAGACCCAAGGAAAACCGCAGCCGCTGCAGTTGTAGCTAGGCTAACCGCATCAACCTCCTCGGCCGAGATGCTCTCCTACGTTCTCTCCTCTTTAGCCTCCGAAGGCATCATCGGAAACAACCAACCTGCTGTAACAGAAACACCGTCGTCCAGCGATTACCCGCCAGAGAAAAGACCCAAGCTTCAAAACCATGAACAGTCCTATCTCCAACCTCACCAACAGAACACTGCAACAACATCCACAGCCACCACCTCTGCATCACCGCTTCCGCCACCACCACCACCACCACCGTTCCAGCTTCAACCTCAGTTCTTGCAGCCGTTACAGCCTCCCGGGCCTGTAAATCCCACGCCATTCAACTACACCATAGCAACCACTTCTGCGACTACGCAGCACCAACAACAACAACAAGGTTCTTGGGTTCCTGGGCTCACTCCAGTTCCAACAACCTCTGCACCATCCGACAATTCATACCAGAAGCTTCAGGGACAAGATGGTTTTTATGGCATTAACTCATCGGTCTCTATGACACCTGTTACTCGGCAGTAGAGGAATCTGTATTAGGGTTCATATAGCAAAAAGCTCACTTTTTTGGTGTTGTTAAGTATAGTTTTAATGGGCGTTTAATAGGATTTGCGTTCTTGAAATGTGCTTTGTATGCTTTTTTAATTTTGCGTTGGTCTAGTTAAATGCTTGTGCACATATCTTCATCATGTCTGTAAACTTGAAACCAAACAATTCTTTCGTTTGATCTGAAAGTTACTGTACTGTGAGATTCAATAGAGATCCAGTTTGCTTTTTCTCAGAACTCTGAAGATTACATGAGTTTCACATGGCGGTCTTCTCAAAAAGTTGAGCCAGATTGGACCAAGCTTTGCTCTTCTTTTTAAGTCTGGTCAAAACGCCGACAATGTTCTCTTTTTTGACTAATAAAAAAAAAATCATATTTTTCCACATTTCTCTTGTCTTTATCTACTTCTTTTCTCGTCAGGGATTCCCTGTAACGCGGCAATCCTGACAAAGAAATATCAGGAAAAATTTGAGAGAAGCAGAGAGCAATACTTTGAGATTAGGTAATAATAATATTGCTAGAAGGGGTTTTTCTCCCGCTTCTCGATTCTCTCAGTCTCAGCACGTAAGCAAACCCAGAAAAAAACAATTGTTGATTAATGGCTGCTCATTGAATCTCCGCTTCTTCTAATTCTCCTCCTGTTTATTGAATTCTGATGTCTAATCAACTGTACAGTTTTTGCTGATATTGTTGCCTTATTAAGAAACTCAGCAGATTTTGAGATTTTGTGATTCAATGTCTACTTCGAGTAGCATTTGTGTCTTCTGTGTTAATTTTTCTATGTCAGTTTAGGAAGTTAGGTCGGCGAAATGAGTACAAAGTTCTGATTTTGAGCAATCTTCTTGTCCTTAATAGATTTCTGGTTTACGCAGCCTTGTAGTTGATAAGAACAACGTTCTTCTTTGGTCCAAGTTCTTGATTTCGACAAAAAATTAAAATTCTCATAATTGATCCATTCAATTTGACAACCTCTCTTTGCTCTTATTACAGGAAAAACAAAATTATAAATATAGTTTCAGGCGTCATTTGAGTGGGATTCTTTCTGCTGAGAGTTTTTTTTTTTTTTTGGGAAATCAAATGCCGGAGGAAGATTTGGTAGAACTTAAATTCCGGTTATATGACGGTTCAGATGTTGGCCCGTTTCAGTACTCTCCAACCGCCACAGTCGCAATGCTCAAGGAGAGAATCGTCTCTGAGTGGCCTAAAGGTGAGAGCTAGAGTCTTTACCCTTTAGTACAAGTGCTCTTGAATACTTTAGATTTGGTGTTTAGTAACCTTTTTGTGTTTGCTTCACCCAATTTTTTTCAGTTTCTTAAACGGCTATTTGAGCTTGTGATCACTGTCTTTATAGTTTCTTCACTTATAGCTTGAAAGACAAAGATCAGCCATAACTCATAGGCCTTTAATGGGATCTGATTATATTACTAATCCACATGTCTTAAACTACAAAACATATCTTTAGAGTCTATGACGAATACAGTTTTGTTCTCTTTCTGCATTCAATAAAATCTTCATTTGTCACATTTTTTCCTACTATTGGTATCTATTGACTAATACTTGATTCTGGGGGTTTGAATGTGCTGTCTCTAGACAAGAAGATTGTTCCGAAATCAGCTAGTGACATCAAGTTGATAAATGCTGGTAAGATTTTGGAGAATGGTAAAACTGTTGCACAGTGTAAAGCTCCATTTGATGATCTCCCTAAATCTGTCATTACAATGCATGTTGTGGTGCAACCGGCTCCAACAAAAGCCAGACCAGGTACAAATATCTCTGCGAACTCTTCTTCTTGAAATATCAACAAAACTCCTAATATCATTGTTTGTTCCTCTCTTCTATTGCAGAGAAGAAAATCGAAGAGGAAGAAGCCCCACAGAGAAGCTTTTGCTCATGTACGATAATGTGAGAACAAGTCCCAAGTCTAAAGTCTGGAAAAGACTCAAGTTTTGCGTCTATTGTGGGTTTTGCTAGAAGAGTCTCAAAAACATAAATTACCATTTTCACGCTTCTTATTTTATATTCATCACAAGTTCAAAGAAAGCTTCATCAATGGCGTTATAAAGCTCTTCTATTGAAGTTTGTGATGAAACGTGAAAACTCTTGTTCAGAGCATTCTTATATAAAAGATTAAGAGTTTTTTTTTCCTTTCTGTTTTCAAGAACTCTAGTATCTTTTCCAAGAATTCTAGCATCTCTGTAACATATTTTGTTGTATGCTTCTGTTCATCTTTAGTACACCTTAAGACCATGTATCAACACATCTTTATCTCGTCTATCACTATGCAAAAACCAGTAGTAAACCGGTACTAACCGTTGAAGATACCACATTTTTGGTTCTTAAATTACAAGCACTTTGATATGTATATGGTCCATGCATAAGACACAAGTGGCAGTACCTTTCTCTTTACTTTCCACTTTCCAGATAGCCAATATTTGGGATTTAGATACAAGAATCCAAAAGAAACACAGAGCATGAGATCTCAATAAATGTCCTTTCACCTAACCTGCTTATCAATGTCTCTTCACTATCTTCCACTTACTTCCTCTCATTTATAACCTTCACTTTCACTCAGTGTCTTTCCACTATCTTCTCTGCTTTTGCCTTTAATACTATTCCCTTCCTCTCATTTATAATCTTCACTCCAAAATGCGCCTCTCTTTGTTGCGCCATCACTTTCGCTCGATTGTCCTCACATTTAATGCTAAGAGACACGTCTCCATAAATCTTTTGTACTTAAAAAGGAGGAAGAGACTATAACAGAACCTTGAAGCTATTTCACTGGAGTAGTTCAAAGTCTCTCCTTGTCTAAAACTAGTGTCCTTGTGCCATTTTGTGGTGGTCAAGATGAAGAAGAAACTGATAATGATTTTGTTCATACTCCTGCAACTTCTGTTAATAAACTCTCTATCTCCCAAACACTCATCAGCAAAACCAAAAGCAGAAATCAATGTAATGGGTTTTGTTTACTGTGATGTCTGCTCCAACAACAGTTTCTCCAGACACAGTTACTTCATGTCCGGTAAATAAAAATCCTCACAAAGAAACATCTCTATGATTCTCTTTACAAAAAAAAATTATGTTTCTAATGTTTTTGTGGCACAGGCGTGGAAGTGAGAATAGTCTGCAAATTCAAAGCAGCATCGTCGAGAACAAACGAAGTGATAACATTCTCTGCAAACAGAACCACTAACGAGTTCGGACTCTACAAGGTAGCCATTACTTCTCTATATTGCGCTGACGTGGACAGACTCGCGACTTCTTGTCAAGCGAGTTTGGTCGGAAGATTAAGCTCCTCGGATTCTTCTTGCAGCGTTCCTGGTTATAGAACCACTACGGATCAAGCCGTGTTCAAGTCTAAACGGTCTAGCATCTGTATCTATGGATTCAATGCTTTGAATTTCAGACCGTTCAAGAAGAATCTTGCCTTGTGTGGCAAGAAATAGAGACTTGTAAACCACAAAATTATCTTCTACTCAGAAATAATGTCTACTAGCAAGGAATGCTCGGAACGAAAAATTGTTTTATCTTTTATTAGCATTTATGTTGAAGGATGCATATTATTTTTTATTTGAACAATAAAAGAAGTTTTGAACATCCTGAAATTTTGGTTAAATGCTATAAAACACCCCAAAATTTTAGGAATGCTACAAAGACACGCCACAAACTTACACAATTCTCCTAAAAATTCCACAATTGTTATTTAGAAGAAAAAAAAAATTACAACCTTAAGTTTTTTATTTTGAAAAGATCAAGCTTGGCCCATCTTATTTAAGCAACCAATTCCTTCTTCCATATAGTCTTCTCTATTGATCCAGAACTCTGGTGCGTCCTGCAACATAAACCATTTTGAATCCAATTTTCTCTTAACAATCATTTCACAGACTAGCATTTCAGGGTTTCTGGTTACGTAAGAGAAAGCATTGAACTTTTTTTTTTTTTTACCTTCATGATTCCTGCAAGAACAGCGCCTCCGAGGTATACCATGTGTTTCCTTCTAGGTGGATCCTCGATCCGCAATCTGAGTTTCTGATCGACAAAAAAAACACAGAAAAGAAATGTTAAAAACCGAGGTAATGACTAATGACAGTGATCAGAAACTTATCCGGATGTTTTTTACCTTGAGGCCATCTTTGTTTCCTTTTAGAACTGTATCGAGATACCGATCCTGGATTTCTTTCTCAAGACTGAAACAAAGAGAATACAGAATACATTAAAAGTAAACCAACAAGCTTTTTCTTGCTGGATTATGAAAAACAAACAAAAAAAAAATACAAACCGGCTAGGTAGTCCAGGGTACATGGTGCTTCCTCCGCTTAAAACTATGTGTTGGTAGAGCTGTGAAGGAAAAAAAATAAAAGCAAAGGGTCTGAGAAAACATATAGTTTTAGCTTTGGCTCTTTCTTTTGAAAATGAAAGCAAGCGTGAGAGGCGCACGTACCATCATGCGGTTATCAATATCCATTTCTTGAATACAGCGGAAAACCATGTCTGCCATTCCATCACCTTCAACATCAATGAGTTCCTATAAGAAAAATAAAAGAGGAAAGATTTTGTTCTGTGATCTGCCTCGTGATTCTTAGAGGGTTGAAAGTATTCAGGAAGAGAAATTAGCAAAGTGGGAGATTAAAGATTTACCGGTGTAAAAAGCGCTTCAGGTGCTTGGAATCTTTCAGTGCCTACCTTAATGACCCTCCCATCTGGAAGCTGATCACATAACAAAACACAACAGGTTTAGCAGCCCCCAAAAGAAACTGTAGCGACTGTTGGATGAAAAAATCCCAAACAAAGAAGATGGCAAGAAAATAAAGGATGATAATATTCATTCTTATTATACCCCAAAAAAAACAAAGGAAAGATAGCAAAAATCTACAACTTTCTCTATGAAATCAAGTTCACTACGAATTTACTATCCATTTGGTTCTGATCATAAATCTTGGATTCCTTTCTATTAGCTTAACGTAAGCTAGTTTCTGTTTCTTGCCTCTACTTGCCCAAGAAATTTTGAAAATTTCCACTACTCACAGGTTCATACCAGAGTAGAGAACTTACAGTATAATTCTTGACAAGGATGGTTGTCTCAAGCCCAAGCTGATACTCTCTCTTATAATCATAACTGCAAACAAAGACAAAAAAAAAATAACCGTTTATTTTGTACTCTTGTAATGTATTAGTACGCAGATATTACTGTGAAGAAATTCTTCGCATGCCTTATATAGCAGAGTTTCTCTTTGATTTCCCTAACTGTCTCAAAGTCAGCCGTTTTATTCATCGCATATCTGTTGAACACACAATATTTATTTATTCAGGTTTACCTGATATAATACATATCATCCAAAATGTTAATCAAGCTTTAACATCTAAATTTATGAATTGATTTCTCACCCTCGTCGAGAAAGGAGATCAACAAGATATGCTGTAATGTGTCTGCCAGCAACATTCATTCTTTTGGTAAGATGAGGGAATGAATAGCCGTCAACCACCGGAACCTAAGATATGAAGCGAAGAAAGGTTAAGTGCTCTATAAGCAAGTAAGATTGAATCTGAAGATTACAGATTTCTATAGCTTACCACATGAGTAACACCATCACCAGAATCAATAACCAAACCAGTTAGCAAACCTGAAATCAAAGACAGAAAGGATAATATAAAAGAACTTGCCTAGAAAAAGAGAGAAAAAAAAAAGAATTGCGTGTAAACTCTTTTACAGGTGACTAGATAAACACACGAAAGAAAATCTAAACCTTCAATAATCTCCATAAGCACCTTGAGCATACAGAGTCAGAACCGCTTGGATTTGAATGAAAACGCCGGCGAAGTTGTATTTCTCAAACATTGTCTCAATCTGTTTCACAAACATGAATCAATTACTACTCCAATAACCACCAATGCAATTGGCCACCAAGACTTGACAATATCATACCATTTTTTCGCGATTCTTCGATGGGTTAAGAGGTGGATCCGTGAGCAATATCTTACAATCTGATGGATTGATCTGTTAACAACCAAAAAAGAAATAGTTAACGAGCAAGTCAATAAAGTGAGAAAAGAATAAAATTTCCAGGAGAAGGAATTTACTTTCAGTTCTTTGTAGAAAGCGTGATCCCAGACATGTTCCATATCCTCCCAATTCTGCACAATGCCGTTGTGTACAGGATAGTTTATATCCAATTGATGCCGGAGCTCCGCGCAAGACTCCCCCACAACTATATCCTATATTTAAAACATGTAAATGTGAAATCAAATGTTCTATAAGAAAAGATCTGATTTTTATTAAAGACTTGTAAGAGGAAAGGGCACATATGTACAACCTTCACTTGCTGCTCCATCAGTGATTCTTCATACCGAAGCAACGGTCTTCCCACGACACAAGGGAAAACAGATGTTGGGAAATTCTCTCCAGCAAATCCGCATTTCACATACTGAAAATTTCCAGAAGAACTGACATTAGAGACTCAACAACATAAAGTTGTTCTCAAGCACAATCCAAAACGTATATCACTCAAAACTCCAAGTTATGTAACCCATTACGAAATGGCTTTAGAGAAATATCATGGATAAGCTTCGATTTCAATAAAAAACACGATCTTACACACACCCAAACATGAAAATTTCAAAATTTTGCAATTTTCAGACAAATCCATAACGAACCCCAGCAACAAAATGGAATGTTCGGTCAGATTCAAGTAAAAATCTCGCGGATTCTATGGATTGGGTTCTGAAACAACAGCTAGCAAAAACGAGAAGAGAAAGGAGAAGAAGAGTACGCCGGTTCCGTTGTCGCAAACGACGACGTTTTTGTTGTCCATCTTCTCCGATTTATATGCTCGCTATAGAAACTTTAGCTGTCTTAAGCAATTACATGAATCAGATTTCGTTGATCTCAGAAAATGAAAACTTCTCTTTGAATCGAAGCGAAGAATTACTGTTCTCTACTGGTCGCGATCGAAAACAAATCGATCTTTCGACCAAAACAACTCAATACTGTTTCCTCGTTTCTCTAATAGAACGCGCGTTGTTTTCTCTACGTCAAAACGTCATGTCGTTCAAATGCGAGTACAAAAACGGCGTCTTTTATTTTGGGCTACACAGATGAGATTCTTCATGGGCCGTACGTCACTCTTTTCTTCTTATTGGATAGCAATTAGCATGAGTTATATTTTCTCCGTAACAGTTTGCATGGACCATACAGTGTATTATTTAACAGGTTTTTATTTACAAGCATTATTTATCCACAAATTCCATTTCATTTTTAGGTTGTTCAACTAATTCACTCGTGTTTTGACTTTTCCTCCCTTTCGTCAAATGAGAAAACAGATTTTAACTTTTTGACCCTAGGGTCCTATCTTGAAAAGCTATAAAAGCAAAATGTAAATGTGAATCCAGGACCTGCAAAACTCTGCAACAACTTAGTTTCTGAGCAAAATATTCAATCTAAAATGAAGCTTAAAAAAGCTTATTTAGATCCTAACCCAAAACCTTCCAACGGTTAACTTCACATCGAGCACAAATTAGAAGATGACAAAGATACTAAGAGCAATAACATGAATGAAGATAAGAGTTAACGAACAGAACTTTAAGATCATAGTGAACTCCACTAGTAAGCTCAAAGCCACTGAATTAGAGTATGCAGCTAAGTGTTTTACACTCGATTTAAAACTAAAGTCTAAGTGATTCACAGAAATCGAGCGGAAGAGCAAGTTCATTGGGAATGCTAATAGAAGAACACAATGTGCAAAAGGAGCTATAATGAGTTTTTCCATCATTGTAAGAAACTGTAATCTTCATTCTACTAATGTGATGGAAGAACAAGTATACATTACCATTGTACTATCGAAAAGCCGGTTTCTTGATATTCAAAAGAAGCAACAACACACAGAATACGAAAAAACAAGCCTCTCTGGATCAAACTTAAGACAGACTCCAAAGCTTTAAAAAAAAGGGCAAAAAAATCTCTGGCTGTGTCTATCAACAAACTCCACCTGCAAGTTTCGAACAACAACCGCCAAAAAGAAAATGTCACAAACACTCAAAAATTTGCTCTTCGAGTCTCTCTTGTATCATCATCCTCTGAAAGTTGAAATCAGCTCACCTGTGTTTTTGCAGAGGTTTCAATAAGTATAGACTACCACTCTCACTCAGTATTTAACCCATTTTTTCTCTGTTCTTCGCCATAGTTGTACACTTACAAAAATTTTATCACAAAACAAAAGCCACAAGCTTTTCAAATCCAGAAGGGAATATCAATGTTTTAACGCCCTGAGCCTTGAGAATCATCATCTTTCTCACCACTCTCTTGCTGATGATCTTCATGTGATGGGTTATGATGAAGAGTATGGTGAAGAACCCTACCTTGAGCCTGAGCCAGAGCCTGAGCCTGAGCCTGAGCTTGTGCTTGACCCATCTGTTGATAAATCTGTGTAAAAGACTGTGGATTCAAAACCCCAACATTCCCTTCCTGAGACAACCCTAGCTCAAGTCCAGGCATCTGGTTGTTATTACCACTAGCACCCAAAATGGATGCAAAACTCATAGCACCAATGTTGGAAACACCAGGAAATTCAAACCCAGGAAACCCAATTCTGTAACCAGCACCTTCACTCATCATCCCTGTGGTTTGCACACCAGCTCCAAACCCAGCAACATTTGACCATAACCCAGTTGGTAAACTTGACCTAGAAGCTCCTCCTCCTCCTTCTCCGCCGCCAATTCCCCAATTTGGTCTACCACTACTAGACCCACCACCACCACCGTCTAGGTCATGACTGATCATTAAACCAGCAGTGAGAGACCCACCTTGGTGATGATGGTTAGAGACAGCAGCAGATGCTAAAGCAGAGGCCGGTATGGTTCCTGAACCGGTGGCTGCGATTATAGACGGCTCGGCTTGTTGAAGCAGCCACTGGATTGTTTCGCCGTCCGATTTGTGACCCAATTCTCTGGTCAACTGAAAAATCCTAGCTGCACAGAGCGCAGGCATCCTGATTCTCCGACCCCTACCTTCGACTTTAGTGTGTCTGTCTTTGTTAGAGCTTCTCTTAGGCCCAAGCTGATGGTTTTGATTCTGCTGCTTCTTACTGTTGTTCGCTTCTTTGTCGGAACCGACCACGATCTGAAAATCCTTAACCTCAGCTGATTTGCGATGATTATGATGATTCTCGTCCTTGTTTTCGTCGGAACCCTGATTTCGTGGTGGTTGTGGTGGGTTCAAGAAATTTGGTACTTGGTGTCGATTCGAGTTCTTGGGATCCATCAAAACCAGAGAAGCTATGTGGGGACTTCAGGGTCCAAACTTAAATTTGTCAAAAAATAATCTCTCTCTCTCTCTCGGATTCAATTAAGGGTTTGTGAATTGTGCTGTCTTGAAAAGAAAAGGCATCGACTTTGCGAAAATTTACAGTGTTTTTTATTAATTAAAAAAATTGTTTTTCAGAAATCCAATAAGACCCCGTAAGATCCCGATGCAGAATGGAGAATAATAAAGAAAAAGTTATCATCTTTCGATCTCAAAATGGGTCAAAAAAGAAATGAGAAAGCACTAAAAAGTGTGAGACTTTGGTTGGTTTGTCTTTTTCTTCTTTTCTTTTTACTTTTTTTTTTCTTGTTTGGTTTGTTACGAAAACATAATAACAGAGAGATACTGAGTCACTTAGATTTCTTACCATACACTAACATAAACAGCAAAGTAACCAAACAAGTAAACTCCCAAAAGAAAAAGCAATGACCGTTTCACATTTAATCTTTTAACCAAGGTAATGAGAATCTATAAATACCACTACATGACCCACTAGATATAGTCAAAGACTTCGTCAAGTAGGTTTTTTTAAGGATTTTTTTAATTTTTAATCTGATCATTGCAGATTTTAGAGAAAATGTTATTGTAACTGATGATTTTATTAAAAAGGTTATCAGATTCAACCAAAAAAATTATGGCTAGATATCAATTTTTACTATTCTTTTAATCATAAGACAAGTATGCATATGTGGAAGTCTTTTGATGTAATAATAGTTTATCAAGAATTTAAGGTAGAGGTTAAAAATGCAATTGCTTGCATATTCTTGGTATAAATTAAACAAACTTATCAAGAAGATTTGCTTGTACCTTTACCAACTAAACAACATATATTCTAATATTTTCGCAGCGAAAGGAGTCTCCAAATCCAAACTTTTCCAGTTTGATATAAGTATATTTCTTAGTTATAAACACAGTAAAAAAATTATGTTTTAATGAAACACTTAACTGATAATGGAATTGTGATAAAAACAAAATTGCAGAATTGACTTGCTAACACTTAAACTATTTATTTTAGATATAACTTTGCACAATGAAATATAATTTTCAAAAACAAAATACGGAATACGGAATTCAGTCAGAATTGCTTCGTACATAGCCTCCTTTTGCCGTAAGTAATTTAGAAGGGAAAAAAAGAAAACGTAAATCGTGCCAAAACAGTAGTCAAAGTCAACGTCTTCTCAAAGAAGGAAGTAGCTTGTCCTATCAAGTGGATCAATGGCATGTTGACACTTGGCAGGTCCACAGAAGGTTCGGTTCGCTTGTAGCGCAAGATCTAAAAGAGTGATGAATGATTTTGATTTTTGAGGCTTCCATCATATATGGGGACCGACAACATCATACCATCTCTTTTTTTACTTGCACCTCCTCTCGTATCATCATTCATATCTCTACTCATAAGTCTTAGAGTTCAATTAATCTTTAATTCAGTTAACTACTCTCTATAATTAATGGCATGAGTCTACTATTAATGGCGCTCATAATCACGTTTACAGATTATACGCTATCTAATATTACCTGTCAAATGATCTCTTGCCTAACTTTTTTTAGGAGTAATGTTTTGATATAATAAAATTAATTTTGGAAGACGACATCTCTTTACAAATTAAATAATATTTTTAAATTTGAATTCAAACCCTAACTCAACATACAGAGATAACTTTGTTACTATAATCAGATTTAGCACGCTTACAATGAAGACTTTATAGGTTGGAGAATCAGTTTATATTTTATTTTAAACCTTTTTTTTTCTGTGTTAAACGACCCATAAATCTTTTGAAAACTCGTATGAATGTTTTCTTACATTTTTGTGGTTTTCAGCATATAGTTTATCGTTGATTAGTTGCTGATGGTAAATCTTTCATCGTGTTATTAATGATATTTGGATATATATGATATGTATAAGTTTTTCTTGGCGTATATTTATGATAAGGTGAACAAATAGTCGGCATATAGTTGACTGTTACGGGTGGAGTAAAGTAAATATGGAACTGTTTAGTTGGTGCATGTGAAAATTTGGATTGAATTATGCTCCCAAAGAAGGAGACACACAAGGGCCCATATAAGCCACCACATAACTCCCTTTTTCATTCAAAATTCAGTTGCTATTTTTTGTTTCTTTTTACGTCAGGCATTTTTGGAGTTTTTAAGTCTCCGTACAATATAACTTATAGTATTTGTAATGAAAATGGATCTAACAAATTACATAAAGACATGAGTCAAACCTTCTTTAATACTCCAACCATTTTAAAGTAACTGCTTTTTTGATCTATCTACAAACTAATATCAATAGAATTGGATAGCTACCTCCAACCATTTTCTTTCATATGAGACAGTAACTCGATGATTTATATTAAATTCATTCAAACGGAATATGCTCGAATTTGGCTTCCATAATAAGATGCTTACTCGACCAAGCTAAGTTATGGAGAGTAGTAACAATCGATGGGGCTTCAGCCTTCATCTCACATTGTTGGGTTTATTGGCAGTCTAATATATAGCAACTATCTTCTTTGTCTTAAAATGATGACAAAGTATGAAAGTATCATGTTCATAATAATAGTCTTCATAACCCATAAAACATTTTTCATTTCTGAATACAGTGGGGAAATTAAAGACTTCGTTTCTGGCATCTTGCACATATCAAAAGAGTTCTATCGCTCTCCTACACAAAAATTCCCCTTATACAAGATGTAAAATTTCATTCTTTCCAAGAACCATTAACTTGACATTGATATTGAGAGTATCTCGTCCCTCATTTATACTTCCATTCTTGGTTTATCCCTCGATTGCTACGAAATTACTTGCGCATCTTTTGATTTCAAAATCGTTTTCTTCCCTTTTATCCATGTGAACACACAAAAAAAACACTATTGAGAAAATGGATATTAATGTCAATCATTCATAAGTGCATAAATCACATATATTTGTACTTTATCTTTAATATTCCATTCGAAAATTGGTGGAATTTAATTGGTCAGTCTCAATCAAGATAATATTTATCCATTTTATTCATCCCAAGTCACTATCCTTTATTTTTGTTTACCTCTCACCATTATATTCATTTAATTTGTTTTTGTTTGCTCAATGATTTTGGTATCCGACATTACTCTCAAGAGTTTGTGCCACGATTATCTCCACCATTCGTGCCCCAATTACGGTAAATTAAGGTTGGCTTCACATCATTACAAATTACAATTATAAGTTCTAATATTTTTAAGATTAATTTCTTTATGCCAACTTTTCAATGTATTGATTAACGGGACCATTAATTAACTTGTTGAGAAAACAATAGTACAATAACTCTTAATCCAAGTATCCAACCTACATATACAAACCAAATTTTAACTACCATGTATCTAATAAATCACATAACTGGCTTTTACGAGAATGGCACCATATATCAAGAATTTTACATGATAAGTTAGTATTTTTAAACTTAGTAATTTGGATCCTCGTTACTTTGTTTTACTTTTTGTTTACTTTAGATGTCAAACTACCAATTAAATATTTTGAAATAACCAACTTTTTGTATCAAATGTTCATATTCCAAATTTCCATATCAATGTTTTTTGTTTCAAATTTTTCAATATAGTTTTCTCAAATCTAAAGAGAGAAAACAAGTTGTAATGATTATGAATAGAAAGATCATGACATGTAGCCTAACTAAACCTAGTGGTTTGTGTTACCCAGATTCAACTTCCCATAATGAATTGCATGGTGTTGATAAAAACTATGATTATAGCAAAGTAATTGTGGGAAATTAAACTAGGTTTACTCGGTTACAAAAATTTACTGACGAGTGAGAAAGTGAAACTAGTTAGTATCAATGTGATATGGCTTGGTTTGATTCATGTGTTATATTTAACCCAATGTATATTTATAAAAAGAATTTAAGTCTCACTTAAATCTCTTTTTATTTTGGTTGGATCCATATTCGGATTCGGTTTACTAGACATCTAAAAAATAAAATCATTAAAAAACCACATTAGCACTGATTTTGGACTCGCATTTTGAGTTTGATTCGATTCGTTTTCAGTATACAGTAGAGCCTCTATAAATTAATACTCGATAAATTAATAATCACTATAAATTAATAAATTTTACTGATCCCGAATCGGTTCAATGTTAAAATCCATCAAATTTGATAAAATAATAAGATAATAATTTTTTTGAAACTCTTATGTAAATATATGGTTCCAACAAACATATAAATTAATAATTATATATATATTTATGCAAAAATATGTAAATATAATATTCTAAAATATGACTAAATGGTTTGTTTAAGGTTGAAATCTCATTAGATATTATCTCTCTAAATATTATATCAGTAGCTTTTATTGGTGTTTTACTATATATATTAATAATTTATAATAACTTTTTGATGTGATAATTGATTTTCTTATCTGTAATATTTTTAAATGTATTATAGTGTTATCTTCAATTTTATCATTAATAAACGAATAGTAGCCATGGTCTTTTTATAAATTTTAAACTTGTGAACATGTATATTTTTACATGGATAATCCAATATGATATTAAAAAATATTTTATTGCGATGATTGTTAATTATAATTTACATTATTAGATTTGTTAAAATTTTAAATTATAACATTATTGCAAATAAATTTTTAGAAAATTATAGGTGAAAAACAAATTCTCTCTATAAATTAATAATTATTAACTTATAGATAAATTAATATCACAATAAATTAATAAAATATCATGATTTCCTGTATCTTGAATTCTGGATCATACACTCCTTATGATGATATGATGAGTGAACAAAGGCAAATGGTCCTAAAACCCTCTTTGAGCTCGTGAATTGTGATCTAAGAATGAAAGCATTCAAAGAGACAACATTCTTTGGATAAACAACATTTGAGTAAACTTATAAAGAGATTTGCAACAACGTTTCGTTCCTGCGAATTGAGATTCCAAACATATCTACACAAACATATGAAGACAATTGCTTCAATTCTGGCGGCCACGAGACTTATGACTCGAGAGTTGCGGTTATGACCAGTGTGGCATCAATCTATCTCGCCAAAGACGGTCCAAAGTACATGCAAATGGGAGGATTGATCCTTAAGATCGAAAGAATTGCGGAAGGAATTGTCCAGATCCCATCCCCACAGATCAGCCCTGACGCTACTGCACCCGCAAAGTCGTCTGCATCTTTC